ACAAAATTTATAATAACAAGTTCCTATCAAAATAAAAGTCAAATATCAATCTCGCAATACAAATTATCCATATATAAAACACCATTCTAGAAAATTCAAGCAAATCACAAATTAATCATACAAATTGTTCAACACCAATCTAGATTACTCAAGAAAATTGAAGCAAATCACAAATTATCCATAAATAACATGATTAATTGAAAGCTTCTTCCTCCTTGTAAATTAAGTTTCTTCACTCTCCACTCGATAATATCAACTTCATTCTACACAATTAGAAAGAAAAAATTAGGCATGTCCCCACAAGCCACAAACGTAAAGAAGATTAGTTGCTTAGATTATTAAATATACCGGAAAAATTAATTATATGGGTGTGGTCGGTTATACCTAAACCCAAACCCAACCCGATGAATAGTAAACGCGTTTAAACCCGAATCCGGTCCGAAACTCGTCAACATGGGTTGGGTCGGATAGGGTACCCATGGGTTCTAGTTTTGTTGTCATTCCTAACTAGATCTAGTCTAATGAACATATGTAACTGGAATCTGAATCCCGATCATTTGGCGAAATGCCAAAAGCACTGGATTTAGCATTCCGTTGTGGATCCAAACTCCTTGGGCTGAAAATTCACTATGTACTCTCTGAGGAGTAAAATTTTCATATCCAGTTGGAGACAGCCAGGTCGTGCACTTCCTTGGACGGGGACTATTCAAAAGTAGTTGTTTCAAGAAGTGCTTTAGCCTATTCAAAGGTAGACCGCCTCGGGCACTTCATTACAAAGGTCGAGCATAATAGGAATTCACAACAACTCCATATCCTACCACAGTACCATTGAGAAGGCCACATCTAGTGCAAGATTGGTTCGCGTGCAGGCCCCAGGAACTAACAATGCATAAACGAAAACCCTAGGTGGACGTCTAACAGGCAGGGGTAAGGTCGCCTCGTCCACCATACTAGACTCCTAGATCATTCATCTACTCCTCACCAGCCAATGGTGCTCATATCCAGTTTAATTCATAAACTCCCAAGTGGTAGACTAGATCTAGGGATGGCAATGGATCGGGTTGGGTCGGGTTTTTCCAAACCCAAACACATAGGTTTATTCGTGAAAAAATCCCAGGATAAAACCCACTGAGTTTGGAAAACTCAAACCCAACCCAACCCGCTGGGTATCCGCGGGTTCATGGGTACCCATGGGTTTTTGTCGTACAAAATTTATAATAACAAGTTCCTATCAAAATAAAAGTCAAATATCAATCTCGCAATACAAATTATCCATATATAAAACACCATTCTAGAAAATTCAAGCAAATCACAAATTAATCATACAAATTGTTCAACACCAATCTAGATTACTCAAGAAAATTGAAGCAAATCACAAATTATCCATAAATAACATGATTAATTGAAAGCTTCTTCCTCCTTGTAAATTAAGTTTCTTCACTCTCCACTCGATAATATCAACTTCATTCTACACAATTAGAAAGAAAAAATTAGGCATGTCCCCACAAGCCACAAACGTAAAGAAGATTAGTTGCTTAGATTATTAAATATACCGGAAAAATTAATTATATGGGTGTGGGCGGTTATACCTAAACCCAAACCCAACCCGATGAATAGTAAACGCGTTTAAACCCGAATCCGGTCCGAAACTCGTCAACATGGGTTGGGTCGGATAGGGTACCCATGGGTTCTAGTTTTGTTGTCATTCCTAACTAGATCTAGTCTAATGAACATATGTAACTGGAATCTGAATCCCGATCATTTGGCGAAATGCCAAAAGCACTGGATTTAGCATTCCGTTGTGGATCCAAACTCCTTGGGCTGAAAATTCACTATGTACTCTCTGAGGAGTAAAATTTTCATATCCAGTTGGAGACAGCCAGGTCGTGCACTTCCTTGGACGGGGACTATTCAAAAGTAGTTGTTTCAAGAAGTGCTTTAGCCTATTCAAAGGTAGACCGCCTCGGGCACTTCATTACAAAGGTCGAGCATAATAGGAATTCACAACAACTCCATATCCTACCACAGTACCATTGAGAAGGCCACATCTAGTGCAAGATTGGTTCGCGTGCAGGCCCCAGGAACTAACAATGCATAAACGAAAACCCTAGGTGGACGTCTAACAGGCAGGGGTAAGGTCGCCTCGTCCACCATACTAGACTCCTAGATCATTCATCTACTCCTCACCAGCCAATGGTGCTCATATCCAGTTTAATTCATAAACTCCCAAGTGGTAGACTAGATCTAGGGATGGCAATGGATCGGGTTGGGTCGGGTTTTTCCAAACCCAAACCCATAGGTTTATTCGTAAAAAAATCCCAGGATAAAACCCACTGAGTTTGGAAAACTCAAACCCAACCCAACCCGCTGGGTATCCGCGGGTTTATGGGTACCCATGGGTTTTTGTCGTACAAAATTTATAATAACAAGTTCCTATCAAAATAAAAGTCAAATATCAATCTCGCAATACAAATTATCCATATATAAAACACCATTCTAGAAAATTCAAGCAAATCACAAATTAATCATACAAATTGTTCAACACCAATCTAGATTACTCAAGAAAATTGAAGCAAATCACAAATTATCCATAAATAACATGATTAATTGAAAGCTTCTTCCTCCTTGTAAATTAAGTTTCTTCACTCTCCACTCGATAATATCAACTTCATTCTACACAATTAGAAAGAAAAAATTAGGCATGTCCCCACAAGCCACAAACGTAAAGAAGATTAGTTGCTTAGAATATTAAATATACCGGAAAAATTAATTATATGGGTGTAGGCGGTTATACCTAAACCCAAACCCAACCTGATGAATAGTAAACGCGTTTAAACCCGAATCCGTTCCGAAACTCGTCAACATGGGTTGGGTCGGATAGGGTACCCATGGGTTCTAGTTTTGTTGTCATTCCTAACTAGATCTAGTCTAATGAACATATGTAACTGGAATCTGAATCCCGATCATTTGGCGAAATGCCAAAAGCACTGGATTTAGCATTCCGTTGTGGATCCAAACTCCTTGGGCTGAAAATTCACTATGTACTCTCTGAGGAGTAAAATTTTCATATCCAATTGGAGACAGCCAGGTCGTGCAGTTCCATGGACGGGGACTATTCAAAAGTAGTTGTTTCAAGAAGTGCTTTAGCATATTCAAAGGTAGACCGCCTCGGGCACTTCATTACAAAGGTCGAGCATAATAGGAATTCACAACAACTCCATATCCTACCACAGTACCATTGAGAAGGCCACATCTAGTGCAAGATTGGTTCGCGTGCAGGCCCCAGGAACTAACAATGCATAAACGAAAACCCTAGGTGGACGTCTAACAGGCAGGGGTAAGGTCGCCTCGTCCACCATACTAGACTCCTAGATCATTCATCTACTCCTCACCAGCCAATGGTGCTCATATCCAGTTTAATTCATAAACTCCCAAGTGGTAGACTAGATCTAGGGATGGCAATGGATCGGGTTGGGTCGGGTTTTTCCAAACCCAAACCCATAGGTTTATTCGTAAAAAAATCCCAGGATAAAACCCACTGAGTTTGGAAAACTCAAACCCAACCCAACCCGCTGGGTATCCGCGGGTTCATGGGTACCCATGGGTTTTTGTCGTACAAAATTTATAATAACAAGTTCCTATCAAAATAAAAGTCAAATATCAATCTCGCAATACAAATTATCCATATATAAAACACCATTCTAGAAAATTCAAGCAAATCACAAATTAATCATACAAATTGTTCAACACCAATCTAGATTACTCAAGAAAATTGAAGCAAATCACAAATTATCCATAAATAACATGATTAATTGAAAGCTTCTTCCTCCTTGTAAATTAAGTTTCTTCACTCTCCACTCGATAATATCAACTTCATTCTACACAATTAGAAAGAAAAAATTAGGCATGTCCCCACAAGCCACAAACATAAAGAAGATTAGTTGCTTAGAATATTAAATATACCGGAAAAATTAATTATATGGGTGTGGGCGGTTATACCTAAACCCAAACCCAACCCGATGAATAGTAAACGCGTTTAAACCCGAATCCGGTCCGAAACTCGTCAACATGGGTTGGGTCGGATAGGGTACCCATGGGTTCTAGTTTTGTTGTCATTCCTAACTAGATCCAGTAATGAACATATGTAACTGGAATCTGAATCCCGATCATTTGGCGAAATGCCAAAAGCACTGGATTTAGCATTCCGTTGTGGATCCAAACTCCTTGGGCTGAAAATTCACTATGTACTCTCTGAGGAGTAAAATTTTCATATCCAGTTGGAGACAGCCAGGTCGTGCAGTTCCATGGACGGGGACTATTCAAAAGTAGTTGTTTCAAGAAGTGCTTTAGCCTATTCAAAGGTAGACCGCCTCGGGCACTTCATTACAAAGGTCGAGCATAATAGGAATTCACAACAACTCCATATCCTACCACAGTACCATTGAGAAGGCCACATCTAGTGCAAGATTGGTTCGCGTGCAGGCCCCAGGAACTAACAATGCATAAACCATTTTAATTGAAGAACTACAATTCATAGGTATGATGCCATGCCATGTCCTCTGATTATTTGTGGATGTGGAACCGATTGGAATTGTAGATTCCGCTGCCAAAAGTTTCTCCAATTTCAATAATATTTTTATAACACACCCATAGTCTTTGATCAATGTTTGGAAGTTGAAAGAGGTCATGGGTGAATCAGTATAGCCAACTAATTATAGCACTCGGCTAAAACAAATTAATTCCCGACATGAAAGCCTAACCTTGCAGCTTGAATATTCAACCTTATTTCTAACTAAAGTAAATGGAAAAGAATCAACTTAACAACTCATTATTAAAATTTTTAAGGAGAAGTTAATTAATGGCTATAATTCAGTCAGCATAATGAAAAGAAAGCAAAGAAAGAGTCAACAACAAATTGTCAACCATAAGTAAGTAGAGTTTTGGCGAGCCAATGAAATAATTAAAATAAGGAAGTTCACGAAGCTATAAGATCTCGATTGCTACTTTTTGTGAAAATGCATCAACCCAATAATCTTCTTTTCTTGTAAAAAAAAACTAAGCCAAGCACCATAGACAATTAAGGTGCTTTGGTTTTCTCCTTACCCCTCTCCTCCATCAAATTCATTATCCTTCGTTAGATAATTGAACATCATTAATTATGGGAGGCTGTGCAAGCAGACCTAAAGCATTGGATGATCAGCTGCCATCGCAACCTCCCCAAAAGGGTAGCCGTAGTACTATTACTCATGCAAAATCAGTCACTGCCCCTACTAATGATGTTGCAGCAACAACTATTGGCACCACCACCAAACCCACACCAACAACTCCCAATCTTGAGGTCGAGGTGGGCGTGGCAACATCCACAACTGACCAGAAACAGGTTGACGATCAGAATAACGAGTTGCTGGTTGTTGTCTCTAGCGATGATGTTGTAATAGATGCCAAAGAGACGAAGGATGGTGAAAAATTAGAGGAGGGAGGTAATGATGTGAAAAAAATTAAGAATGAAGAGAAAGATTTGTTGGTTGATGTTGAGCCCCAACCAAAGCTAAACCATGAAAGAGAGACTGATCAGAAAACCTCATCAACACCACCATTGGTTACCGTGAAAAATACAATTAATGGTGGTCATGATGATGAGGCAACTGGAACTAAGAAGGTTGAGGCTACTAGTAATGTTGTTGCTAAGGATGATCCTGCGGCCCTTTCCTTACAAAACCATAAGAAGGATGATGATCAGAAGGTTGATGTTGCTACATCAGAGATAGAGGAATCTGCAACACTAGTGGAAAAAGTTGAGGAAGTTGTAGCATCAAATGCGAAGGAGGCTAATGTAACGCAATCAAAAGTAGTTACAATTACCAAAATGGAGGAGACGGCTATGGAGGCAGAACTAGGAGTAGCAGCTAGACACCCCAAAGTCGTAGAGACGGAATCTAAACCGTTGCTGCCGCCCGCCGCTGCACAACCTAGAGCAACCATGGCAGATCAATCAAATAGAGAAAACTAACGACCGATCAGCATCAAGCGCGAGATCTTATATGTGGATGGATGCTACACCAACACTATACATCTACCCTCGACCAGAAAAATCAGGCAGATAATTAACAAAATTACACAAAATACTAGTTAATCGTGTCAACAGTCAACACACAACTGATCATCAACTACTTTTGTATTGGTTTTATAATTGAATTATCGTGCAGTATAACTTGAACAACAACTCATATATTAATTAATGCAATCCAGTTTTATATATTTGTGCTTATTAATATATGTTCATTATACATATGTGTTATATATATAGGAGTTCTACGGTACCTAGAGTGAAATCCGGGGTACCGCATACCTTGAGTAAAAAAACGCTATCCAGAACTTGAATTGACTGATATTTCGTACATTATACTATACTCTAATCCTTAAAGATCAAAATCTAGGTCTTACTGCTCTAAATCTTATACCCATAAATCAATTTAATTAGAAACAATAATCGACGGTTATGATTCGTCCAAATATAGGCAAAAAAATCAATGCATCATCTTAGGGTTTATGATTTAGATAATTAGAACCTAGGGTTTACTCATTAAGGGTTAGGGTATAGTATCATGCCCAAAAATCCTGCTAATTTGAGTTCTAGATAGCGTTTTCAAACTCACGATATGCGGTACTCTGAATTTCATCCGGGGTACCGTAGAAGGCACCATATATATACACTATTGGTAGCAAGGATGATATCTATTCAGTGTTGATCAGATTATAGGGGTGGGCAATGGGTTGGTCCACATCGAACCGAATTGGTGTGTTGATCGGACCACACCGAATCGAATATAATGTGGTCCGGTCCTTGATCCCATGAATTGTGTAAATACTAAATACTAAAGAAAACTTATGCAAATGACAATAGATGGAGACATGGAGTATGTGTTTGCAATAGCCAAGAACGGAAGACTAGTCAGATAGTGAAGAACAGGCCAAAGGGAAGAAACACGAAAATATTGGGATAAATTGACGCGATATCGTGATACTTATAGGAGTGAAACGACGAAAAGGAATGAGTGAAACGACGAAAAGGAATGAGTGATTCTCAAAATCAAAATCGAAACCCAATAAATTGTCGGGAAAGGAAAATTAGCGTATCGCGAGAATTAGGAGGCATATTGACTTAGCTGCTGAAAATAACGCTGTTGCCGGCCTCCGGCGACCTAAATTTGACCATAGGGAGACGAAGATGCTAATGACAAGCAGAAGCGTTATGTGGATGGATGTGGCGCAAGCGAGTCTGTGCAGTTGCAGGATGTTTCACCAAAACTTTCAGCGGACAAACAAATCCGATTTCCCACCGTTGATGACCAGAAGAAAACTGAATTCGAAGGAGAAGAAGAAGCACAGTCATCAGCATCTCCAACCCCAATTCCGATCTCAATCGCAGCATCTCTGCTCACCTCTCCGATTACGATGCTGCGCCCCCGGAGCCTCTGTAACTTGTGACAAACAAAGCGTTCGCTTCCACAGTCTCATCGTGTTGGAATGGGACAAGCTGTGCAATTTGGTGGCTTCCTTCGCCTCTACTTCCTTGGGTCGCCAAGCCACTCTTGTGAATTTCCTTTGCTGCTTCTTTTTTCCTTTTTTCACATGCTCTCGTTTCCCTAATTCATCGAAACAATTATCTCCTCGCTCTGTGTTTTATTTGTCAGTCACAGTTATGGACTCTCGACAACAGCTACGACGACAGTTTGATGCTCTTGCAAGAAACTAACGCTGCTCTGCAATTGCGCAGTCACGGTGGCTGCCGTTTGGACTTTTCCGGCCTCGACCTCGTTTTGGTTCGCTTGTTCTCAGTGCTCTCCTCTTTCTTCTCCTTGTGCAATGTCGTTCTGTACTGTTGGTAATGTGCTCGTTCATTCCTTGAAGGTGGAATCTGCTATACAACATGCTCGTAGGAGTCTGCCGATCAGTGGAGCTGAAGCCATGGCGGTTGGAGCTCTGCTTGATTCTGCTCTTTGCTTGCAGCTTAATCTGAAATCTGCAATCAAGGAAGATGCCGATTGGTACCGCCGTTTTCTGCCTCTTTCACCGGTGGTATCGTAACTTGCACAAAAGAGCTTCTCGTCTCAGTCCAGCCAATTTACCTTATGTTGCCTGGTTAGAGTTTTCATTTTCACCTCCTGCATTCTATGTTCAGATTATGGCAATGGTCATAAATGGATCTTTGGTTAAAATGATTCAGCAAGTGGTTGATGAAGATGGCTCAGTCAAAGATTCTGCTGTTAGTTTTTCTTCTTTCTCTGTTCAAGAGCTTACAGCTGTTTCCATAATCTCAATTCTCAAGTGACTCACAGACAGATTGATGACTTCACAACTATTTGTTTCGCTTCTCTTCCGCAGAGTTCTGCTTTAAAACGATCACGTGGTCAGGTCCGCATGCTTGAGGAGAAGGTAAAAATTTCCATCTCCATTTAATTATCATAATAAAATGAGGTCACCAATTTTTTCTAAAAAAATCTCCATCTCTATTATTATTGTTGTTATTATTATTCTGATCGATAACCATCCCGCGTTGTAATGGTTGACATCCTTCTTTGTCCAGTTACACCGGTTAATGGACGTCTTAGTCAGGAATCAGACGACTGATACTTCCTTGCTGGTAAATTGAGCTGTTGATTATAATATTATTAGCATTAATATCACTATTTCTGGCTTCCTCAAATGTACACTTGTTGTGATACTCTGTTTATTATATTGGTCCAGGAAGCAAGTAGCATAGATGGAAGGTGGTGCCTGAAATCGGGACCTGGTCAGCTAGTAACTGTTAAGGGCCTTTTGTTATCCAGGTGAATGAGACACTAGTTAAGTTAAATTATTTGACATGCTCCTCTGACATGCAATGTGCAGTATGATATACTGCATGCAATCTGTGTGTTGAACAACTTTAAGTGGCATGGCAATAGGTGATTGCTTATCTGAACCCATCGTCATTTAGTATAGGTGTATTCTTCTTGCAAGCTTATTATCTGAGCTTAAATGGTAGAAGCTAACAAGAAATTCAGGCAAATCCTTGTAATAGAAATCTTCAGGATAGAGCAGTAATTTATGTCAAGGTCTCATGCTTATTTTATATGTGAAGCTGGTTAGGGACGCAGAAGAACAAGGCACGTAAGAGGTTTTGCACGATTTCCTTCAGATTAGACAAAATGTTTTGGGGCAACCAATTGCATATTACTTTAACTGGATTTAGGCTGAAAGGTCCAAAGAAACAAAGAAAGCCAATCAATGTAGGTCCATTTACGCACTTTAATTGGAATTCTGGTAAAGGAGACACTCTCTCACTAGATGCTACCCTTAGAAGTAAGAATTTGGCTATATAGAATTAGCTCATATTTATTCTGTTCCTAAACTGTGAAGAATGAATTATTGTAGGGAATCAGGCAGAGGAAGTATTATAGAGCCGCTCTCTGCAGTTCCTTTAAATGACGAGTTGCAACAGGCACGACTATCAGTGGCAAAAGCAGAAGTCGACGTGCTTTCTATGCTAACAGAAAAGGTAACCTCTTGTCAATATTAGGATCAAAATTCTATTTAGTATTGATTATTGACTATATTTCCATTCTGTCTAATCGATACAGGTTCGAGTCGATCTTGATGACATCGAGAAAGTGTTGAAGAATGTGATTCAACTGGATGTGGTAGGTCTTTAACTCTCAGTCTACTCTCTGAAACTGAGCTGAATTTATTGTTTTTGGTAATGAATAATGATTATACTTAACAAGGACTACTATACTTTCATATTGGCTGGTTAGATATGCTTTAACACGTATATAGTTGCTCAACCATGGAACCAAGCTAAAAGGCCTTGCAGCGCAAGACCTTAGCTACAGTTTAGAACATAAAGAATGATTGACTAGAACATCTGGAGAGATTGTTTTTTTAGGTAAACATCTAGCGATATTTGTCTCTCTTAAAATTGAAGTGTTTCTTTCTTGACTTTGTGTCTGAAGATAAATGCTCGAGCAAGTTATAGTCATTCATTTGGAGGTTCCTGTCCTGTCCTGTATCCCCCGGAAGAAATGGATGAATCAGTTGCTTCCTGTTCTTATTTATTGGAAAAGAACACATCAAATTGCAAGAAGAGAGAGTGGATATTATATATGCCTGAAGCTCATCATCCTCTGTTGCTTCAGCAGCATAAGCAACTCCTTCAGGAGACAAAGAAGGCCAGCAGATATGCTTCCATCGTAAGTTACTACAGGCCACCTTATGAAATTTCACTATTATTAATTAATGACTCCAAATTCAAGCTCCATATCCAATACAGGTAGCACATTGTATCGCTCTCATGTTGTTTACTCTGTCCATTCTTGTTGCTCTCTATTATGAGTTATAGAGAAAAGTTCAAAGAGATAGTGTCTCACAGAAAGGAGAAGCAAGAGTCATAGATTCGTCAATGCAAGGGCAGGTACATGTGATGCTACTGTATGAAGCTTGCTGGCTTAACATGTTTTGAATTATTCCTCAAAATTTCATCACTTCCTGAAGTATGCTAGCTATCTTTCTTTTAATTTGGAAGATTTGTACTAGTTTCCTGACCTCCGGATTGCAACAGCCCCCTCCAGTTCCCGTTGATTTCTTTATAGAGAAAAGAACAAGAGTCCTTGTTATAACTGGCCCAAACACTGGAGGTAAAACGATCTGCTTAAAGACTGTTGGATTGGCTGCAATGATGGCTAAGTCAGGTGGATGAGCATCAGTTACCTTTCTATTGCATTTACTGTACTTATTTGACGGCTAGAGATGCAAACACTCCTTGTTCGTGTGGCTAAAACTTTTCTCGACTGCAAGGCTGAAATTTTACATGTTTTGCAAACTATGATAAGTGGACTGCAAAAAAGAATGTTACTATATGCCATGTAGACAAAGGTAGCGACTAGGTCATGGTGAAATTTGGCTGCGTTTTTTCTTTTTTCCTTTTTGATTGCTTGTTGGCAGAAGGGCTAAGTTCTGTTGCTACATGGCATATTTTCATGACTGTACAGACAAGTTACATCCTCTTTTTTCCAATAACAAAGTGCATGGTCAATCATCAATAAAACAATCTTTAGTGTGAGAGGGAGTAGTGTTTGCATCCTTGTTAGTTGCTTGATCTAAAATTTACTCACAGGGGTTTTCCAATAACAAAGTGCATGGTCAATCATCAATAAAACAATCTTTAGTGTGAGAGGGAGTAGTGTTTGCATCATTGTTACTTGCTTGATCTAAAATTTACTCACAGGGGATATCTTGTTGTGTATTAATGCTGCAGGACTTCATATTTTATCTTCGGAATCTGTACAAATTCCTTGGTTCGATTCTATTTTTGCTAACATTGGTGAAGAACAATCTCTGTCAGAATCATTGTCCACCTTCTCTGGCCGGTTAAAACAGATAAGTGTGAGGATTGCATTTTTGTTATGGAAATCACGAACCAGCTCTTTTCTACATTCAGATTTGAATAAATGGTAAACAAATAAAGCACTTATGAGGTGAAAATGAGCATGTGAACCTTCTCATCCTCCTGGATAGTCAGGAGAGGTTCATTGAGCTCCAGTGGGTGCTGTTTGGATCCATTTGTGGACTAGTGAAAACACTGATTCAGGAAGAGAGTGGAAGAGCCTTATACTTGGTTGTTGATTCTCAATATTTCTTATAGAAATTTTTTTATCATGTAAATAAACCTACATAGTGTTGCTATGTTGACAGCACTGCAAGGCGATTAGATTAGTGTCCTAGAGAATACTTGCCATGTTAGGCCCGCTACCCTGAAAGTATTTAAATCAGTTCCTGGAACTACTTAATTTCACTGATGAGAAAAACTAGAACTGAGAAGGAAACTTAAGCGGCATAAATTTGGACTGCTGGCAGTAGAGCTTGAACTTTCAAGTAGATGGTTTGGATTTGGGATCTTAGGCTGGCGGAAGGGCTGACCAATAACCCAATCCAAAGCACTCTGCCTGTCTCTTTGAAAAGCAAGCGAGTGCCTTTTTTTGGTGAATCAAATGTCATTTTCTCTTTCCCATTTAAAAAATTGTTTGTTTTTCATGAGAAATTGGTCAATCACGATATCTCTTCTGTATTTTCTTTGAATTTTTTTATTATGTACGTCTCCCAAGCTGTTTCTGGAATATTGATCATAAGTGACCTACTCATTCTGCAGGAAATTCGATCTGCATCAACAACCCAATCATTGGTATTGCTTGATGAAGTATGCAAAACCCAGTTCCTTCTCTTCTTTCATGCTTTTATTTTCCCCGCATTGGAATGAAGCTCACATGCGGCTTTAAACTGCAATAGCACCTAGCGAAGTTGCCTAGAAGATCCATCTCTGTTTACTTCTCGCAATTGAATTTTACTCACTGACAGCTGTAGCAGCATGCTTGATCTGAAGCGAACTTGGTCTTTTGATGATTACTCAAGTCTGGTGGCATGTTTGTGATTAAAATATAACTGAAGAAGCCGTAACCTGTTAACTGAGTGCCCCCCACCCCAACACATACACAAACTTATGATGATAGGGCAAGAGGTCATACATAGCATTTAATAACTTAATGCCTGATTGCATCTATTAGGTTGGCGCTGGGACAAATCCCCTTGAAGGTGCTGCTCTAGGAATGGCAATGCTGGAATCTTTAGCCAATTATGGTGCCTTGCTGACTCTAGCTACAACACATCATGGCGAACTAAAATCACTTAAATACAGGTATTTACTCAAGAAAGTAAGATGCATAAATTTACCCTCGTCACTCTATTTTGTAAGTTAAATTGATAAGTTAATACTGGTAAGTAAAGCTACCTATAGCTGTCTTTCTAATGCTATAAGTTCTTTTATTTTTATGCTTATGGTTTTCTTATTTGACTTGACAGTAATGATGCCTTTGAAAATGCATCTATGGAGTTTGATGAAGAGAATTTGAAGCCGACTTATAAGATTCTGTGGGGAGTACCAGGTTGCTCTCTTTTCCTAATTTTTGCATGATAGGATGATGACCTGATAATCTCAAAGTATGAGCTCCCGCTCCAACTCCAACTCCTTGGAAGCCAGATCCAATAAATTTAAGAACTGCACTTCCTTAAAATTTTCTATTGAAGTTAATGGTATTATCATTATTTTACATCTTATATTAATTACTGTCTTTGTTTATACAGGCCGATCCAATGCCATAAATATTTCTGAAAAGCTAGGATTGCCAAGCACCATCGTTACTGAAACTAGACAACTTATTGGTGCTTCTAACGAGGAGATTAATGAGGTGATTTGTATGTCCATTGCGGAAATTGGTTCAGTACATAAACTAACTGATGCCTGGTAGCAGCACATGGCTTTGTCTTATAGAGGCCGTGATTGGGATGATGTCAGTTGTTCAACATCTACAGGTCATTGTTGGCATGGAGCATGCGAAGCATGATTTTCGAGAACTTTTAAGTGAGGGCAAACATCATATCATGTATGGATCTAACTTTTGATTCATATGGGTTCTTATCAATCTTAGTTCTTTAAATTTGCATTCATTTGGATAAGCTTTTATTGAGCATATATAGACAAGAGTGTACAGAGTTCTGTGTCTTTATTGTCGGAAGGGGAAAAATAGTTATACTTATAAGGCTTTGTCACTTGACCGTTGTCAAAACCTCATTTATTTCTATGCTGTTTCTCTCATGAAAATTTTAGGCTCTCAAGAAACATGCACAAACATTTATTTATGGCGAGAAGTAGGATCATGGAGCATGCTACAAGGCAAAGATACAGCAAGGTCCAGGAAATAACTGAAGCTGCTGCTTCAGCACGTTCTGTTCTTAGAAAGAAAGTGCGAGAGTTTCAAGCTTCTGCAACACAGCCAGCTACAGCAAAGAAAAGAGTATTGGTGGCAAGTGACAAACAGCGCATTACCTCCGAGGACCAAAAACTTCATGCTAGTAATGAAGGTTTGTCGCCAAGCAAACCTCTTAAGCAATTGCCTTCTTCAGGTAATGTGATATTCCATGAACGTTCTCAGCCTGGTGCAGGCTGCTTATGGGGAAACACTTGGTGTTATGCACCATTGCCACTGCTGAACTTGTATACTTAGTCTAAGGGTGATTTAATTGTTTTTGGTTTCTCCCTTACATTTTGACAGAGAGGATTGGGCTTCCTGAGGTGGGTGAGCTGGTGCATGTTTCCAGTTTAGGGAGGAAAGCGTCAGTTGTGAAAGTGGATACTGGAAAAGAAGAGATAGTGGTTCAAGCGGGTAACCTGAAATTGAAGCTAAAATTAGGTGATATCCAGAGTTGAATGGTAAGAGATAAGCAGCTAGTGTCCCGTTTGTTTGTTTGTTTTTTTTTTTTTCTTTTTATCGTGCTAACGTCTCACTGTTGATGGTACTTATCTAGTTTTTCTATTTTATTTTTAATGATACTTGTGCAGTTGATCACCAGTCTGTAGACAGATAATTCAACATGTATTATATCTAGAATGTTTCTGTATCAAGAGCAGACTGCATTTGTCTGTCGAATCTCTACCTAATAAATTGTTAACTCTTTTGCTGAACTATATCGATAATGATGCTATTGCATTTTGCTTTTTTCTCATAGAGGTACTTTTTCCTAGTGGCTTCCCACGGGTGGCTTGCAATAGTTGGTATCAGAGCAAGTGCTCCTCCAACTTATTCAAACTTGGACAAGCAGAAATGAAGACAAGCTGCATCCACTGATCTGCATCACGGATCGATAATTGTCATGGCAATGATCAGGTCAGAGATGTTGGAACAATTGAATGTAAAGCATCACATCACAGCTGAAGGAACACCATAAGCGGGCAGTGAAAGATCTCACCAAATCCAAGAGACATTAACATGTCGAACAAAGATAATATGCTAATGTCGCATTTACCCTAGAAAACTATAGTACTGTATATCCAGCTGTCCAGTTGTGTTATCGTCTCAAAAGTGCCGAGTTTCTTATCATGCTTGGAACAGTGCACTCTAATTCTTTTATGTTCTATAGTTGTGACGCTACTGCTGCTACTACTAGTACTAAGACTAGTTGATACTGTGAAGTGCAGGTGGCTACTATTATTTTAAATCAAACTCGGTGTTGGGAGGTGGTGAGCTGACAATGATCGGGGTCCTGGTGGTTCATAAGAACATGGCCTCCATCCTCACCATCTCCGGCTGAGGTGGCACCAGGATCCTCCAAGGTAACGTCCAGGAAGTAGAGCATGGAGACGAGCACAAAGCAGCACAAGAACATGGGAACAGGGCCAAAGAGCCAAAGCAACAAAGGCAGTGAGAAGTAGAAGGCACGCAGTCCCAATGACCAGAAGTAGCCACCTCTATTCACAGACCTGGCCACGTAGTCCACCGTAAGATGGCTGCTTCCAGTCTTCATGTCCTTGAGAGGGACGTTAATGAGGAGGCTCGCATGGCTATAGTACCTGATGGACTGTACAGTGAGCAGAAAAGCGAGGAGGAAGCAGAGCAGTATGGAGAAGAACTTGAGGGAGAGAGCTTCATCGCTGGCGTCTCCCATCAGCACCAAAACCAGACGGGATTTGTCCAATGTGCTGCTGCCCATCAACATGGCGATCAAGGAGCTGAGCATGATCGCCGTGGAGGCCAAAAGTGTTGATGCCATTATGTTGTTGCGGAGCGTCTGGACTGCGAGAACTCCATTCCTGGAAGGATCCTGGAAAAGAAAAGGAATTAGAGTGCATATGGAGATGATGATGGAGAGAGAGAGAGAGAGAGAGAGAGAGAGAGAGAGAGAGAGAGAGTACAATACATCCATCATGGCGCGAACCCAGAAGCGGCGATTAATGGCGTTGATGCCAACAATGGTTTGGGAAGGATGGTTTAGGATTTGGCAGAGCAGCCAGAGGTGGTATGACACCATCATTACCAGCCCCAGAGGTACCAATGTGTAGTCCAGAACCCTTTTCTCCATCTCTTTCTCTGTTTGTTTGGATTGAATTGTTTTGGCGTGGATGAAGAAGACGGAGAGAGACGAAGGTAATCTAAAGGCTTCGTGATGTTCTCTCACTCGACTGTTAGCATTAACCCTTGTTTCATGAAGAAACAGAATGGGGGCTAGGTTTGTGATACTTTCTTTGTTTGCTGTGTACGTGTAAGATTGAGAAGGTAGGCGTATTTTATGGAGCAAATTCGTTTGCACTAAGGTAAAAGAGCCATAAGCCCATAAATATGGAGATGGGATGGGAGGTTCGTTTTTTTTTTTTTTTTTTTACAAGAGATGGGATGGGTTATGGATAGGGCTGGAAGTTTGGTACAGGTATTTGGGATATACCGAATACCGTACCGATTTTTTTTATATTTAGTATTACCGAATACATTATTTCTTGGGATTGGGATTGGGATTGAATTTCAATTGTTATTCGATATTAGGGATTACGGGACTGGGATCGGTATATACCGAAATATCGATCAATACCGAAATATAAGCTAGTGTGTATTTATCCTCTCAACTAGACTCTTGAATTCACTACTACACGATCCTCAACCATCAAGAGTGTCATTTAATTATACAAGATCATTCCATCACTATTAATAGTTGTCTCTCAACTAGGGATGGCAACAAAACCTGAACCCATGGGTACCCACCCGACCCAACCCGGTCAACGCGGGTAAAATCCGTGTTGACGGGTTTTGGGCCGGGTTCGGGTTTAAACCCGCTACACTATTCACCGGGTCGGGTTGGGTTTGGGTTTAGGTAAACCCGACCCATGGGTACCCACCCACACACATATAATTACTTTCCCGATATATTTAATATTCTAAATAATATATTTTCCTTAAGCAATTAATATTCTTTGTGTTTGTGGAGACATGTATAATTTGTTCTTTCTAATTGTTTAGAATGAAGTTGATATTATGAAGTGGAGAGTGAAGAAACTTAGTTGACGAGGAAGAAGCTTTCAATTAATCTTTTGTTTATAGATGTTTATCTTTAATTTTGAACAATTTGTATTGATTATTTGCGGTTTGCTTGTATGCTCTAGATTGGTGTTTTTTTGTATGATTAATTTGTATGAGAAAATTGATGTTAAACTTTTATTTTGAAAGAAACTTGTTATGGTAAATTTTTTACCATAAAAACCCACGGGTACCCATGAACCCGCGGATACCCAGCGGGTTGAGTTGGGTTTGAGTTTTTCAAACCCAACGGGTTTTACCCCGGGTTTTTTTGGCGGATAAACCCATGAGTTTGGGTTTGGGTTTGACAAAACCCGACCCAACCCGACCCATTGCCATCCCTACTCTCAACCTCCAGTTCGTCAAATTAACGATTACCAATGACAAGAACTTGAGATATCTCCTCTCCTCCATTCTCCTTAATAATATCCTAATTCAAGACTCTTTGCTTAGCCTTTTCCCCCTAAATTAAAAAATAAAATCTAATTTATATATTTAATTATTTATTACAAAGGTAATTAATTTTGTATTCGATAATACCGAATGGGATATCGAAGTACCGATTGGGATTGGGATACCGAAATTATTTAGGGATTGGAATTGACTTTAATGTATAATTCGGTATTTGGAATTTTGGTATTTGGTATTGGCTTACCGATACCGTACCGATTTCCACCCCAGTGATGGACTGGGTCTGGGAGGTTTGTTGTGAAGCCAAAAATAAGCAAGAGTGGTACTAGGCCGTCGTTTTGTTTTATGGATGGGATAATTGGATGGCTTGGCTATGCCTACAGGCTACAGCCTAGAACTAGGAGGGGAGAAAGAAGGCACTGCACTTGCACTGTTGCACAGGAGGAAAGTAAGCGTGTAGGGAAACGGAACGATTTTGTTTGCTGGTTGGTTTGGGTTTAGGGTTAATCCCAGTAACAGAAATTAGGAATACATAGACATAGACGTTGCAAATCCTAGCAATGGCACATGCTCATGTTAGTTGTTACGCCTTGAGCATTTTCATTGTTTTCTTTTTAATTTCTTTCTATCATAATGCCCTTTCGTAAGAGGAATTTTACAATGCTATATAGCATTGGTGCTATAGGTTTTTGCCTTTATGGTACAACTTGAAATTGTACCTTTAATGTTATGGTACAACTTCAGATTGTACCTATACTTTTTGTACAAATTTTTTTATGGTACAACTTAAACTTGTACCTTATGTGATGGAACAACTTCAAGTTGTAAAGTTGTACCATAACATAATGCTACAAATTCCTTTATGGTACAACCTAAACTTATACATTTAATGTTATGGTACAACTTCAAGTTGTACATTAAAGCACCAATACTATATAGTATAGTAGAAGTGCTCCTTTCATAAAGAGTTATTAGAAGATAAATACCAGAAAATGAGAAATTTCATGTTCAACACCTATGTGTTACCAAAAATTGAACTTTCCTACTTTTTTGTACCTAGTATAGAACATACGAATCCAAATTTGATCATCCCCAAATACAAGCAAACCTTTATGTGCAAACAATCACAAAACGATTTCAATAATTCGATGCCTACTATATGACACAACCCCCAACCTATAACTAAATCATTTGCTAAAGAATCTTCTCGACCAAATCGTTTCTCTCGCGTCAAAATCATCTCACTACACTAAGCTACCAAACCATACCGAATCAGACATCAATAGTTTCAATTCTCCATAAACTTGATCTTCTTCAAATAATTTTGCATGCGCCGCAACAATCGCCCTCCAGACGTGAGCTTGTAGTGCTCAAACTTCTTCTCGTCACACTTTAAAGCAACTAAACTACAAGTCCTCATACTTTCTGTATCGCTAAAAGGGAAAGGAGAAAGGAAGAAGGGGAAAATATGATACATGGATCAATCTCTGTAGAGTTATCTCAGGCCTCAGCACACCTAAGTGAAGACATCACATTATTCTTAGGATAGACTTAGGATACACACAGGGCGGACCCAGGGGGTTTTAGGGGTGTCCGGGAAAATGATTATCCAACCACCGGTGGTAATTTACGTATAGACAAAAAATATATATAATTTATAGTGAGGGACACTCCTGAAATTTGAAAAAATGATTATCCTACTGTCATTTGTGTATAAAAATATAAATGGTAGGTTGGGTAATTCAAATCTAGAACACTATTATTATTAATAAACTTAATTTCCGTTGAGCTACAACTCATTTGTTGTTCGATTTTGAATAATGTGTAATAGTAAAAAGTCATTCCCTATGTCTAATTATTTCAATCTAAACTAATTTCAATCTACCCTTAATTTGTATTGATTTTATGATTGTACGGCAAGTGTTGAAAAGTCTTTCAGCTTTGGGTTACATCAAGAACAAGTTTACAAATCGAATATGCGATAAGTTCCTGAATGATTGTCTAGTAGGGTATATGGAGAATTTTTTTTTAACACTATAAACACCAAGTGTATTCTACAATTATTTTCGAATATGAAAACACATCATGGACTTTTTTAACTTGTACGAGTTAGGTATTTTCATTTTTATGATTTTATTTTTATTAATTATTTTTATTTTTACTTAATTTATTTTTTTAAAAAAGACACTCCTATGAAAAATTTATGGGTCTGCCACTGGATACACATACACTAAACGATGTAAGAAAATTTTCAATCAGAAATAGACTTTACACACTTTTTGTAATGCCCAATTGTTGATCATGGACCATTAAAAACAGTCATTTTGTTTTGAACCATTTAAAACATGGAGTTATGTACTTTTTGCTCATATGAACAACAATTACTATCAAACTCCATGAAATAGTCACCATTATCACTAGGGCTGGAAGTTTGGTACCGATATTTGGCATATACCGAATACCGTATCGAATTTGTCTATATTTGGTATTATCGAATACACGTATTATTTTGTGGGATCGAGATTGAGATTGAATTTCAATTGTTATTCGGTATTAGGGATTACGGGATTGGGATCGGTATATACCAAAATACCGATCAATACATAAATATAAACTAGTGTGTATTTTATCCTCTCAACTAGACTCTCTCATTCACTACTACGCGACCATCAACCACCAAAAGTGTCATTTAATTATACATAGATCATTACATTACTATTTCACACTAATATTAGTCGTCTCTCAACCTCAAATTTGTTAAATTAAAGATTACCAATTACAAGAACTTGAGATGTTAGCTCTAGGCAACTCAAGCCTATTTGTTTAGTCTCTTTGCCCTATTTGTATTCGATAATACCGATTGGGATACCAAAATTATTTAGGGATTGAAATTGGGATTGATTTTAGGGTGTAATTCGGTATTCGGGATTTCTGTATTTGGTATTTGGATACCGATACCGTACCGATTTCCACCCCTAATTATCACAACCAAAATGAAAACAGAACTACATGATTTATAGAGGACTATGTATGAGAACTTCCACGAAAAGTTAGGGGTGAAAGCTTGTCCCGGAAGACCCACTGACCCGTCCCGACCCGTCCCTAAGGGTCGGGACGGGTCCGTTTGTCTACAGGAACAGATTAGGGACGGGTCATTTGTTGACCCTGTAAGGGTCGGGACGGGTCGGGACAACTTAGGGACGGGTCACGTTTTGACCCTGTGACCCTTAGCAACAACAAATATCTTATACTTCATTGGACTTTTTTGTAAAGTTTTAAAAGTTTAGGTACTAATTTGTAAAAATAAAAAAATTTGGGTACCAAAACGTAATTTTACCATCACAATTTATGGACTTATTTGTAAAAAAATAAAATTTAGGTACTAAATTGTAAGAAAAAATAATTTTGGGTACCAAAACGTAATTTGTAAAAAAGTTGTGTGTTGATTAGGGTCGACTCACTGACCCGGCCCGTCCCGTCACAACCCTTGAGGGTCAGACAGGGTCAAGAAGGAGACAGGGGCGGGACAGACAAATTTTCAGTACATAACTCATTAGAGTTACTAAACACAAATTAGTTTCAGCAAGTCTACTTACCACTAGGGTCCATATTGCAAAATGTTGGGCAATTCCCAATCTTCCGCGCTATGGTAATAGCTGACCCAATTTTTTTAAGCTTCTCTCCAGAAACTCTGACTATGCATATCTTTGTGGCAGGGGCATATTTGACTGCACTGGCTGCAGATCCAAAAATCTGGAAATACACCTCCATAAGTACGCACAAATATGATGTAGACAAGTAACCTACAACGTACCTTGCAGTGAACCAAGTGACAGAGCCAGCAAACATTCCCCAAAGTTTTGAAGAATGCATCTTTAATTACGTTCATCATATTGAATGGTGTAATGGTGATAAATTCATCACCTTGGATGTCTTGATTTGAATCCAAGAAAACTTTCATCATTATGTATCTGTTGTTAAAATCCACCATTATCTTTAATCTGAGATGCAACTTAACAAAGAGACTGAAGGAAATCAGTAAAAATATGCTTTTGTTGAGATATTTGTTTGATATTAACCTAAATACTCATGCTCACCTCGACGACTATCAAATATTAATGCTTAGATATTCATGCTCGCCTTAGGTGATGGGCGATACTCAAAAATGGATAAGGAATAGCTTTTGCTTCTTGGTGAGGTGAGCATGAGTAAGATAAATACTAAACCCAAAAAAGTGGCGTTGCGGCTAACCTCAGCAAAGCAACGTAGCGCTTCACTTTTGGGTTAATTACCTCGTTGTTAGATTCCCTCTCCCGCTAAGACCCAACAATACAAGGCAAGCCCCAATCTCCATCTACAAATAGCCCATCCGCCATGCAAATCGATCCACAACTACCAGCTAGCTCGTCCCCTTGCCAATTAGAATCCCCTCAATAGCCAACTAATTCGCCTTGATGAATTGGAATATCCTCCTCCTCGTTCCCATTGTGGTTTTCTCCTTGTGCGTTTTGGCTCGTCCCTCCCATTCTTGCGGCTTCACCCTGACCAACAATTGCCCCCATCCCATATGGCCTGGCACGCTAGCAGGCTCGGGCACCCCGCAGCTCCAGACCACCGGGTTTCGCCTTGACCCGGGCCAGACGGCTCGAATCCCCACCATCCCAGGATGGTCCGGGCGTATATGGGCGAGGACGGGCTGCTCCTTCGATCAATCTGGTGTTGGTACCTGTCAAACTGGCGACTGCGGAGGGAAACTGGAGTGCAACGGCAATGGTGCCACCCCTCCTGCTTCCTTATTCGAGATAACACTCGGCAAAGGCAACAATGATAAAGACTTTTACGATGTCAGCATCGTTGATGGATACAATCTTCCTATGATCGCTACGCCCGTGGGCGTCAACGGAGCTTGTAACGCCACTGGCTGTGCTTCTGACCTCAACCTCGGTAATACAAATTAACTATCCAACGTTCATCCATTCCCTTGCCTCTTCAAGGGTGCTTCCCATGTTAACGAGTCTCAAACTTACAGGGTGCCCCAAGGAGCTTCAGGTGGTCAGCTCCAGTACGATCGATGGTATTGACGGTGAGGGAGGAGTGATAGCGTGCAAGAGTGCTTGTGAGGCATTCGGCCTGGACCAGTACTGTTGCAGCGGCCAGTTTGCCAACCCCAACACCTGCCGGCCATCCTTCTACTCTACTATCTTCAAGCGAGCCTGCCCCCGCGCTTACAGCTATGCCTTCGACGATGGAACCAGCACCTTCACCTGCAAAGCTTACGACTACGCAATAACCTTCTGCCCTTCCAATAACAACAATTACCATAATCCCGACCCACTGTACGCATGGGTTCTGTTAATACTTACAACGTGGGTTAGCCACTTTCATTTAACTTGGTTCTTGACGATTCTTTTCAGGCTCATACATTCATTCTTCTCCAACTGCAGGACCGGTGCATCTTCTTCTGAGACATTTGATGGTCCGGTAACACGGAAGAACAGCCAAGGGGGAGCCGCAGGGATGATTTCCACCTCAAACGCTCTCCCGCCTCCTCAAATTATTGTCCTGCTCACGTTTATCTTTGGCATTCTTCCATTGATCCTCGTATGAAGCATTTCTGATGAAAAAGACACGAATCACTCACAGCTGTCTCTTATACAGTTAGGTTATGAATGAAATGATCCCAATTGTAGTGTTCTTCAAGTGTTAGGACACCATACTCCATACAGTATTTGTACGAGACATCATAAGAACACACCAAAAAAAAAAAAAAAAACTTACTAGGCATTTGAATAGAATACATTCATTGGCTCACGTAACAAATTCCTTTCTTCTAGCACATTATGCAGACAATTCGACTTCTAACCAACTCAAAGTAGCTACCAAGGTCAGCATCTGGACAGCAAATATCAAAGGAAACCCAAGTGAAGGACATGCATTCGCATCATAACAGTTTAGCGGAAATTCATTTCTTGGCTTTAGCTCTCTTCGAAGCTTGATTTCTCTTTGTTGCTCGCTTTGTTGGATTAGACTTCCCTCCTGCACTCTTGCTTTTCTTCTTATCAAAACCCTGCATTCAAAATTAACAAGAAATCAAGCATATTAGAAACGTCTGGTGTTTCACAACTCAGTATATGATAACATAACAGGGGAGGACTCCCAAATTGTACTAAAAGTAGTGGGATCATACTGATGACTTATCCGTTTTCGCCTTGGCTTTCCCCCCACCATTGGGCTGTTCTTCAATGCCCTCATTCTGATATGGATGAGAAGCTTTCCTCTGCACTTTTTCTGTTTCGTCTTCTGAATCGAAAGAGAAACCCTCAAGTGTTCCTACTCAGACCAAGTCAATTCAGCGAAAGCACAAAAAAAAACCTCAAAGGAAAGTACAATATAAACTGAGACATGGCGCCACATAGATGTACAAACAGGAAACCAAATCCCTTACCTTCAACCATTGTTTCAGCTTCATAAACATTGGACTGTGGTGTTAGCTTAATGAAGTCATTCATAATGGCTTCTATCTGACAAGCAATAGCATTCATAACAACTGAATAAGAAACAAATAATGACATATGCCGCTATAAGGAAACTGAATCGGATCTAATCAGAGAGACGTTATTTTCTGCTATAACACGAAGATACTAACCTTTGCCTCTGATTGGCCAAAGCTAACCTGAACCAGAAAAAGATTACATCAACAATTAATTCTAACCAAGAATACTGCATGCATGACTAAAGCTCAAGCAGCGAGCAGAAATGATTTGGTGATCTGGAACTCAGGAAAGAACGGATGACATACGACACAAAATGTCCTGGACGGAACAATTGATGTTCTGTATATTGTTCCTGAAACAAGTAAATAAACTAATTAGAGGCAGGTAATTATGCACAAATAAGGATTCTTAGTGATGGTGATGGTCATGGTCAATGATGGGAGGCAGTAATGGAGTGCACAGTAAACCATCTAAGAAGCTTCCTTCAGTGAATATAACTCAGGATTTCCATAGTACACTTCAACATGTTACTGAGGCATGGACGCCACTGTTGAGCACTATAGATTCTCCGACTCCATTACAGTACCCACACCCAGTGTTATTTCTAGGTCAATGAAAACCCAAATACAAATCTAGTTTCTCATCCAAGTCCACTCAGCTGCTTTTACATCCAACCTCCAAATTTCTCACTAGAGGGGGCTCCTTTATAACACTGAATCCCAGAGCTCTATATAACCGCTCAACAGTGTCGATCAAACACATCCGTGACACATACAGTCATACACAATTGTCAATGCATTCGTGACATTTACCCGGCATAAACTTATGAACCTCAAACTGAATACAATCCAATGGAACAGAATTCTACAGTTTTATGAGAGAAAGTTCTGAAAAGAGCATCACAAACAAAATGGAGCAGTACCTTTCAGATCGAAGTACATGTCACTATTTCCAGCAGGGCTATCTTGTACCATTATGCGTCCTACAGCCCCCATATCCCCACTTAAATCAACGGAATCTCCATCACACTCAACAAGTGCCTGACACAGACCACAAACCTTTTATCAAATATGCCCGATATAACCACTAAACAAGCAAGAAAGAGGGGAAAACCCAGTAAGATCCAAAGAAACATTCCTTGTCAAACTCCTAAAGTAATGATTAGGTAAAATAGCAACAAAATTTCTCAACATACATCCTTTCGACCTACGAAAATGAAACATGAGTTTTTTATCTCTTCCAAAACAACAAAGATGAACTAGCCAAGAAAGTTGCAGAAACTATATCTGACCAACTCTTCAACTGTTTCATGGAAGTATATCTACCAAGAGTACAAAGGAACGAAGCCCTAAAGAAAGTTATCAAGTATCATCCAACGGAAGTCCTAAAACTCACCTTTGAACGTTGGACTTTCTCGGATAGTACCAGAGATAAGCTTGAGGTAGAAACCTGCAGGATCCTGAGGTAATTCAGCAAGTCATGTACCAACAAGTTTAAAAGTAACTTGCACTAGTTTATCATACCCGGGAACTAATAGGCTTCTCAGTTGTGTCCTCTTCTGGTGCTTCCAGGTCCTCATTTCCTCCTGGAACAGTATCCAATGCTTACGTGAATTCAATGAAACAAATCCACGGTGACAATCCTACATGGGCGCCAAAACAAAGAGGAGAGAGATTCTGATTTCTGACCCTTCTTCTGCAGGTCATCCATCCTATTTATCTTATGTAGAGTATCATCCTCTAGTCTTGACTTCTTTTTGGGAGATTTTTCTTTTGGAACCTTCTTCGATACAGAGTTCTCACTGCTACCAACTAATGCTGCATCCTTATCATTTTCCTTCTTTGGACTACATAATCTTCTTGCTTTTGCTCTTGGTTTACCATCAGGAGAAGACTCGGAATCCGAAGACAGGGCCAAAATAAAGTCATCTGAGACCTGTATAATATTACATGTTCTTATCATCGGTCTGCAAGAACATAAGGCAGCCAGCGGAAGACTTAATTGAAATGAAATACAATCCTATTAGTATTTCTCAAACAAAGACAAATCAAGGGAGGGGAAAGGAAAGGGGGAGATATGAAAGCTGTAGATGATTATTCACAATGATGACATGGATGTAAGGGTTATAAACAGTCAAATCAAAACCAATGTAGTAGTTGCTTCAGCAAATCTGCAAATGAGCCAACTGCGGACTAAAATTTAATGGACAAAATAGAATGCGCAAAATCTGGAGTGATATGACAATGCTTATCACTAGTAAAATAGATCTCTCGCAATCTCAGGTCCTAGCATCGTGGTTCTTCTAGTTCTTGATGCGGAGAATTCATAAACTTTCAAGGGGCAGACTTTAGCCCAATGCATCAAATCTCCATTTACATATACGCCATTCAAAGATGACTAGGTCACAACAACAAAAGGGGGAAAATCATAAGCTAAGCTGTTGGGAAAATCATTTCCTATTCACTGTTAACAAGGAAAGAATGATGGATTATAGACGAACTACCCTGGTTGGTGCTGATCCCTCAGCATCTACAGCATCTTCATGTGCAATACTGTTGTCTGGAAAATGAACTTAAGAAAGAGCAGTTAAGTCTTAGGCTTTGCACATAAATTCAATTGCAGTACACAGAGTATGAAAACTGCCTATAATTCATAAATGTAAACATGCCTCACTTTTTTTCTTCTTCTTCCCAGATGAAGTGTAGTCTTCTTTTGGCTTCTTTCTTGATGCCTTGGCTTTGGAAACCTCGTCTGATGGAGACTGACCACCATTTTCACCATCTGAATCAGGAACGTTCTCACTTTCTAGTGACTGGGAGTTGGCTAGATCCACCCTTTCAGGACTGTCATTCAGAGATAAACTGGACCCCGATGATATAGCCACCGGCGAATAAGTTGGAGCCTGCAGATATGTAGAGTTCAGCAACTGCATAACCAGGAGCTGATATCAAAATATCAAATCTCCGGAACTAGTACCTGGAAGGAGCGAAGCCAATCTGGAGAACTTTCCCTGGAGTCACTCATTTTTTCTTGGGCGCTCTCCTGAATATACACCGCAATTCTTGAGTTAGGAATGACGAAGCTAAACGAGGATGCGTTGAATTTGAATGCGGCAACAAAGCAAATTCGCCCTTGCGACAGCCACAGACAAGCAGGAACCAAGCAAAACTCCCACCTCCCTCTTACGAGACGAGACGAAGCAGAGCCTAATTTTGTTGGGCCGGCTAAATGCCCAGATGGGAGATGGCAGCTTATTATTGTTTCTTAAAACAAAGGCTAAAATAACTCGGGTAAAGTATAACTGTATAAGAACCGGAAGAGAGACTATTTTAGTAACAATAACTTTATTATATGCGAGGAAAAGGGTGAGTAATGGGCGGGTTGGGTGGATTTTCGTCTAAAATTGACTCACTCACTTACTAGCGAGTTGGAATAATTGTGATCCGCAATCCACCCGCATTCTTCTACGGGTCATGTTGGGTGGGTGGCGGATAGGTACGGTTGGGTCGTGGGTTAACCCGCAAAAGCAATCCTCTAACTAGCCATTAAGAAAGTTGACTAACATTTATAATAAATTCAAGCAAATTAGGAAAACTGTATCAATTTAGACACTTCTCACTTTGTCTCAAGTGAGTCTAAGTAGTATTTGCATAAAAAAATTTCACTACTCTTCAACCAATTGTGTAGAGAAAACTTACGCATTTGTGATTCTAATATAATTAATAATTTATAGTTTTCATTCTAATATTTAATGGATATTAACAATAATTCGCATTCCAATGTTCAATATCTAATCGATATTACACAACACAATAACCAATAAAAATAGTTGAAACTATTATTTATTCTCCACCTTTAGAAGTATATGGTCAAACTTTAGTGCGGTTCGAAAAGATGGTGAATATTCAATACTATAAGAAATAACATTTTTTCATGTGAAAATAGGATGCAGTTCATTCGGGTGACCCTCAATCCGCCCACCACCCACCCGCATAAGTGCGGTTGTGAGATTTATCAATCCGCAATCCACCCACATCAATCACCCACTGCTTGCGGGTCGGGTTATTTGCGGGTTGATCGATTTCAATTCGCGAATTAACCACCCATGTGCCCACCCCTAGTGCACCCGGTATCACTTACATTTATTGTTGGCAGAATATTCTTGGGTTTCATTTTGTAAATTTCAAAATAGGTCCTTCTACTTTTCTTATTCTAAAAAAATCATTTATACTTATAAAAAACATCACATTTTTATTTTTTAGTTGAAATTTATTTTTTTAATATGAATTTGAATTACTTTTATTAAGTAGGTCGCATCATTGGGCTTACATCACCAAGCAGCAAATGAAATAAAAAGACAGGAGGCCTACTAAGGGGCTAAGATCTGGTGACTAAGGGGGGTCTCTTAGTCACATGGCTAAGTGAATCTCAGCCCTTCCACCTCATTAAAATTCAATGGCTCAAATTAATCCAATTTAATGAAGGACAATATAATAATTGCAAGATTATTTTATTTTATTTACCAATTAAATTAAAAAAAAATACAGCACTGACTACCGTCGCGGGCTCCATCTCCTTCTCCGGCCCGACGTGATGGGTTTTTTTCCCAGTCCCGCCGACGGTCCTTTTCTCCGACGCCGACGATGTGGCCGAAAATTCTTCGGTGGCGTCCGGCGTGGGCATGTTCCTAGGGGGAGGGGTGGCCATTAATTCCATTTTTTTCCTCCAAAGCTCCTGTACGCGCTAGAGAGAGAGAGAGTTTATGGGATGGGAATTATTTGGGGGCGCGCGCAGAGAGAGAGAGATTTTTTTGGTCGGAAATTTTTTTTTCCGGCGACCATCGTCGACGGAGAAGAATTTTCCGGCGACAGTGCCAATTTTGTGATGTTTGTTGACATATTTTGTAATGTTTGTACGCTTTGTTATTTTGTAATGTTTGTAAACTTTGTTATTTTTGTGCACCATGTTTATCATTTTTGTCAACCATGTTTGTAATGTTTTTTATACATAAAAAACAACCTGGTTGACTTTTGGATGGAACTTCTCTATATAGGGATGGAGCCTCCAAAGTCAACCCGGGTGTTTTTTTCCAGTTCGTATGGATTGTCGGTCTAGTTTGTCATTTTTGTCCACCATGTTCGTACTGTTTGTATGTCTAAAAAACACCCGGGTTGACTTTGGGAAGGAGCCCCTCTATATAGGGATGAAGCCTCCAAAGTCAACCTGGTTGTTTTTTTCTTTTTGTATGGTTTGTATTGTTTGTCGGTCTAGTTTGTATTTTTTGTACAGTTCATATGTTTGTAAATCTGTTTGTATGTTTTGTCGCTCTAGTTTATACTGTTCGTATGTTTGTATGGTTTGTACTGATTGTAAATCCGGTTTGTATGCTTCGTAATTTTCCATAATACCCAAACTACCCATGTCATAATTAAATAGCCCTTCCCACTTTTTAACCATCAGATTGATGTGTCTAGATCTAAGGGCTGGGAGGGGTTTAGTCAAGTGACTAATCCCCCCCCCCCCTTAGTCACCGGATCCGCACTCCCTACCAAGCCATATTTCTTCTTCCTCCCAGTGGCAGAGTGTGTGTGCCGTCACATGGGCTGCCTAGTTGCATCCTCGACCCGTAAAGAAAAAACGAAGACCCCCGCCTTTCTTGTCTCTGAACGGATTTCTTCACAAAGCGCTTCGAGATCTCCATCATTCTCGTCCTCATCGATCATTTTCTTCACCGCGAGTTGATAGTCTGTCTCTATTGTCACCGGAGAAAACCCATATCATTGAGCAATCTCCTAGTAGTTATGGTTATATCCTAGTAGTTGGAATCCTCTTTTGAAAGCTCTCGTCAAATCAAATTTTGAATAGGAAGTTTAGAACTAGTTATCATTATAAATATTTTTAATTGTCATTATGTGTTCTAATAATTAAATTATTTCCTTAAGCAAATATATCCTATGAATTCTGTCTTGATATATATAATCTCGATATATAAATCTCTGTGTAATTCTATAATATATGTTGTAGATGTTCCATATTAGTTAAATTTACTAATTCTAATTCTCTTCCTGCCGTCATATTTTCTTTTCTAGATTTGTTACTGAATGTTGTAGTTTTTATATTTACTTATTAATTGGTTACTTTCCGTTTCTTTTCATTCTAATTTTTTTTCAATTACTAGAATATATTTAATTATTTATGTTTATGTTCCATTTGTCCTTTTTTGGTCTTGACATATTGAAAGTCGATTAGGTCCTATTTTAACTATTTTTGTGGTACTTCTAATTGGATTAGGAGTTTAAATAGATTTTTAATATTTATTTTCAATATTTATAATTTTTTCTTGATATTCGTTTATTATTTTTACTAATTTATCTATTTTATTGAAAAAATTATTATTCATTCTAGTAATACTATGTTTAGAAGGTTTTCTAATTTTATATTAGACAATATTTGTTGAAATATAGTTTTGGATGTATTTAAAAGTTTTGAGTACCAAAAGGTAATTAAAAGTTTGGGTTGGATGGAAAACTAGACGGATACACCTTTCGGCGACTTTAATGGTACCCGACACTCTATTCAAACTCAAGTGGCATGTCTACCCCAATAGTCAAACTTAAATGGTATCCGATGTATTTTACCATAAAATAAAACAATAGCTAAGCCGATTAAATGACTTGTAATGAAATTAGTTTGTATTTGTGCCCCATTATCAAAAGTTTGTATTTGTACCCCACTCTTTGGACAGTTACTTTTATTTTTTCGACTAGTTTGGTGTCCAACACGTTAATCGAAATATCATTTGAATATGACATATTTATGATGTATATTTCTACCCAATAACTAAACTTATTGTTAAATTCAAATTAAATATAAAAATATGAAAATCAAAATATCAAATTCTAAATAAATACTTACGAAATAGTAAGTGAGCTAGTTAGCCGTAGTGGAAAAGTCATATGTTTTTTAAGATTTTAGGTTTTTGTATATTTTCAGTTTAAAAGGATACATCAAATTTGTTTAGTTTAATTGGTAATAATTCATCCTCTTATTTAAAGAGACCATGTGATTCAACGAAAAAAAGAGACTGCTTCAAATCCAAAGATTAATGTATTTTTTCCTATTAATTAGAAAAATAGCTGTAAAGACAAATCTATCTTTCATATTTTCACTCTCGTTGGACAAAATTTGTGTTAAGCCCAAGACTTCGAGCTTCTTGATCAGAGTTGCTCAGCCTCGGAGATCCACAACAATTGGATCCGATGGAAACCAAAAACAGGGGTTGAAGTATGATGGGTGTCGAACGTGCAACTTCTCGCCGAGAATGGGGAAGAGGCTCGATCGAACTAAAGTCGCAACTCGTCCACAATTGAGGTGAATACTCAATTGATGCAGAGCTCGCTTGATTGATGGATTTAATCCAACCAAACCAAGGACAAAATTCACGAGACAACTCGATGAACAAAGGGTTCTGTTTATTAAAACTTCCCTTGATTACAATGCAAACCAACGTTTAAATAGACTCTAGCTAGCTTACTTAACAAGGAAAACATCCTAAACCGATTACAATTAGAATAAAACCCAAACTTGAACAAGGAAAGACGTAAAACTCCAAAACAGTCCACCAATCCTAATCCGCTACGAACTCGGATTACTTGTTTCCAACGTCAGAAAAGAATGCCTTGACACGATCTTTGGACGCTTCGTTCGAGCTATTCCAACCACCAAACCAATCACCCAATCCCTTGTCGTTGTAGCCTGAAACCTGCACTTTGATGTGGAGCAAACCTCTGGAACTGATTCCCAGCCAAGCTTTCAGAACCGAGACTCAAAGTGGCCTCCTCGATACTGCATTCTGCCTTAGTCCAATTTGCCAGGATTTCCAGTTTCGTCATACACTTTTGTGAGGGTTCAGAAATGGTCTTCTGGGTTAAGTCTCGAGCTTCCACGCACCCTAAAGCATAGACAAACATCTCGGATTCAAAACAAATCATCAAGCTCCCATTTTTACCAAGCCTTTCGTGAGATAAAGACCTCCAAAGTTGACTTCCCAAAACGAAGTAAGAACTTAACCAAAAATTCAGCCTTCTTTCGTGGGATGATGTTGCTCTTGTTTCAACCCATTGGAGCTTACATAGAGGTCCAATTGGGGTTATATCAATTTGAAATGATGAAAAACTGCTCACAACTCTACTACTATATATTTGTAGTTTTTATATGATCTTTATCTTTTAATTAGGAATTTTTGTGGTGTGATATCTAATGATCTTTAATATAAGTTAAATTGTATTTTGGTACTTATTCCTATAATAAATTCCCAACTTTTATATGATAATATTGGTCAACATAGATAAATGTTTAATTTAATATAGTTTACAAAATAAAAGAATTGGGTACAAGTTCATATCCTACAAAATTAGTACGAACTCATCATCCACTCCATTTATCATCTAATGGCACAAATTTATTAATTATGATCTACACAATGATATCTAATTTTTATATTTTGAACACAAAAATTTAACTTTCCAAAACACGTATCGGTTGTAATATTATAACTATCATACCATTCACACTTTGTTGACACCTAAAATTAATTTGGCCGGAATTAAATGCCGCATTAATTAGTCTCGGCATTTAATCCGATACCGCGGGTAAAAAACGGTGTCGGTGTCGCGGAGAGTCAAAACGATACCGCGAAACAGAAAAACGGTACCGCAAGGAAGCTCGGCGGTACCGTGGCATGGGAAACGACACCGCTTAATGAAAATAAAAGAGGGATGCGCGCATGGTGTTGGAGAATGAGTTTTATTTTAGAATTATTGTATTTCCTTGTCGGAAAGGGAGAAGCGGTACCGCATGGAGACAAGCGGTGTCGTTTAATTAAAAACGGTACCGCGAGTAAGCCCAACGGTACCGCTGTATTAGCAAACGACAGTGTTTAATAATAAACAGTGTCGCGGAAGAAAAAAAAAACAAACGGCTGGTTGGGGAAGAAAACTACACCGCAAGGCTGGAAGCAGAGTCGTTCAATATCAAAACAACACCGCTGAAAGCATCAACAACGCCGCGATATTGCTAGGCGTTCGAGACCATACCACGACGGGTTGGATTTTGGCGAGTCCCGGCAAGACCAACGGCACTGCAAGATGAGAACAACAGTACCGTTTTTAGCGATGCCGTGGAAAGACCAACGGTACGATTTGGTTGAAAAACAAAACAATGTCGCGGAATGGAAAACGACATTGTTTGACAGCATCGTTTGAAAAGCGAGGCTGCGAAAAGGTAAAACGACACCGCGTCAGTGGATAAGAGTTCGGCCAAAGGCGGCCCGCCAAGCCCAACGACAGCGCAAGACTGGAAAACGACGTTTTATAATAGGCTAACGGTGTTGTTGGTCAAACCGGGTCGAGACAATTGAGTGGTGATTATGAAACGGCATCGATTAGTGAAAGGTGATGCCGCGGTATTGGTGAAACGACATCGTTACATGGACAAGGTTGTGGGATTTGGCTCAACGTCGTTTCGCCAAGTTTATGCAAACAGAAGCGGTTTCGAGTGCACGTGACTTTTACGCAAAGCAGAAAGAGGAGATCAAGGCAGTTGAGACACGTGGGATTTCAGGACGGAGCGGTTGAGGAAGCGGTTCCACCTAGCGTGAAGATTACGCAAGTGATTTCAAATAAAAGCAGCGGAGCAAGGAGAGAGAGAGGACAACCAAAAATCAACACAGAACATCTGTCAACTTTACCTTTTTTCTCTGTAACTCCTTCGCGGAGCTCTCCTTCCATGAAGGATCTCCATAGTTGGTAGAAGTAGTCGTAGTCGCGGAGCTCTCCACAGGAATCTCCATAGGAGTAGGGGTAGTGTAGATTCCTCAAAAAACTCAAACACCCTCGTTCAAACGTAGTTTGGAGAGGTGCGAACCGTAGTAACGGTCGTTCTTGGTTAGAAGTCAGAGGTGCATCGATCAAATCAACACCGCCCGGCGGTGGATATTTGACGGTCACGTTGATTTCACCATTTAGAAGTGCATCGATCAAATCAACGGCGCCGACATTCGGCGGCGGATATTTGACGTCGTCTCGATTTCAACAATCAGCGGTGCTTCCGATCAAACGGCACCGCAAGAGTTTCCACCGCGAAACATCAAATCAACATCGCCGAAAACGAATTCGGCACCGGCGGTGGCATTTGATTTTCCCGGGGAAACACACTTATAAAAAAATATATTATAACTATCATATCCCCATGAAAGTGGTTTGATGACCCATCTACCTCATTTTAACTATAAAAAAAATATATAGATCAAACGCATTATTTAAATTATATATGTTTTGTCGTTCTCTCTCTAACTTGATTGTCGAAGAGCATTCCAGACAACCTGCTTGTGGATCTGTTTTGCAGAAGCGTCAGGTACGCCTTTCTCTGAAGCATGTCAAGTGCGGTCGCACTCCAATCTATTACCAAACAAGCTTAAATAATTCATAATACACAACAATTTCACACTTGTTGAGACACAAACTAGATTTTCTAAAAAAATAACCGCTTGCAGTCCAACTGCAAGCTAGTATGTACATAAAAGGCATAATACCACTGCAACACTCGAACTATAAAAAAATGTCACTTGTGTCTTGTTTTATTCAATATTCCATTTCTAACCCGAACTATTATTTTCTGTAACGAATTCCGTTAGTATTAACAAAAAACCTAGTCAACACTGATGTGACATCTAAGATGGATTTTTAAATTAAAAACTTCAAAATAACCAAAAGAAAGAAACTTTTCTTCTTTGGACGGCTTGAAGCATCCCTCCACCTCGAACTCCATTCTTCCATCTTCAAATTTTCTTCAATGCTGTTAGAAACATAGTTTCTAACGGGTTTGTGGATTGGATCGACATTTAGGATTTTAGAAGACAATTGGGGATTTAGGGATTAGAAGATAGAAATAGGGATTTAGATTGAGAATTTTGGGGAAGAAGCAGAATAGAAAGATAGAATTGGCCTAAGCCTTAGAGAGACAAAGATCGAGAAATCAGAGGATAGAGGATTAAGGCTTTGGGAGGTACTTTCTGAATAATTGTTCTTGCTTGCTTGATAATGAAACCCAGATTACATATTTATAAGAAAGATAGAAAATCCTAATAATAAACCTAATTCTACTAAAAGAATACTAACCATATATATATTATATAATAATATAAATCCTAAAGGAATAGGTTTCTATCATTCCTTCCCCTTGAGACCAACCTTACCCTCAAGTTTGACCGACTTCACTCATTTTCCTTCCTTGATTGCGTGATCCGCGAGTCTATTACTCCGTGGCCTGCGCTTCCTTTTCTTCCAATTCAATTCGACCGGTCGCTTAGCATCAACAGCCCTCATGAGTCGCACCTTAGTCTAATTCCCCAGACTGACCCAACTTGCGTCCAATCCAAGTTAATTGGCCCTTCCAAAACCTTACTTTTATCCATTGGCCCAAGCCCTCTTTGGAGACTCAGCCCATTAGTTTCTTGCAGTAGGCTTTCATTTTTCCTGCTCGGCCCATTAACTTGTAAGTACCCGGCCCACATAAATGTCATCATTGGCATGTTCATTAGCTCTTGTTCGACCCACTTCTCTTCAATCTTCTGTCTGTTTGGCTGATCTGCATCAACCATTGTGTCTGGCCCGACGCCATAGAGAAGAGCCCACGTCAAGTTGCTCATGTATGGCCCAATAATTAGCCCCCGGCCTAGGGAGAGCGCAGGTGGCTTAGGGTTTGCGAAAAGGAGGAACCCGTCGCCGCTGCTGCCGCTCCTCTTCCTCATTTCTCCCTCCTTCGGCGGATGAACCACCCTCTTCTCCAACCTCGCCGCACCTTTGTCGCACGCCCTCGATCTCTTCTCTCCTCCGCTCAACGTCACGACGGGATTTGATGCCAATAGCTGTGATCCTTGCGCGACTCGAAGTTCCGGCGAGTCAAGCCCACGACTCGACATCGTCCAGTTCTCCTATGATGAGCTTCCTTCCCGTCGTGCGACCCCACTCGGCGACCCTTTGCCTCAACTGACACTGCCATTACTAGCACAAACAGAGTCGTCGCGCTGGGCTTCTTCTCCGTCTTCTCGTTCTTTGTCGTCTTCGGCTTTGTCTTCATGCCCGAGATCCCCACGAAGCCAGTCATTCGTTCCGTCGACGAGTAGAGGATTCTGCTGCGGTGGTGTGCCTGCGCCAAGTGAACCTCGGAGATTCTTGTCATCTCAGAGATCGCGGCGGCAGGGAAGGACGGCGCTCCGTTCATGATGGCTATCACAACGGGTACCTGCTTCGCCAACCTCTCGTTCCCGATGTCGTCTGTGACGGGCGACAGCTCAGGGGCACTTTGTTCCCCCCTATCGCGCTCTTCGCCTGTCCTTTGATTCTTTTTCCGGTACCTCCAGTTCGCCTCGCGTTCCAGCCTGATCTTTCTCACCGCGTTTTGCGCCCGAAGTTTCTAACGGGTTTGTGGATTGGATCGACATTTAGGATTTTAGAAGAGAATTGGGGATTTAGGGATTAGAAGATAGAAATAGGGATTGAGATTGAGAATTTTGGGGAAGAAGTAGAATAGAAAGATAGAATCGGCCGAAGCCTTAGAGAGACAAAGATCGAGAAATAAGAGGATTAGGTCTTTGGGATGTACTTTCCGAATAATTGTTATTGCTTGCTTGATAATGAAACCCAGATTACATATTTATAGGAAAGATAGAAAAACCTAATAATAGACCTCATTCTACTAAAAGACTACTAACATTATTTATCAATACCCTAATAATAATAATAATAGAAACCCTAAAGGAATATGTTTCTATCAAATGCTCACAAGCTTTGGGCGCCAGTGAACATGAAGTTGTGAGTGTCCTCAACTGTCGTTGTCAATCACCTCATCCCCGCTACCTGAATTCCCCTTATAGAGATTAATGATCTTCTCCGCCACCTCCGCTCAACTGTTGCTTTCTGCCACTAACCACTCCACTTGTGTTCTTGGTAGCCTCACCTTCAAGTGCATAGGGCCACAATCGTCCTTGGTGCCTCGAGCGCATGACAGAGAGATCCGACATAGATTGAGTGGACAACATTAAGACATCGAGGCATCCCTTGTCACTGACATGGATCTCGGAAAATACAGAACGACAAAAACCCATAAAATATAGATTTGTGTAAGGATCTTTATTGAAGAATATGGCAAAAGAGAGATAATGGAGTAAGAACAGAGGAAAGGAAAGAGTTTTGAGTTCTATAGAGCTACATCTATTACATGAAGGGGAAAGTAGTTGTTCCTTTATTCATTGGTAAAAAAAGCCCAATCATAGGTGGACTTCACTATTTATACATTGGTCCACTTTCATACACTTCACCAATTCACAACTGGCTTGAGTTGTTACAAACCTGTCTCCTTTAGATACAGATTGTCCTTCAATTGAACTGCTTCAGGACAGAAAGAGGGAAATTGTTCCTTGAAATTGGACAGATCTTCCCAAGTAGCCTCCTCTGGTGTCTGATGGGTCCATAGCACGAAGACTTGCGTCATAACTTGGTTTGCTTGATTCACAAATCGTTGGCCCAGAACATGAGCGGGTGCGAGCTTTAAGGTGCTACCGTCATCAGGTCTAGGAAGTTGCGCAGTAGTAGGGGGGAACTTCGACCTGCACAACTTCAGTAGGGAAACATGAAACACATGATGTACCTTCGAACCTTTTGGTAATGGCAGCTTGTAAGCCGCATTGCCCACCCTTTCAAGCCCCTTACAGGGATCAAAGTAACGAGCTACGAGTTTGTTCCCATGGTGTCCCGCCACTGATCCCTGTCGAATTGCCTCTGATTTGCATACTGCTTTTGCCTGCTTTGAGATTTCGTGGTGTTGTGTGTCAAGAATTGCACTAGTTGCTGCTGTTTCTTCATACGATCTTTGACAACACCCACAGAGGTCGTAATGCTGTGAGCTAAATAAAAAAATGTGGGTTTTATAACACCACTCGGCGAGTGTAAGCCATGCATCCCGAGTGGCCAGTTGAAAATGATGATAGAACTGAGCCTTGAGACGCTGGTAAGTAACCTGTGCGCCCGAGTGACCACCAACTGGAGAAGAGTGTAACAAATGAAGTAATTTGGTTCTCATGAACCCTGAAGAACCAACCACAGTCGCACCTTCATATATGAGAGCACTAGATGAAAATGACCATAATGAGGGTCCATGGGAACTTATTGCAACTTATGCTATCAAGTTTGCCACCTCTGAATCATTTGCATAGGTATACTCAATCTCCACCAACCATTTTGAAAGTACAGTAAACATAACATTGCACCATGGTATCTTCCCTAAATCATCTCTAAATCATCTTCAAATACTCGAGACAAAGCATTAGCAGCTCCATGGTATCTTCCCTTTCTGTATCTGATTTGAAAATCAAGCTCCATTAACTTGACGAGGCCTTTCTTTTGTATTGCAGTATGAACCTTTTGTCCAAGTAAAAATTTCAGTCTCTCATGGTCTGTAACTATAGTAAATGGTAGACCTTCAAGAATCAACCGCCATCAACACAACCAAGTACTCTTTTTCATACGTTCTTAGCCATTGATTCCTTATACCCAAAGCCTTACTAAAATAATCCAGAGGCCTTCCTTCTTAAGACAATACAGCCCACACCCCTGTACGGAAAACATTTGTTTCCAAGAACAGGGACCTTACTCATGGTCGACTTTAATGTGATAAAAGCTTCCTCAACTGCAGAGTTCCACTGAAACCATTATTCTTTAAAAGCTCAGTTAAAAGCCGACTTATTATGCCATAGTTCCTTACAAATTTTTTATAGTAACTCGTCAAACACAAAAAATCCCTCAGACCATTAACTAACCGAGGTCGTGGCCAATTCTATATTGCTGCCACTTTATTTTGGTCTGTGGATACTCCCTCCTCATTGATAATTTGGCCCAAGTATTCCACGATAGGCTGACCAAATGAGCACTTCGCTTCTTTGACAAACAACTTATGGTCCATCAATAGTTACAGAGCTATAGAGAGATGTTGTAGGTGAGCCTTTGCACACTGACTGTTGACTTAAATATCATAAAAAAGCAAGATGAACTGCCTCAGATACTTGCCAAAAACATGGTTCATAAGTGCTTGAAATGTTTCAGGAGCGTTAGTCAACCCAAAGGGCATGACTCTGAACTCATAATGGCCTTGATGAGTTTGAAAAGCAGTCTCAAACTGATCGTTTGGGTGCATTTTGATATGGTGATACCCTGCTCCGGATCCAACTTTGAAAAAATGACAACTCCATGTAATTCATCAATAAGATCTTCAATATGTGGGATAGGGAATTTGTCTTCGATGGTGGCAGAATTTAACTCACTATAATCGAGACAAAACTACCAAGTGTCATCTTTCTTACAAATAAGAAGGATAGGAGAGGTATATGGACTGTGACTCTCTTGGATGAACTCAGACTGTAGCATTTTAGCCACTAATTTTTCTGCCATAGCCTTTTGATGACGAGAAAAATGGTATGGGCGAATGTTATTAGGTTTGGTGTTAGGCAATAAGGGAATAGAGTGACCAAAAGCACTGAGAGGAGGTAGAGAAGTGAGGGTAGCAAAAATATCAGAGAACTTGGAAACAAGAGTTTACAGGAAGTACGGGGTAGAACTAGGAGTTGGTATGGCTTCAAGGAAAAAAAAACAGTGCCAGTGAGATCGGTAACTTGCTTCTTAAGGAGCAATTGAAAAGTTCGACCAATCATCATCTTGCAGTGTCAAAATTCTTCCTTTCCAATCAAAAGGTAACTGTGTTTCTTCAGATAAACCTAAAATGGGCTTATTCTCTCTAACCAAACCCATCCAAGCACTAAATCGTGGGTAGGTAAATCGAGAGTTTGAACATCAAAATTAAACTCCTAGCCTTGCATCTTCCAATTAAATCCTCTACAAACTGAATTACTCAACAAAGTATGACCACTAACTACCTTAACTCGCATGGGAGCAATACTCTTTGTTCGACAGTTCAATTCCTTTTCCCTAATAGAGTTAATGAATGTATAAAAACTACCAGTCTCAATCAGAAAAGCTACCTCACTCGTTGTGGCTGGAATGAGCACATAATTGCTAGAAAAGCCTGTGCCCAAAGTTTGCAAGGAAATCTCCAATTCAGCATCCTGAAACTCATAATCCATATCGCCCTCATCACTGTGAGACCAAGAATCATCGGCTTGCATCATTTGGAGTTATTTTTCTGGTACAAACATGGGCATGGAAGTATTTGTCGCCGCACTTATAGCAAAGTCCTTGGCCCAGAGGAACGAAACTCCTCTCAGTGAAACTCGACGAAGGTAGTGGCGCCTCCCTCTGAAAAGACTTAATAGACGAAGCTGGTGCCGGAGTCTGCCAATGAGTAGTGGAAGCAGAGCGCGTCTTCCTATTCCAGGCCTCAATGGCAGATTCCTCCTGAAATGTTTAATAAAAAGCACAAGCAAGAGTAGGGGGATTAAGCACATGAACGCGTGGTTGAATCTCGTCATCTATACCCCCAAAAAACTAAGGATGAAATAGTGCTCGTTGAGATCAGGATTTAGTCGAAGTATTCGCAAACGGAGGCCAGGGATTGGCTGTTTAATTTTTGTTTAAGGAATTTTTATATTTTGATTCAACTTTGATTAAAAATAATATGATGTGTCAATGACGTGCCATCTATGTGACTGTATAATTTTTAAAAAAGCAACATCAACAAAATTCAACATAACTTTGGCCATTCTCTCGTCAACCGTTATTTATAACAGTCAACGAAAGCTTCAGGATATATACAAATGTCACAAAATCATCATACGTCGAGATATGAATGCAATATTGGAAGAAATAGGATACAAGTGATTTTTTTTAGTTTTTTTTATAATTCGGGTGTTGTAGACTTGTAGTGGAAGTAATCCTATATAAAATGAGAGGAGGGTGTAGTAGTCCTATCTTTACTTTACTGCGGAAACGCGTTAGGATGATTACTCAAAATTGAGTAATCACCGTGGCTACTAAAATCTAGACCCTTCATTATCTCTATTTTACTCTAATTTTAAATTGACGGTGAAGATTAAATTAAGGGTAATTTTGAGAATAAAAAAATACCACACCTGATTTCTATCCTTTAAAAAATTAATTTCTATATATTATACCTAAACCCTACTCCAACACTATTCTATTTCGCCGTCAACACCTCTCCTGTTGGTGGTTCCTTTCCTCTGCTGGCGGCCACCCTCCCGCTGCCGCCAGATCTGGTGAGATGGCGGTGGAGGGGTGAGATGGTGATGGCGACAATCTGGTCCGGCTTAGGCCAGCCTCCCCCTCCCTCTCTCTCCAACCCTCCTGATCCCATCTCTCTCTATTTGCTCCGGCCAACCTTCCGCACGCCTGCTTGTGTCGATTGGGGATTGGTATTATTTTTGTCGCAATGATATTGTTTTTATCGTATTGGTATTGATTTTGTCGCATTGATATTATTTTTGTCGCAATGGTATTGTTTTTATCGTATTGGTATTGATTTTGTCGCATTGGTATTATTTTTGTCGCAATGGTATTGTTTTTATCGCATTGGTATTGATTTTGTCGCAATGGTATTAATTTTTGTCGCATTGGTATTGTTTTTATTGCATTGGTATTGGTGTTTTTGTGAAATGGTAGTATTTTTATTTCTCGAGTGGTATTGGTGTTTTGTGCAATGGTAGTGTTTTGTAATGGATTGGTATTGTTTTATTGTTCCAACGGTATTAGTTCGACAAAACGAAATCAATGGAAAGATTGAGAAAATTAAGGAAGAGGCATCTGGCTGAAGATTGTGAAAGTGAGAGAAAGAGAGAGAAAATTATAGTTAATATAATTTTGTAATTTTCTAAAATATAATTTATTAAAAAATATAATTAATAAATTTTTTTGTCATACCCAATTTACCCATAATAACCACGGTGATTACTAATTTATAGTAAACACCGTAACCTGTCCCACTTTACTACATCTAGGGGTGGGCTGGTCAACCCCAGACCGAATCGTCGGATAAGATCATATCAAATATATTATGATTTGGTTTCGATCCTTTGAATTATTTTAAGTATGAAGAAAAATAAAAGGTGAATTTGGACAGGATTGAATCAAACCTAATGGACCAAATAGGCTTTTGATCCAATTCTGATCCTTTTTTTTTTTAGTTTGGTCCGATCCAATCCGGTTCTGGACCAAATCGACCATACCCACCCGTAACCGGCAACTGCAGCAGAGTGGCATCCCGCCCTGTCTTCGCGCAAGCCTATCTATCCATTCCAACCAAACCTAGCAGGCGTCAGGCAGCTACCTTCCTCCCTCCCTCTCACCACTTCCCTTCCTCCTTTCTGTTACTTTCCTTCCTTGTTCCCACCAGCGGAAGATTTCCAGAAGGAAAACAATATTTGACAGCGATGGCCGAGGGGAAGCAGCAGGGATTGGTGTTGACCCCGGCTCAGAATCCGATTCAATCCTTCCAACTCAAGTACAAAGAACTGGAGGCCGGCTTCAAATCTTGGCTCTCCCAGCAGTCTATGCCCGTCGAAGCCGCCATCGTCACCGCCACCAGCGCCATCCAGGGCGGTGCCATCGGCGGCCTCATGGGTACCCTCACCGGCGACATGGCATCCCCTCTCTCCCCTCCTCCCCAGGCCTCCTTGAACCCTCAGGCCATGGCTTCTTTCAAGCAAGCCCAGGTCAGCTCTCCAATTTCTCTCCTCCTCCTTTGTAACTTTCACCAAGTTAAGTTAATTGATCAGTGGAAGTAGCGGAATTCTTCCGTCTCATTTTTAAATTGAACTGGTTCTCCAGCGACTGTGAGGGCAGGAGGCATTTTAGATTGACTCTTGCTTTCAAGTCAAGTATGTGCTATACGATTCCTTCACCATAAGCAGAGGAATAAACGAAATGGGAAATCTTTGTAGATTAATTAACTTCTTACTTCAACTGCAGGCACTTGCAGGTGGTCCCTTGGCTCAAGCTCGGAATTTCGCTGTCATGACAGGTGCCAATGCCGGTATTGCCTGTATCATGAAAAGAGTGAGAGGCAAGGAGGATGTCCAGACCAGGTCACCTTAATTCCACCATTTACTTCTATTCTTCTCTAACACCCTTACAAATTTATTCCTGTGGTTTTCTTTTGCTCAGTGTGCAAGTTCATTTAGAATGAAAACAATATTGCCGCGTGCATACTGGTCTGTAGTGGTTTTGTAGAATTTGATTTCTGATAGTACTCACAGCAAACTGGATTTGATGCAAATATTTTATTCCAAACCAATTCGTATATCTCTGCCAAGCAACAATATATCTTCATTCGTCTCCACATCTAAGTTCATGTGGGTTCAGCATGTTAGTCACCTTTTCATGTTTTCTTCTTCTTGTCTTCTTTGAAATTCCCGGGTTCGGATAAGCTGTTGTTGCTTTCATTCCTGCTTTCTGCTTCAGCTGTTGTTTTCATATATACATGGCTTCTGGTTCTCTGCATCAGGCTTCGAAGTTCCGTGTACACACATCAGCTAATTCTTTATTTTCCTTTTCTCCCTTCCCATGTGGTGAATGTTCTGATGTTTAAACATTCAAATAGCACTGCCATTTCAAAACGTCCTTTGATTTGCTGATTCTCAGTTGTAGAGTATTTGAATAGCGACTTACTGGGATTACGTCGACATGTTACTTGTTCTCTGTACATGTGATGTAATCTTATGCTTTCTATCCGGCTTCTCCTTATCTGCCTAAAACATTGTTTTCCTCTACTCATTTTGACGTTTCTTGGAAGCAAAAGGGCCGATATCTTCATTAAACTTTTGAAAGCCAATAATTAGAAACTCTGCCACCAACTTAGCAGTAGTGGACAAGTTATTCCCCTACTACTTGCTCTATATTCGCCTGATGAGTTTTTTTACCAAGGATTTAATACTACTTAGCTACAACTGGGAATGATGATATTAGCCCAGTTATGCTTCTAATAGTATCACATTTGTACCATGGTTTATGATAAGACTCTGTTGCAAACATGATAATAGCTTGGCACCTGGACCTGAAAGATGTTTTGTCACAAATAGAATAAGTGATTGGTGTTTATGAAGTGGGGAGTGCTCTTTCGTGACAGTCTCATCTCATTCTACCTGCCTTCAGTACTTAACTATGTCCATCCCTATTTGTCTCTATCTTAATTTGTTTATGAAGGGCGGGGTGCTCTTCCCCAGGTATGTACATACTACATACATTCTTCACCCCTCAATTGGACTTTGTGGGTTCATCCCGCTTTTCATTCTCACCCACTTTCTCAATACCATCTGGTCCCTTCTTTGATCATTTAAGGTTCCAGTTTTCTTATCTCCAGGTAGGTTCCCTCTTTCATTCCTGAATTTCACTGTATTTCCATAATTCACTGTGCTTATAGCTGCCTGTTGCTTTGTTCAACTGTTACGTTGTGCTCTTTTTGGTGTTTGGGATGTGCAAATCTAGTGTTGCATTCTCACGAAGTCATGGCTTCTGGTTCTCTGCATCAGGCTTCCTAGGTCCATGTACACACAGGCCACAGCAGCTAATTCTTTATTTTCCCTTTCTCCCTTCCCATGTGGTGAATGTTCTGATATTTAAACATTCAAATAGCACCACTTCAAAACTTCCTTTTAGTTGCTGATTCTCAATTTTAGAGTGTTTGAATAGCGACTTACTGGGATTACGTCGACATGTTACTTGTTTTCTGTACATGTGATGTAATCTTACGCTCAATTGGACTTTCTGGATTCATCCTGCTTTTCATTCTCACCCACTTTCTAAATTCCATCTGGTCCCTTCTTTGATCATTTAAGGTTCCAGCTTTCTTATCTCCAGGTAGGTTCCCTCTTTCATTACTTTAAAATAATTGATTCTAGTTGCAAACAAGCATGCCCTTTTTATTTGCGCTGCAGCATGTCATTTTAATGTCAAGTGATCTGCCTGAAGCTCCATATTGAAGATCTCCATGAGTATATGAAGTTTCCCAGTTTTTCTTAATATTATATAGTCATGATTATCATGAGGGCAGCCTGCATTTTTGTTGATATGGATCCATGGAATGCCCTATGTATGTCTGCATGTTGTATGGAGCTAGAGTTGTTGCATGGAGCTAGAGTTGTAGTGGTTAAGCCTGCATTGTTTCCGTTTATGATGAGTGACGTGGTTAGTGCAGTATGGTAGCAGCATTTGGTTCAGGAGCGTTGTTTTCATTGGTGAGCGGGATGGGTAGCCCAAACCCTGCTGCAAATGCAATCTCTTCTGGATTCTTTTTTGCAATTGTTCAGGGTGGCATCTACCAGGTTAGCTCCTAGAAGACTGCCAATCATGCGCATCACAACTATACACCGACAAGAAACTAATCTTGTGTGGTTTGATTGATAACTCAGTTAGGACAGAGATTTTCTCAACCTCCAGCTGAAGATGAGTACTATGCAAGAACCCGGTCCATGCTAAGTAAGCTTGGCCTCCAGAACTACGAGAAGAATTTCAAGAAGGGCTTGCTGAATGACAACACTTTACCATTGCTGAACGACAGGTAAGCAGTTTATTTGCAGTCCTCCTGATAATTGTCAATTTGGCACAAATTGTCTTGTATTAATCTGAGACGGTGTGTTGCAATGGGTTCTAATGTGGTGGCTTGTTTCAGTGCGCTTAGGGACGTGAGAATCCCTCCCGGGCCACGGCTGATGATTCTTGATCATATTCAGAGGTACCATCTACATATTATTAGGTTTCCTTTTTTCTTTGGCACAAATTTTTCCCCAACTATACCTTCATAGCTGGTTGTTCCTAGCATAAATGTGCTTGTGTGTATGGACACTGTACAGGGACCCAGAGTTGAAAGAGAGGAAGATCCATCGTGGGTGAGGCTTGGTAGAATTCTGGGTGTGAATTTGCTTGGAGTTTTATGGTAGAGGCGCAGTTAGATGTGGTACTTTGCTTTTGGTTAGATGACTTTATATTGTAATGGGTAAAGCTTGTTTTTTTTTTTTGAATGGATTTTACTACCCTGATGGAGGTTGTTTGAATGCTGGTGATGATGATATTGAGTTTGAGCATATGTGGAGCTTCTTTATTTGTTGATAATAAGCATTTCTGAGCCGCACTTTGAAAGATGAAATAAGAAAGTGAAGGAATTCCTCGACATTGGTTGCAAACAATCATCTTCATAATATTATAAAAGTGTAGAAACAGTTGGTCAAACAGAGGAGAATACACTGGATGAAACAGAGGAGAACATAATGATTTTAGCTAGGTAGGCAGCTGCTGCTGGTCCATGAGAGAGAGGATGGGAGCGTGGTAACTGGTAAGCGCGGGCCTGATTGACAGCCTCCGCCTCCAACTCAACCCAGCTGAGAGCAGAGCCTTTCCTCTGCCTCCACCGCCACTCTTATCCGCCGCCAAGTTTGCTCAAGCTCCTTCCTCATCAATTCCTCTCTCTCCCTGCTCTCCTTGAGCGCCCTCTCTAGCTCCTCGTTTCTCCTCTGAATCTGGTCCCCCGCCATTCTTAGTTACACTATTACTAATGATGATGAGAGGCAAGGAGAACAAGAGGCTTTCTTTAGCAGGTCGTTCAATCGAGAAGACTGATATGGAGGGAGCGAGGGAGGAAGAGGATGAATGATTAAGGTCGTGGTTATGGAATGAAATGGAATGAATGTACGACATATAGAGGTGGCCATTCTCAATCCAATCCACCAATCCATTAAAAGTATTCAGCTAATTCAATTGGATTGGTTGATTCGTGAAAAATTACGTTTTGAAACCTAAAATTTTTAATTATGACAGTTTAGTACCTAACCTTTTCACATTTTACATATTGGTCCAAGGTTGAGGATGTCATCTGGATTTATAGATAATCCACCAATCCACTTGATCCAATCCATGAATTCACCAATCCGTTGGATCCAATCCATTTAATCCATGAATCCTCCAATCCAATTTACTCATTCATGGATCCAATTCATTTACCATGACAGATTGACATTTGGACCGAGCTGCTGAGCACAGTGACATTTGGACCGAGCTGCTGAGCACAGTTATAGGGGAGGGAAGGGAACTGACGAGCTCGACGAGAGAGCTAAACCAAATAATAGTCCACGTTCAATGTATCTTGTCATCCATGAATTTTGCCTTGTTGGTTTAACATATTAGTTTGTTTCATCAATTTATCTATATATTGAATTTTCTCTATTTAAAATTTTGAGCAACCAGAGTGAAAGTAGGAAGAGTATTTTTGTCTTCATGATTAATTATTTAGTTTGTATAAAAATATATCAATACCAAGATTTGAATAATGGCCTCTTTAAACAAAGACAAGAAACATAACCAATTATACTAAGCAAATACATTGTATACTTTTTATTACAAAACATACATGAAGTTAAAATCTCAAAAACAAATGACTTTTGCATAACGATAAGCTAGCTCACTAAGTCTCCTATAAGCATCTTTATGGTGTTTTGATACTTCAATTTTCATATTTGATTATTTTAGTTCTAGACTATCATCCAATCTATAAAATATATGAAGAAGATTCATGGGTTAAATTTTCTCAATTTCAAATATCCAGCAACCAGAGTGATTTTTGGAAGGAGAAAATGTCATTTAACACACTTTAATTGGAATGTTTCGTTTAAACATTTGTGTTGGGCTTTAAATCTGCCGCAGTGATTTTAGCATTTTCGCTAGACTTTAAATTCGTTGGGTTCTATTTCACTTTCTAATTTATTTTTTATTTCAATGTTATGCTACTGGAGGGACGCAAACTCTCCTAGCCTCTAAAACTGGATAAGAGGAAGCAAAGAAGCGGAAATCTCGCAGCCATAACTCTGTCACCAACTTGATCGTTCTTGGGACCACTTCATGGAGCCTTCGACACCTTTCCTGCCAGACAAAGCTAATCAATGAGCACCATAGAGGTCCAATAAGTCTCCTTGGAGTCGTTTTTCGCTTTGCAACCACACCTGCATATGAGAGTCGGAGATCCCAAGAGCTACTACTGAAAAGATTACCAACTATGCTAACAATACTCCTCGAAAAACAACATTCGTAAAATAAATGATCCCAGGTCTCACCATTGGCATGACATAAAATGTATCTATCTTCATTTAATTAACCCTACCACATCAACTTTACCTTAGTTACTATCGTCCATGGCCACAATCCATGCTATGATACTCCAACGCGACACATAAAATTTACTCTAGAGAAGAGCTGCTCTTCACAAGACGTATTGTATCCCAGACTACGCTCACTGAGTAGCTAGGCATCAATCTTCCATTCCAAAAGCCCGCATCACCCTACTTCCTCATAAATGGCTGCATAGTTGGACGGAATTATTCGTCTCCATGCCCAATTTTCTCTATTTTCATTTGTCAAACAACAAAAATGTGGTGTTTTCCATAAATCCAATTATCAAACCAAGATACTCATGAATGAAAAAGTAAGTTATCATTATTCTAATAAAATTCCAGTCTTGAAGATTCCAATATCATTTTCGCTTTCATAATATGTATGGTACTAATCGTTGGTTACAATTTACTTCAATCTAATATTGGCCTTCAGATTAATATAACGGTTTTATTAGACCATATTAAAATAATAATTTACTATGATTTGGATTACGATACAAAACCCAGGCATTAAAAGAACTCTACAAAATCTCAATCATAGAACCATTTATCGCCCGAACATGTATTTTTAACAACAATAGAGTTATTTTTAACAATTATGATATTAGTTTTAATTATAAGAGTTAATAGCTATCCCATTTTGTGTGATGTTAACAATTTTCATAATCGACACAAATGTTCATTTATAAAATAATTTATCAATGATATCATGAACATCAATCATATGAACAAAGAACATTAATAGACAAATGTGATATTGGATCAAACGGTGAACAATAAAATGATGTATTGTTAATAATCTGCAAATTGAAACGTTGCCAACATAAGCAAAATCGTTAACCATATATATCTCATATGAACGGGAAGCATCCAATGAACGAACTGTCATTGAAGCAATTAACACTAAAGTATGAATATCAATAGTTCATAAATGAGGCTTCCAAACTCTGACATCGACTGCATCTGAAGAATAAGATGGATGACATATACGAAGCAACGACGGTGGTTATCAAATCTATTCCCCGTGATTAACGATATCAACTTCGTCTAATGCAAATTCGACCTGTCTAAAAAAGGTATATGAAGGAAGTGGAAACAGGGTAATCAAAAATTCATTTTGGAAAGAAGCGAAAGTGTCGGACGACATGAGAAAATAGAAAGGTACAAAATAGGAGGTTCCGACACGGTTTGAACGTAGTAGAGAAAGAGTGAGAGATTGAAGTTTCACATTTTTATTTTTTAAATAACTATTAAACTAATTATTAATTTAGAATATCAACATTTCTCTTTTAGGTTTTTTCTTCTTGATTAATCTAATGATTCCTATTAAGTTACGAAACTTGATAATTAATTAGCTTAATGATTGAAGCTAAACCCATGCTATATGTTTATGTTTTGATGAAGATAAACTCCATCTAATTGTATGCTTGATAGCTTGAGGATTAATGAATGGTGGATCTATTGTTTGGTGTTTGCGATAATCTTTATCTATATGCTATAGTTTTGCTATTTGTTTTGTAATATGTAACCTATTGGTTAAATGGTCATAGATAGAATTGTGTTTATATTGTTACATGGATGGGGATAAGGGTTAACTCATGACAATGAATACATACTATAAATTGATGGTTTTTTGTTTCATGTATCAGACCTTCAAATTGGCAGGTTATAATTTTTTTTTGTCCATTTCTCTTGCTTTTGGCTATCTAATTGACTAGGAAACACAAGACCTTTTTCATGTACAGCTCTTATTGGATTTCTTGATATTGAATTTCTCACATTAACCACTTTTTGACAATGTCTTTGACTCTCATCTTCAAACTCGCTCATCTCCCCAAGTGTTCAAGATTATAGATGGTGGTATGATCTCTTTTTATATCCAATTATCTTTTCCTATGTTTCTTTAGGGAGCATAATTAAAGGGTTTTGTTTCACATCTGAATCTTGGCACTAGGTCATTTTCTGGTTTCTCAACTTCTAAAACGACAGTCACATGCATGGATGCAAAATGGTCACAAATTATACAGCATATTAGTTTGTGCAAAATAAGTAAGGTTAATGTTGTATCGAGGGTGGTTTTCACGTTGTCATGGTACATCTTCAACATGCTACTTCATATTGTTGACCAATCTCTAATGTGCCCTATATATTATTTCACAGGATATAATTTCATATCTATACGTACTGTGATGAATAAAGATGGTAACTATTATATTTGATTAAACTAAATGAATAGACAATCATTTTCTTTTATGATTAAGATTGATTTTGTGTGTGTAATGGAATCATGTTGTCCTACATGAAATACAAAATAAATAGACATCATTTACTTTTAAAATATCGTTATTAGTTGTTTATGTTTGTTATTCATTTATATATATATTTTTATCTATATGGAAAAATTAGGTGCTAGTTTTATGTAATGGGTCTTTTCTAGCTTATTATTTCTGATTGGTTAAATAAATAATTGTAGTAATGTGGTACCAGAGCAAAAAATGCATTTTTTTTGGTCAAAAGTAGCGGTAACAATTCAGTCATAAATAGAAGAAAGAAAAGCGCGGGAGTCGACCAATCGTCGAACTCCCGATGAGAGGGCTTTTTGTGCCACAAGGTGGGCAGCCCTATTAAATCGACGCGAGATAAAGCATAAAGAGACCCAGCTGAACTGTGCCGCCAATTCCCTTGCATCTTCCAGGACAGCACCACTTCGATCATGAGAAAAATCCCTCCTGATATTTGGAATCCAACAAATCCGACACTGCCCCTTTGATCACGTTTAGCCGCCCCATCAAACCAAACATGGATGGTGTCCGGATGAGGGGGATCTCCTTCCGAGCCACCGTGATTCATTCTCGCCGAAAACTGGGCAGGCGCTTGTCAATTTCCGCTGCGGGAGCAAAAAAATGCATTTTCAACTTAAGTGACATTTGACCTATCAAAAATGGGTTTATTAAACATGGCACGTGAGGAAGTTTGTGACCTAGCCACAGTGGCTGGTAGGGTTTAGAGAATTTGGGAGGATAAGGAAGAAGGAAATGACACAGCCAGGTTGGAGGAATTGAACAGTGTGCCTTCTTTGTGGGTTTTCTCATTTATATTTACTAGCGTTCGTGCCCGGCCCCTTGGCCGGATAGCATAACATTTGTTAACATTTTGAGAGTCCTGATTGTTGATATTGAATTGATTTTTTTATACATTTGGTAGTTATAGAAAATCGATGAACCTATTTTTAGATGTATAAATGATCCTATGAATATTTGTCATCGATGAATAGGGGAATCAAAACATAGGCATTTTCAATAAGATGAAACTATTACTACTTGTTCGAGCAAACTAAAGGCAAAAGAAAAAGAATATGGGGAATAACACTGTACTTCATCAAAATTAAAACACCCAACAAAAGAACAACTAAAATAGTAGAAGGAAAATGCAAACCCCCGATCGTTCGACTGAAGGTTTTTTCCCTAATTGTTAAGCTCATTCTTTATCAAACTTTGATCAAGATCTTCGAGAAAGCCAATACAGTGTACGGCACGACTATCTATTACAATTTCATACTTGTTCACAACCCACTAAACAATACAAAAAGGCTAGATTATGCTAACTCAATAGCAAAATCGTGACAACCCGAGCAATACCCTACAACATTAAGCCTCACGTGAGCCAAGAAACTACCACAACTTCTTTATAGAGCTCCAAAAACTCTTTGACAACTCTCCTTCCATATAGTAGCAAGAAATCAGTAGCATTGGTCACCTCATTCCAATCTCCTTGGTGAGCATATGCTAGGAAACATACCAGCAAGCACAAGAGAGTGAAGGCACTTGCAAAGTAAATGCTCTCTTGATTCATTCTCTCCGGTGCAAAATACACAGAGACTTGAATCAATCAATTCCACTATAGCAACTTATCCTAAGTAGTTATACGATTAAATATAATCAACCGCCTCAAGAATCTGTGTCTTAGGCAACACAAGTTTCTCACAAGACGTTGAACCAATCCACCTTATCTTCTCTAGGCCTTTTCGAGTTCCAAATAAGCTTTAACTATATGAAATGTTGCCAATTACTTGAAGCTCTAAAGCATCAATGTATGAGTGCAACTGGAAGCTGAGACAGAAAAAGGAAGCAATATAGGGAAAGTTAGGTAAGGATGTTATGAGATACAATAAGATTTTCGAGAATGAAAAATTGAGACTGCAGAATGGATCATGCTTGTAAAATCAAATCGTTATATACTCCCACTCCTGGTTGTCGATTCAATCGACTTGTAACTTTCAGTTTAACTTGATGTTGATCATGTAGAGCGGCCCACGCCAAGTAAACATTGGAAACTCACCCAAAAGTAAAGCTTAAAAATTGAGAGTAGAAGTATTAGTTTGAGGTGCAAACATAACTTAGCTACATTAGGTGAGCTCAAATTATAGTTATTGTTCCTTTTCTTCGCACACTTAGGAGATTATTTCGATATGCACAGTAGTTGGATCAAGAAGCACCTCCATCTCACAACAAATTGCGGGTGTGTTTGTTCACCCCTAACTACCTCACCTTGACAGTCATTATCTACAAAAAAAGCACAGAACCGAACAGAAAGTAAATAACCACTGAGAGAGTCATGATGCATGAAATCAAGAAACCGGGAGGAAAACATCCACTCATACAGACCAAATCAGTGGAAATCACAGAGAAGAGAAGTTTATATTCAATGATAAAAACTAAAGGATTACTCACTTGAAATCCAACCTCCTTACAGTAGAGAGATTTATCATCAATTGTGGAGACTTCGCCAATCTTCATATACTGGAAAGGTACATCCAAAAAAAAACCCGGCTCTGATAAAGTAAGAAAAAAAAAACAGAGAAACAATTAGATACTTTATTAGGCAAATAATTAGATATGAAAATTGAGCAAGCAGTAACGTAGATAAAGTTTGTAACTCACCAAACTCTCATGTGCTCTAACAAAATAGAATGGGGGAGTATGAAAAGGGTGTTTGTTTCCTCCAATAGCTATCAAAGTTTACTATGGGAGATTAACCTATTTAGTTTAGATATTAAACAGAAGCAAGTAGTAGAGAAATGAGGCTCTAGTTGAGTTCACTTATGCTTTGCATGTTATATTATAATAAGCAGCTATAACCACATAATCATGCAAAAGACGCGAACAGTTGGGAAAACATATGGACAACATAATACACCACAATCATAATGATTGCTTCTAAGTTTACACAAAATCACCTTGCCCGTTTATCCATTTTAGCCACCAACTATCAATAGAAAGATATATATTATACATTAACTCGACAATCACTACAAAAAAAGAGGCTTTAACGAGGGTTAAAACCGGTCGTTAATTGTCCAAAAACTGTCGGCAATGGTTATTAACGACCGGATAGGACCCCTCATTATAGGCTTTGCCGGTAAAAGTCATTAACGACAGGAAAACTCTATCCGGTCGTTAAAACTACTAACGAGGGTACTACTTCCGCTCGTTAAAAAACAACTTTTACAAGTATAATCATAGGTATTCCCGACGAGTTTACTCTCATCAATCTGTAGGTAAATAAGATAATCTGGTCGTTATTGATGTTGCAACTGAATTTATCATTATTGACGTTCAATCCCTATGAAAAAAGCTCTTTATGGAAATTTAATCATAGAAAATACTTTTTGCCATTTTCATTACTAAAACCAACCATAACAAATCTAATATCTTACTAAAAGTTTGCCTATAAAAATACATCCAAGTTGATTGAATAACCATCCAGTAGTAAGGCACGTTTATGACATTGTGCCTTCACAAGATAAACAAAAACTTTAACTCCTAAAGTGGAAGCAGCAATAGTACTATTGCTTTCTTCAGCTTCTTGAAGCACTCTTCTTTGATCCCCTAAGCCTCGTGTATGTCCTTCCAACTCCTTGCTGAATTAATGCTGAAGGCTGAAGCAATGGAAAAACAAACCAATGTTACTCAACATAATTTTTATAATGACGATGATATAAGTGGATTACACAACAAAACAGAAGTTCTGTAAAGATACCGCTAACAAAAACAGAGGAAAAAGAAACACAGATTGAAAAGAATCTGAAACTAGCATCATAAGAAGATACAGAAGAAAGAAAAGGCAAAAAAAAGTATAGTAAAAGTTGCAACAGGCTGTGCACAAAAGACTATTGTCGCTTACCTTCCCAAAACTTCAAGAGCTGTCAAAGGATTTAGAACTTTACTGTTCTTAAATGAATTGCAATTGAAAAACCTAATCTTAGTTCCCCTGAAAGGAAGAAACAACAATTACTATCATTCAAGCAAGCAATGATAGTACACACGATACCAACATACTATTTGCTTACATTTTAGCTCATCTGGTGCATTAATAGCAAGAACAAATGAAGCTCGATCATGTTCATAGAACATCTCTTAACCTGTTTCGCTAAAGTGGTAAGGCTGTGAACGAACATGAGTTAGAACGATCATGAGTTGCCACAGCTTTTCTGCAATACATGACTCAATAACATCAAATGCTAGCTAGACAACAACAGGCCAAATCTGTTAGTAATTATCTAGCAACGAAGTTCAATGAATCGCACAACAAAGGGATACTAATTATTTAATGACAATATATGATATGGAATGACTTCTTTTCTGCAACAACAACATCAAGACAAGAGCAACGATGGAAGTCATTTGATGATAAGCTGACCTTGTTTCTGTAACACACTTAGTTTACAAGGAGCAAAAGATGTTCCTTGAGCACAAATTCACAATTTCACATCGTCAAAATTATCCACTAAAGTATATTCTATCATTTGACAGAAGAGAAGGGCATCTAACCCGATCAGGAGGCAAATAGTCAAAATAATCCACTGAATTATATTTTATCACTTGACAGAGGCAAGCAACTGCAGTAGCTTGAACCTTTCCATCTGGATGCTTAGTAAGATTGTGCACTGCATCTCACAGGGTATCTCCTGCAATCGATCAAGAACGACTAAACTAGTTATTACAAGGAAGGGCATACATGTTTGTCCAGTTAAACAAAAGAGAATACCAAACAGCAACTGCAATGCGGCTAAAGAACAGAATGTTATAAACGACATCTATCGACTATCATAGATGTAAATTCACAATACTAAAAGCCAAAAGCTTCTATTTTCATACAATCTGAAAGTTCCTTGCATGGATTTTTTTGGCATCCTAATCATCTAAAAAAATAGCATCCAAAAGATAGGAAATAAGTAGTCAAGAAATTGGGGCAACACACAGGAAAATCGTTCAACAAAAACCCGCAAAAGAATGGGTTAGAGCAAGAAAAACTTCAATTGAAATGGAAAGGAATCTTCAGGGAGCGTGTGACGTCGCATGACAGATGAAGCTGTGGGATAGCGAGAACCTCCGGAAGGAGAAAGTGATGGGCAGAGGAAGCATTGCTAGAAGAAAGCTTTTGTTGGCGGAGCCATAGGAGGGACTGGAGGCAGGCTCGTAGGAGAAGCGGCGAGCCACCACATGCAGATCTAATAAAGTGTTTCAGAGCCAGCAAGAAGCGATTACTGGCAAGCGGACCTCGATTGGGCAAGATCTGGGCGGGAGACAACTGAGAGAGCCGCCGGCCAGAGTAGACAGATCTAAAGAACTGCACGAGGCCCTTATTGGAAGGCGGCTTCAATCATCGGCGTTGGAGGCTGGATTTGGTGGTGGGTGGATGGGGGATTGAAGGCAAAGCTTGCTCACCATTGGCTTTTGCTTCCCTTTTGGAAAACCTAGATCGATGCTGTTGAGGTCGATTTGATTCGGCCTTGATAGATTTCTCTCGGCAACGTGAGACAGAGGAGGGAGACCAAAAATGGTTTGATGTTTTTTTGGGGAGTGGTGGGGGATCTAAGTGTGCCTTTTTCTCAGATCTAAAAATTGAAGCGGCGAAACCCGCGAAAACGAAATAGTTTTGGCGGACTATCTAAAAAATTTCATGAAAGCCAATGACGAGGGTAGTTTGCTCATAGTTATTCTGATTAATTGCCAATAACGAGGGGTGGTTCATGCCACTAACGAGGGTAAATAATACACCTCCGTATTAGCATAGTGGGATTCCCATTATGGTATTTAACGACTGTTTTTGCTCCCCTCGCCATCTTTTCCCCTCGTTAAAGGCTGATTTTTTTGTAGTGAATAGAATGCCATCACAAAAAAAAATCAGTACGCAATTTCGAACAGAAAATAGAGCACCCGATCATCCATTTCAAACCTCAACTGTCCATTGATAATATTAGGCTCATAAATTAGAAACAATTCTTAGTAAAAACAGATGAATAATAAAATGATACACATTCAACTATTCATCAATATTCAGCCAAATTGTCACAACCAAGCAACCAAAGCGAGGAGGGACGACACCCTGAATTACGCCACCCATCAGCTACATTACACATACATTACTTCACAGAACCACGTTCCTCTCCCAACAACCTAAACATGAAAGATCAACTTTTACTTTGCATACAAAGGAACAAATGAAGAAAGCTAGCATAAGCAAACCATCAATAATTAAAAACAGGGGACCAGTTAATGATAATCAAGTTTCTTTCTTTATATAATGAGAATAAAGGGCTCAAAATAGTAAAATCGGACACAAGCACCACTAAAAACTATTAGAACAAAAGAGACAAATCACATACATATATAGCTTTCAGTCTTTAAATTTGCATTTTCCACCGCAAGCAACGTCTAAAAAGCAAGATAAAGTACAACTAATGAAGAAAAGTACTTGCATTTCTTAGCCAAAATCATATCAAGATCAAAGTTGTTTCTGGGTTCAAGCTGCAAAGAGGAAAAATAAACCCATCACAAATCAAAAGTATGTTTTAACTAAGAGCTTTGGGTTTCTTTTCTTGTTCAGATCATCCATAACCCCTTAGTGCTACCTAATAGAATGAATCCTTAGCTGAAGTACTTACTCAAAGAGCTTCTTTGTAAAGGTAACTTGAGAAAGTGGCACCAAGTTCTCCTCTTCATCTGATCTTACGATCGTCCATCATCCATTGTCCTTTACTGATGCAATTGTCAATTGCATGTATAGACCCCAAGAAAAGGCCGACGTTGGATGCTGTATCGAACCATCCTTGGGTTGTCGCAGAAGACGACCTATCTTGTACTACTTATCTTAGTGCAAACGTGGTAGGGCAGAGCGAGAAGAACGCTCCGACAGGAGTTGCAGCAGAGACAACAACAGCCATGAATCCAATTTCCTCCTTTCATCAAGAAACAGCTCGGAAACACTCTGTTAGCATATTTCCAAAAACGCATGATGAATAAAGACAACATAAACGAACAAACTATTGAAAATCGAGTGGCAAAAGAATTGAACTCAGGAATTTACCAATTTTAGTTATAATCATCTATTCCCAATAACCGGGAAATTAGAAGCTAAATTCTCATCTTGAGGCTCTTTGAAACCATCTTAGATCTGATAGCTATCTCACCTTGACAGTCCTCATCTACACAGATACAACAAAACTGACCAGAAATTAATTCCAAACAAATTTACTAAAATGCACCGTAACACCATCATGATAAGCCCTAGTGATTTGTATGGGATCTAAGACTCCTCACATTTCACAGTCGAGATTGTGGAAGAGAACCCCTTGAAAACCTTCGGACTCCTCATCACACCACGAATCTCCATTGATGGTCGAATGAGTATATTTCATTACACACGATTACCAACTTTTAATTTAAGGTTTTGCATAAACAGAATTACTCGAAGCCGCAGAGCACCGTCGCACAGTTTGGGGTCGGCAGTCCGTCAATTGAAATTGGGAAAGAGGAATACGACTGAAAGCCATAGAATAGAGAGAAGCTTACTTGGTGTTTGGTATTGATGGCGGCGTAGAATTTGATAATGGATGTGGCTCACTGAAACTGATGCAATTAGAGGGGAATGGGGGCGGTGGTGGTTAAAGAGAAGCGGCCAATTGGGGATGGAAACTACCAACTCTGGCAGACCTCCCTAACACTCTCTCTCCTTTGAGCGATGCAAAAATGGCGGTTCCTATCGGGTAGGGGAAGAGATACGCACAGAGCTCCGTCACGCGATTTTGGGTTGCCACCTATTGGAAGACAGACCTGGACATAGCAGAGAAATCGGTTATAGAGGGTTGGGAGAACATCCGCCTAGGCAGTACCGGCAGTGTGCGATTACCTGACAGAGAGGATAGAAGCGGATCTCTGGAGGAAAGCTGCAACCTGCGAGGGAGTTGCGCTGGTTGTCGGAGATGAAAGTCTCGTTCGTCCACAACCTCTTCATCGCCGAGATCGGTCGCTGTTGACATTGGGGATGCGGCGAGAGTGGAGGCAGCATATATCATTACGGTCCTGTCAGATGCGAAAAGGAAAGATGAAGAAGAAGGAGCGTTCCATAAAAACAAAGGCAAACGAAGGACGACAGTTGCAGGCGGCGAAAAATGTCAGAAATCCCACCTAATTGGGCTGCCACATCAGCCTCCTAAAATCACTCTACGGACAGGAAAATTTGAATCTGAGTTGCAGTTATACTTTTCAACTATAAATGATACTGTTGATACGATTTTTTTGCCCGCGCTTCACAAGAGTAAGACAAACTAATTATATTTAAAAGTTCATCCATTTATTTGATGATTCAGTGAAAATAAAATAATTCCTAAGATTATTAGAATAGGATTGCTACATAAGTTTTATATAATGTCTTAATCATTATGAAATACATAGACCATATGTTTGTTTAAGTGATATATAAAAGATAATCATCATTTTATAAACTTCACACCATCTCGTGACTAAATTATTATGTAAAATAATAATTTACCTTCAAGATTATTTGTGTATGCCAAATTGATGAGATTATAAAAAATTTAGTTAATAATAAACAGATTTAATTCAAACTTAAATTACCGAATCTTTATCCATTGTTTAAGTGATTCATAAGAAATAAATACCTCTCCATAAGTTTTATATAACTTATTTGTAATTATGTAACTGCCATCTTACTGTACATCTAATAAAAAGATCAAGTTAACAAAAATATAAATAATGTAAATTGTTATATAAGAAATCATTGACCCTACAATAACTAAATCTAATACAAATAATAAGGGTTAATTGCATGTTTGGTCACTGAGATTACAAAAAACGTTCTATGTTTGGTCACTCGAAATATTTAAATTCATTGGTAGTCCTTGAGTTTAGTAAAACCGTTCACGTTTAGTCACTCTCCGTTAGTCGCCGTCAATTTTCGTTAAGAAAGTCCGTTAAGTGATGACGTGGCAGACATAATTGTCTAATCATTCCTATTTAACCGAAAATAGTGACGCCCGACCCGCCACGTCACTAAAATCCGCATGTCATCTGGACCAACCCAACCCTCTAACCAAACTTGACCCAACCTTTGAACTGACCGACCCAAATCAAATCCCTAAAATCTAAATCAGAACTGAACTTCTTCCCTTCTTCGATCCTGCACCTCCTTCCTTCCTCCCGACTTTCTTCCTCTTCCCCTCTCTTCGATATTTCACCGGCGACAAGGAGCCAAGGAGGGATAGAGCGGCCTCCATCGCCACCCACTCCCTCGCTGCAACAAACACGAAAACACAGATCTCACTAACTCTCCTCTTCTTCCCGTCCAAGCGTTATTTCTCCGTTCCAATCATCAATTATTTCTCCTCTTCGATCTGTTTCACGGTGGACTATCTTCATGTGTAAACAATTTCAATAGGGATGCAACAAATAATGAAGAAATTACCATGAATTTCCTAGTTTCAAGAAGAATTCCAGCCGACCCAGATGGATAATTCAATGAAGGACGAACAAAACTCTAATGACACAAAGTTTGAGTAGTAATTAGTGTAATTACTAATAATCACCAATTATATCGGTCGTCATTCTTCCATTGGAGTACCTCCCAGTTGCGATGCCGAAAGGGAAATTGATGTCGCAAGGAGGGTAATTGGCTTTCACCTTGGTATTGAGATTGTTGTTGCAAACGTCGAACAGAGAGTCACCGATATGAAATAGCAGGGCACTTTCGGCTCCCGAGATCCATCATCGACTACTGCTGCACCGACGAGTGAGTGAGATATGTGTTTGTTGCAGCAAGGGAGTGGGTTGCGATGGAGGCGGATCTATCCCTCTTTCGTCATCGGTGAAATATCGAACAAAGGGGAAGAGGAAGAGATTCGGAGGAAGGAAGGAGGCGCATGATCAAATAAGGGGAGAAGTTCACTTCTGATTTAGATTTTAGGGATTTGATTTGGGTCGGTCAGTTCAAAGGTTGGGTTAAGTTTGGTTAGAGGGTTGGGTTGATCCAGATGACATGTCGGATTTTAGTGACGTGGCGGGTCGGGCGCCACTATTTTTGGGTTAAATAGGGATGATTCGACAATTCTGTCCGCCACGTCATCACTTAACGGACTTTGTTAACGGAGATTGACGCCGACGGCGACTAACGGAGAGTGACCAAACGTGAACGGTTTCACTAAACTAAAGGACTACCAATGGATTTAAATATTTTGAGTGACCAAACATAAACATTTTTTGTAATCTCAGTGACTAACCATGCAATTAACCCCAAATAATAAAGAGCTTATAGTAAATTATAAAGCTTCGTATAATACATTTGTAATTACATATGTTGGGGGTATGGCTAAGAAGGGAAGCCCAAGTCCAGGCCCAAACAGTCACCATCATAGGGTGGAGCCGTCAGGAAAGCCCATCGGGCCGAGCCCAAGCATGAATGGGGGATCTTGAAGATGAAGCTTAGAAAAGTCCAAAGAAGTACGGATTATCGGTGGTCCCCCTGGAGAGGCGCCTGCTATGTGTCAGAAGACTGACAAGTTGGTCGGGGCGCCTAACCCGACAAAAGTACGAAGTGTTTAATGATATGCTGATGTGGAGCTGGTTTGAAGGAGCCTGGTCCAGGGCTGGGTAAGTATAAATAGTGCTGGTAGGTAACATTAATGGAGGTTTGATTCTCTCACTAAAAGCTAGGGTAGAGCACTTCTCTCTCTAGGATACATACTAACTTGAGCGTTGGAGGATTAACGGGCCCGTGCGGCCCCTCTGTGTGTCTTGTGTGTAGGTGAGACTTCCAAAGGAAAAAAGGAGGAGCATTAGTGGAGGGGATCAGACTTCCAGGTATCAGGGCTCGAACAATTGGCGCGCTAGGAAGGGGGAGAACGATCACAAAAATGGAGGCGCCTATAGGTGGAGAGGAGGAGCAGTGAAACGAACCGATCCTTTTGACCAAACCGAAATAACCATGGCGCCAGAGCCGATTAAAAATAAGACTCAAAATTTCATTAACACGAATACAACAGTATCATTTTCAAATAAAATGCCCTAAACACTTGGGCAACCTCAATCCTTAGTCAATAAAACAACATAACTTTGAGTCTTAAACCTCCAGTTTATACTCATAACCATGAACATAACCAACTAACTAAATAAACTCTAACTCTAACTCTAACTCCTCGCTGAGCTCCCTGAGACCTTGCCAATGCTGGTACGGCTGCTCGCCTCGTCCTGCCTCTTCCCAAAACCACGTCTGATAACCCTTCCTCAACCTGGTGAGTGAGAAGGGGTCAGTCTCGTCGTTACTTCCTAAGGTCTTTCCCTAAGCAAACCCTTACTAAAACACGTTATTAGCGTTCCCTTTCCTTGGATGAAAGTCGTTCTCGCTTTCATCCTTAATAACTTATTTCAACATTAGCTCATAGAATTTCTCGACTTCTATCCTTAACTCAACACAAAATACAAGGACCACTGCATTACATCTACCCGTTCGGTGTCCTACCCGAGTATGCCAACCGCGTTACGTCTCGCCGTCTGGTTGCATACCCAAACTCGGCAATGGCACTACGTTACGTCTCGCCGTCCAGTCCATGCCCGGTCAACTACTGTGTTACGTCTCGCCATCCAGTAGTGACCCCAACAAGCGATCAACTGTTGCGTTACGTCTCGCCGTCCAGCAGTGATCCGACCAACTACCGCATCCAGTAGTGGCCCAACCGCCCGGGGGTTCAGGTACCATACATCTACACACATTCATACATAGCACAACGCGTGCCTCCACCTTAAGTAGACGGTGAGATGTCTCACACACATAATCGCGCTTACTTGAAAATAACCAACATAACTTAATTAAAAGACATAAACTAAAAGACCTCGACAAAGATTTTACCCCCTTTACACTCACCTTGAAACCGTCGAAACGATCTCTGATTCTGATCTAAAAATTCCTTGACTCGCTCCCATTAAATACTCCTTGTTCCCAAGATTCCATAGGCGCTGACGGTTCCTCAATCGGACGTCGATTGATCGAGTTATGACCAAATAAATATTTCGTCAGTTCAAAAGTACCAAGTACCGAAACTGTAATTTTCCAGTCAACTCTGTCGACCACGACCTCTCTGAAAAATTACTAATTTAATCATCTACCTTTTCGAATTGTCAAGAATGGTACCTGAACTATCCAATTTGCATCCCAAACTTTCGAGGCTTGTATCTCCCTCGTCCGACGTCGAAATTCAATTCCGTCAAAACCGAGATGTTCCTGAGATAGCCCTCTTCTCAATGATACCCACCACTCAAAGAATTTTTGAAGTCGACTACGCCAGTGCCGCCAATGAAACTTTCCGGTGAACCTTGAATGCTTCGCCGTCGACTACAGTTTATGAACATGGATTTGGGTTAATTTCCGATGAATCTATCTTAGGAAGCTGGTTAGGGTCGCCGCATCTTACCTCCACTATACGTACACGAGAGAGCCCTAGTCATGGCCGTCTAGAGGTGATGTGCGACTCGGCTGGTAATTGTCGGTTTTGCTTGGATGGCGAGACGTCATGGAGATAGCAGTTGCGGCGATGCTTGTCTCTGCTTGTGGAGAGAATCTGATGTTAGAGTAGTCAAAGAGTAAAGGAAATACCACATTGGTGGGAGAAAGAAAGTGCAAGTTGTTTTTAAGTTTGCTTTCCACTTTAGTTATTGGATAAAGTGGTTAGTGGGCTTTTGGAAAAAGTGTGGGCTATTTCATTGGACATATTAAATCGCACTACGCACTACGCACTTTGCATGTTTGCGCGACGCGTTCGGATTTGAATTTTTGGCTAATTAATTACCGGAATTGTTTTAATTAATTAATCCGGATAATTATTTGATTTTGAGTTTTGTGAAACGACGCAACCCTTCGGAAGGGAACTACCGTTTTCACTATAAAAGTCTTCTGCAGCCGAATTTCTGTTCTAACGTTCTTCTTCTTCTCCTCGTTTTCCTTCTTCAAAAACACAAACACAGAAGTCAAGAAAGGTGCTGCTTTCTGACTTTGATTGGAGGGACTCCTGGGGGTGGTTTGCCTAAATCCTACCAGCAACAAAGTAGTGGGGGCAAATAAACACTCTAAGGAGAGTGATCTAATCACGCCTTCAATCGTTCTCTTCCATACGGTTTCCCTGACATATGAGAGAAAAGAGGCGAGGTGTTTGTTTGGGTCCTTGTCTCTGTAGGTTTGTAGTGTTATTAAGGCAGAGAGAAAGACGTTTGAGTTGCTGCTGTTGATGAGGGGAAGGAAAGGTACGTAACGTTGCTACGTACTAAATGGGGATTTAATCCTCTTCTTCCTTTTTTTTTTACTTTCCCCCTTTTTCTTTGAATACGCGGATGATGATCACTTTAATAATAATAACAATAATGTTATTATTATTATTATTATTATTATTATTATTATTATTTTTTTTTTTTTAATTCACGGTTACACCTCTTCGTACATAACCGTTGATCCAACCGTTCATTTCTTATGATTGAACCTGGACTCAAATATCGGCGTGTTACAAGCAGGTCACAGGGAACCCGTCTCATGAGGTGAGGGAGCAGACGCCTGACGCAATCGAGGGTCAAGGAAGTGAGGCGAGGTATCTTTACTCGGAGGGCGCCTCGATTACTAAAAAAGATTTATTTAAAATCATTGAGGACCAAGACGAAGCCATTGAGATTCTCAGGCGAGAACTGGAAGCGCCGAAGAAGGGAGAGAGATTGACTCCCAGCCAGGTGTCAAGAAAGAGAGAGAGGACTGCGGAAATGGAAGGGGAGTCTGACCAACCTAGGCGTCCCGCGTTTGGATGACGCCCGAATGACCATGCAGGTTCGGACCTCGACACTCGAAACGGGTGGGCGCTCGAGCGACTAACCCGACACTTCACTGTGAGGCAGCCTTTGGCGAGGAACGTGCTGGTGGAACCTGCAGGAACCAGCATTCCACCACTACCTACTTATGATGGGACATCGGATCCGGGCGACCATTTCAATGGCTATTTCACAAAGATGCAGTTGTACAACAACTCAGACGCCACCTTGTCCAAAGTGTTCCCATCAACTTTCGCAGGGATAATGCTTGACTGGTATCACCAAATTGAAGAGGGGCGCATAGAATGATTCGAGCAATTTGCGGCGATGTTCTTGTCAAAGTTTGCTAGTCAAAAGCGTCGCACCCTAACCATAGGTGCCTTGTTCAAAACCAAACAAAGGGATGGAGAGACGCTTAGAGTATTCTACGAAAGGTGGATTTCTGTAGCTATGGCGGTAAAGGATGTGCAGACGCCTGTGTTGGGGTGCTGCCTAGAATATTGCACTACAAGTGAGGAACTCTGTCGAGCACTAGCGAAGAGAGATGTGGTGTCGACGGAGGACTTGGACCACCGGGTTCAGAAGGTGATAATGTTGGAGGAGACGCTGGCGGCAAGGAGGACAGACAGGCGCCGTGTAAGAGGAGAGGAAGGGGAAGCTTCACGAATATCGATTCCTGCACCAGGACCAACATACCATGATACGAACTCATACCAATATTTGAAACACGGTTTGGGTCGGGTTCTACGGATTGTGTAATCCAAACCCAACCCAAAAGAGGCGGGTTGTACAAAAGAAAACCCTCACCGAACCTAAAACCTTAGTTTTAGTAATAAATATGGATAAATTGGGTTGGATTGGACGGGTGGGCCGGTTGCGAGTGCTTGTTCACCCCTAACTTTACCCCACCCCCACAGCCATAGTAAAGTAGTCAGTGCCAAGTTGTTAAATTATTACTTTCAATCTTATTTGGTCCTTTAATTTGGGGAGGATGAAAGATCGGAAAATTATAACCGATAATGACGTTTTTTTGAACATATATAATTATTGGATTTTTGTTATCTGTTGTGCTCATTCAAGCAATTATATTATCTATAAATGTTCTCAAAAAATTATTTTATCTAAATGTGTTTCATAAATACAATAACAACAACAATAATAATAATAATAATAATAATAATAATATTATTATTATTATTATTATTGTGTAAAACGTAACCAGGAAATGCAGGCATGGGGCCATCATTTATTCCTATGTAGTTCGTTTTATTGTATTGTATTGTATTGTTGTGGCTAGACAAGAAATTGCCGGCTGGATCAAGGACATCTTGTCATTTGTTGGGCCTTGTAGGTTGTAGCTGATTATTGCACAAAGCTTTGACCGGCCGGTCTGAATGAATCAAACTCTTTGAAATGAAAATGGGATCTTCATTCTCCCCTATTTTGTTTGATTCTATAGTATATTCGGTCGTCAAAATTTTCATAGTAGTTTGTGGTGGTGCCCCGCCCCCGCTAGCTAACATAGAAAGAGATTCCCGGATAACAGTAGTCTCTATGTGAATCTCTTCCCGACCAGGCCAGGCCGAATCGGGCCACCACTTGGGATGGGAATGGCTCAGCCCACATGCATCATTTGATGAAAGCACTCCAGTCCAGTCGCCTCCTCGAAGTGGCTTGTCAACCACGGGGCAAGGAAGAAGCTTATTTTACTCGTCTCGTTTGCTCCCGCCGGGACTCTTCTCTGAAGTCTTGGAAGGAGAAAGATATTCCTACGACGAACTCGAGTAGATTACTTCGAGACCAGACACAAAAAATTGACCGAAAAGTCGCTTCGTGACCATGCATTAACTAATTTGAAACCTTGCTTCGATTATGCATATAACAATGAGTTTTGTATAGATACACATGCATATAGCATCTATATATTAAGCATATTAATCTATATATTAAGCTTATTAGATGATCCATTTTTTGATGCTCACCAAAAGGTAGAAAAGTATATGGAGGACTCGGTCGTTATGAACATAATAACAACATTAATTATAAATGTCGTCCTTTGCATTATTATTACGAGCATAAGCCAATACGTACGTAGAGTAAAAAAAATTCGTTCCCTGATTGTGTTATGTAGCACATATATATGTAAATGAATATTTTTGGGTGTAATATATATGATGATTGATGAGAAAGGTTGTATTTATTCTTGGAGATGCAGAAAACGTACGTCCCAAAGATAAGGACTTGGGCCCAACTCCAAAGGCCGGCCGATGCAAAGTGCAAACTAACCCCCGGCCCTTGCTAATTCCGGCGGCAAGTATATCCTCACAAATATTCCTCAAGAGAAAGCAAAGTTTATATATTGACGAACAATGATGGGGACGCCGACAAGAAAAATATATATAGTAGAGAAGATTAATATATATATATTTCTCGTTCCAAATCACTATAAGGCAACGAAACACTCTATACATACATGTAATTGGACCGGGAACACAAAAGTAGAGAAGAGAAAAGAAAAGAAAGGAGAGGTATTAATTAATGGAGCAAGAAAAGCACAAGGAGGACGGAGAGGTCGATGATGATGATCGTGGAAGCAGCGGGCGGGCGCGGGTGGATGAAGGTGATGATGGCGATGTGAAGAAGGAGAAGGAGAAGGAGGAGGCAGCGAGGAAGAGTAGAGCGGTGCCGTTTAGGAAGCTGCTTATGTATGCCGATGGGTTGGACTGGTTGCTAATGGGGCTGGGGGTGTTGGGGTCTGTAGTACATGGGATGGCTCAGCCTGTGGGATATCTGTTGCTTGGCAAAGCTCTCGATGCCTTCGGCAACAACATCAATGATGATGTCGCCATGGTCAAGGCCTTGGACAAGGTAATATATATCTATCATTAAATTAATTACTTACTTATACAGATCATTAATTAATTGGATATATAAGATGTGCATTCAACGAACAGAAAAATTATTACTGATATATATATATAGAAACTAGTGTAGTTAAAACAATCACTGGCTAGCTAGCTAGTGATTAATGGATAATTTCTCACCAGATTGAGGTTCTAAGTTCTAACATATATATATGCTGTCTGGGTTTTTAATGTATGCAGGTTATTCCATTTGTCTGGTACATGGCCATAGCTACCTTTCCTGCTGGAGTACTTGGTACAGTAATTAATTAATATATATTAACCTTACTGTACTTGCATATTAATTTATTTCCCTCCGTGATCTTAATTATACAGATCGAGTTGTCGTTTTGGGATGTTTCATTCGTCATTACAATTAATTAAGCTTGGTTGCTGAAGCAGGCTATTATTAACTGCATATATGTGGCTAGCTAATGAGCTTGCTTGATTGATTAAGTTGGTAAAAATATATACATATAATTAATTAAATGCAGAGATTGGTTGCTGGATGTACTCAAGCGAACGGCAACTGGCAAGATGGAGAATAGAGTACTTGAAATCCGTGCTTGGCCAAGAAGTTGGAGCTTTTGATACCGAGTTGACCACCGGAAAGATCATAACAGGGGTCACCAATCACATGAGTATCATTCAAGACGCCATTGGAGAGAAGGTACTATATATGCAAATGCAATATATATATATATATGGTGGCTTCTATGGTACCCCGGGTGAAATCCGGGGTAACGCATACCTCGAGTATGGAAACTCTATCTAGACCTCGAATTACCAGGATTTTTGTGTATGATATTATACCCTAACCCTTAATGAGTGAACCCTAGGTCATAATTATCTAAATCATAATCTATAAACCCTAAGATGGTGCATTTCTTTTTGTGCCTATATTTGGATGAATCATAACCGTCGATTATTATTTCTAATTAAATTGATCTTGGAGTATAAGATTGGGAGAGTTAACACCTAGATTTTGATCTTTAAGTGTTAGAGTATAGTATCATGTCCGAAAGATCGGTCAATTCAAGGTCTAGATAGTGTTTTCATACTCAAGGTATGCGGTACCTAGGATTTCACCCAGGGTACCATAGAACTCGCCATATATATATATATATATATATATGATGCATGGCCAACTAATTATTAATACACATGTTAATTGTTGTTTAATTATTTTGAGTTTATTAAGATCCATCGATCGATCGGTCGATGGAGTAAGTTAAGATAGATATACAATCTCAAGTTCTGAACCAAATGAAAGTTAATTGAAGGCTTAATTAATTAACTAACCCATGTCAATGTATGCATGCAGCTGGGCCACTTCCTGTCGAGCTTCGCCACATTTTTTTCAGGGGTCTTCATCGCGGCCATATGCTCATGGGAAGTCTCACTCCTAACCCTTATGGTGGTTCCTATGATCCTTGGAATCGGGGCCACCTACACCAAGAAGATGAACGCCATCTCTGCCTTGAAAATGGGCTACCTATCTGAAGCAACAAGCATGGTTGAAGAGGTGATAATAATAATAATAATAATAATAATTTGATGCATACATACATACATAACCTAACATTCTTAATTAATAAATTAAATGGTTTGCTTCCATGCATCATTCTTTTCTTGTAGACAATCACTCAGATCAAGACGGTTTTTGCATTTGTTGGAGAGTCTCGAGGTGTCAAGGCTTTCACTGAGTGCATAACCAGGCAACTCTCGCTGAGCAAAGTTGAAGCATTGACGAAAGGGATAGGGACTGGGATGTTTCAGGCAGTGACCTTCTGTTCATGGGCAATCATCATCTGGATTGGAGCCCTTGTTGTCACTTCAGGGAGATCAGCTGGCGGAGATGTGATTGCAGCTGTCATGAGCATTCTCTTCGGCGCCATGTAAGTTGATGATCTATCATGCATGCATGCATGTACGCATTGTATATACACATCTACGTACGTACAACACAAACCTTGAATGAATTGAAACGTACGATCATCGACGATTATGTATATATATATATAGGCCAGCGAGCTAGCTATAGCTAGTAATATAATTGCTTTCTTTGGATAAAAAACAATCTTGCAGATCCTTGACTTATGCTGCTCCAGACATGCAAGTTTTCAACCAGGCAATGGTGGCTGGAAATGAGATTTTGCAAGTGATCCAAAGGAAACCCAAAATAGCAACCCATCATCATGACTCCAAATCAGCAAAGACGACGGCGCTAGTGCTAGACAAGGTGGACGGCAACATTGAAGTACGTGATGTGTACTTTGCCTATCCCTCAAGGCCAGACATGTTGGTCCTCAAGGGATTCTCCTTGTCCATTCCTGCTGGCAAAATGGTGGCTTTGGTTGGCAGTAGCGGTTGTGGGAAGAGTACCATCATTTCACTTGTGGCCAGGTTTTATGACCCCTTGAGAGGTGCGTGCGTGCGTAAATCTACCTACCTAGCTAGCTATTTGAAGCTGCATGCATGCATATATATGCCCTAAACGTAACAAGCTAAGCTAGCTAATTCGTACCTTCCTTCCATTAATTTAATTAATACGATTATTCCTCCGGCCAGGAGACGTTCTCATTGACAACCACAACATTAAGGACCTGGAACTTGGCTCACTCAGAAACAAGATTGGAGCTGTCTCTCAGGAACCCTCTCTATTTGCTGGCACCATCAAAGACAACTTGAGGGTAGGAAACATGGAGGCCGACGACCAAAAGATCCAACACGCGTCAGAGATGGCCAATGCTCACTCCTTCATCTCGCAGCTGCCTAACCAATATTCCACGCAGGTGGGGCAGAGGGGAGTACAGTTATCTGGAGGGCAAAAACAGAGGATTGCCATAGCTAGAGCCATTGTGAAGGACCCTCCAATCCTTCTTCTTGATGAGGCTACTAGTGCACTTGATTCAGAATCCGAGCGCCTGGTCCAAGATGCCCTCGAGAAGGCCATGCAAGGGAGAACGGTTATACTCATTGCACACAGGATGTCCACCATAATCAATGCTGATATCATTGCAGTTGTGGAGAATGGACAGGTGGCACAGACAGGAACACATCGTAGCTTGCTGGAATCAAATGCCTTCTACAATAATTTGTGCATCATGCAGAATCTCAATCCTGACGATGATGCAGATGCTGACGATCATTCTTCAAGGTTGGTATTTCACTTCACTTCTCGCATTAATTCCATGGATGTTATAAATGCCAAATTAATTATTATAAGTAGCAAAGCAACATACATATCTGACTCTTAATTGACTTATTGTACGTGTATATATAGGACTGAAGCTGGTTCAAAAGAAACAGTAACAAATGCCGTCATCCAGGAGGAGACCACTTTGCCAACAGATGATGATCATCTGCTGCAGGAACAGAAAGATGCGTCCCAGTCCTATGAAGCTCCAAGCGCGGTCTCAGACCAACAATCGAAAGGAAAGAAGAGACGTCGTCATAACTTCTTCAGAATTTGGTATGGGCTGAGAAAGCAAGAAATAGTGCAGGCTAGTATTGGCTCATTTGCAGCCGCCTTCTCAGGAATATCAAAGCCGTTTTTTGGGTTCTACATTATCACCGTGGGAGTAGCTTACTACCAAGGTCATGCAAGGCGTAAAGTCGGAAAGTACTCCATCATTTTTTCTTTGGTTGGTTTGATCTCTTTGTTCAGCCACACCTTGCAGCATTACTTCTTTGGAGTGGTAGGGGAGAAGGCCATGACCAACCTAAGGAGAGCTCTATACTCAGGTGATCGACCTATATATATATGCATGCATGTCGATCATTTTAAGTAGTAGCTAGCTAGCTAGCTAGCTACCTAATATTCTCAATGTCATGAAATTAACATGCATGTTTAGTAAATAGTAATAGCAATATTTGTGTGGTATTAATTATGTTATGTGCATGCAGGTGTACTGAGAAACGAACTGGGTTGGTTTGAGAAACCAGAGAATAACATTTCCGGTCTCACTTCAAGAATCATCCACGACACATCCTCTGTAAAAACCATAATCGCCGACCGCATGTCCGTCATCGTCCAATGCGTCTCCTCCATCCTGATAGCAACCGTCGTCAGCATTCGAGTCGACTGGAGAATGGCACTGGTAGCTTGGGCAGTAATGCCCTGCCACTTCATTGGAGGGCTCATCCAAGCCAAATCCGCCAAAGGCTTCTCCGGCGATTCCGCCGCTTCTCACCGGGAACTCGTCGCCCTCACATCCGAGTCCACATCCAATATCCGGACCGTCGCCTCATTCTGCTACGAGCCCCATATCATCGCCAAAGCCCAAGAGAGCCTAAAAAAGCCCATGAGAAATGTCAGGGCCCAAAGCATCAAGTTCGGGATCATCCAAGGTGTCTCCCTCTGCCTGTGGAACATCGCACACGCGGTCGCCTTGTGGTACACTACTCGTCTAGTGGAGCGACATCAATCCTCCTTCAAGGACGGCATTCGAGCGTACCAGATTTTCTCCCTCACCGTGCCTTCCATCACCGAGCTATGGACGCTGATTCCGACGGTCGTCTCGGCCATGAAAGTCCTATCCCCGACGTTCGAGACGCTCGATCGGAAGACCGAGATCGACCCCGACTCGCCCAAAACGGATGACGCGCTCAAGAGGGTGACGGGAAGAATTGAGTTTCGGAACGTGGAGTTCAACTACCCACTACGCCCAGAGGTGGCCGTGCTCAACAACTTCAGCCTGGAAATCGAACCCGGTCTAAAAGTGGCACTGGTCGGACCGAGTGGAGCTGGGAAATCATCAGTTCTGGCTCTTCTTCTCAGATTCTACGACCCGTTGAAGGGAAGCGTCCTGGTCGACGGGAAGGACGTAAGAGAGTATAACCTCAGAGGACTGAGGAGGCAAATTGGATTGGTACAGCAAGAGCCACTTCTATTTAGCTGCTCGATTCGGGACAACATCGCGTACGGCAGCGAGCAAGCAACGGAAGCAGAAGTGATTCAAGTTTCCAGGGAAGCCAACATTCACGAGTTCGTCAGCAATCTACAAGATGGGTACGATACGGTTGTTGGGGACAGAGGGTGCCAGCTGTCAGGAGGGCAGAAGCAGCGAGTCGCCATTGCAAGAACTCTGCTCAAGAGGCCGGCGATATTGCTCCTGGATGAGGCGACGAGTGCTTTGGACACCGAGTCTGAGAGGTCAGTGGTGAATGCTCTGGAGATGATAAATGAGAGCAACAACGCATCGTCCTTGTCGAGGATCACGCAGATTACTGTGGCACACAGGCTTTCCACGATTAAGAAATCGGATGTCATAGTGGTGATGGATAAAGGGGAGATCGTGGAGATGGGTACTCATGCTACTCTTTTGATGGCTACGGCTGGAGTGTATTCCAGATTGTATGAGCTTCAAAACTTGGGATAGATTCATATATAGCATCATATATAAGTAAACATACTATTACTATAGTACTGTTTCTGACTAGTAATAATCTATTGAATTTTTTTTTTATATAGGACACTACTTCAAATTGTACGTGAAACTTCTTTCTAGGGCCGGGGTACTGCAAATGTGCCGATCGAGTATTAATCTTTCCTTGGCATATATGTGGAATATTATATTAGTAGTGTAGGGACAACAATAATTAATCAAGGAACTTGAAGCTCCATGTAATCTTTTCCTTAAGGTACGTATTTCTCCTATAAAAAAAAAACAGGTACGTATTTCCTAATGGAGTAGTTGTACCAATTTTGTCCCTTATAAATCCTTAACAGTACAAGATTTGACAGTGGTTAATCATTTTTTTGTCATAAACTTTAATAGAGGGCTTGTTTGATAATGTATAAAAAATATATAGATATATTTACTTACAACTCACATAATAACAGCTACACAGAGAATAATTATAGACTATGCTATTAAATGACTAACAACTAGTGAACAAATAAATAAAAATGAACTAGGAAATAACACACATAACACAAGAGAATACAATATCAGAAAGCTAAAATTTGAGGACTAAAGTAGAAGACATAGAAATTTGAGGTACGCCAATGCGGATTGGGCTATGGCCATGGGTAGCGGCAGCGGGGGTTGTATTTCTTGTTGGGTAAGGCGGAAATTCTCCCGTATCATCATGTATAGATGAAGGAAGGGTTTTGTCTGGGTTTTGCAGAAATCAAATCTTAATGAAGAGATCGCGGGCTTAGCTTCTGCAAGTGAAAGACGAGGTCCTTCAATTAGTTGCCCGAGGAGAAGCAGACATCCGGAGAGAGAGAGAAAGCGAGTTCATTCTGTTACTCTTCCGTCGCCGCCGTTTTCAGTGTTCCCCGCCTCGTTTGATCAATTGATCTCTGGTATCGTTCTGTCACTCTTTCCTCACCAGTCACCGTGAATGATTTCATGTCTAGGAACTAGCCACGTACCGATATGAGGCCCACAAACTGTGTTGATTCGGTCGATTAGAATAATTTATATGCCTTCGTGAATGATTTCATTTTGATACTCTCTCTGTCGAACTTGGGACTAGGCTTGTTTTTGTGATTGGTTGATGGAAGATCAGAAACCTTGGCGTTTCTGCTCTAACGTCTTTGATTTAGGTTACCTTGAGTATTCGTATCTGAGGGATGGCCCAACCTAGCTAGGGATTGGTTTTATCTATTATTGTCGGTGTTACTTAATTATGTCATTCTCAGCGAACTCAGTTATCTGATTGAGCATTGATGTTGGAGTACATATGGCCTGGACCTCGTTGGTTTTGCTTTCATTCTCTGTTGGTTCTTTCATTGGTTTTGAGCATTCGTGTCTGAGATTCTGTTTGGGAAACTATCCTTTCAATTCAGGCACTCCAACTCTGTTTGTCTTAAGATGATGGTTTTCCAGATTTGATTTCTGATCCTTTGCTCTCCAACTCAAACCCCTTGAATATGAAAATTTTGCAGAGTATAGGAAGGATGTGGAGAAGTAGCAGCACTCGGCTTGTGAAGCAAACCTTTCGATTCAGGCAGCAAGCAGCAGCAGTGCTGCTTGACTCACCGAAACTCCCAACCCTCTTTACCATTACAGCTCCAATTTCGACCTCTTCTGCCCCCGGCTCCATCTCCCATGGCCGCCAGTCTTCCCTTCCCACACTACGGAGCCCTCTAACATCCCCCTTCTCCATTGTCCCGGTTCGCCATATCCGCTCTATCCGTGATGCCAGCACTGGGTATCTACTTATATTCCATTTCCTTCTTCTTTTTTCCTTTTTGCCCCCAACTGGAAATAATTAGAAAGCTTTCCTCTACTTGGTCAGTTATGATATAGCCCCACCGATGAACTGGGGGATCCGGATTGTGCCAGAGAAGAAGGCATACGTGATAGAGCGATTTGGCAAGTACGTGAAGACACTTCCATCTGGACTTCACTTCTTGATCCCATTTGTGGATCGAATTGCTTATGTACATTCCTTAAAGGAAGAGGCCATTCCGATTCCTGATCAGTCCGCTATCACCAAGGACAATGTCAGCATTCTCATTGATGGCGTTCTCTATGTCAAGGTTTCTTTCTTTCTTTCTTCCTTTCGTTTTTGCTTCATTTCTTGTCTACTCAGGTATGAACTGGTCAGAATTATGTTAACATGTCCTATCTACTGTTTGCAGATTGTTGATCCTAAGTTGGCCTCTTATGGAGTTGAGAATCCAATCTATGCTGTTATTCAGTTGGCACAGACAACCATGCGTAGCGAGCTTGGAAAAATTACACTTGATAAGACCTTTGAGGAACGAGACACTCTCAATGAGAAAATTGTGGTATATTGCCCTTATTTACTTTACTCTACTGGCTAAAACATGTCTAACTCTCTTACTATGTTTCACCTTATTTCATATATAGATAAACATAATCGCAAACGAATTTCTAAAACTATTTCAGGAAGCCATTAATGTTGCTGCAAGTGACTGGGGTCTCCAATGCCTTCGCTATGAAATAAGTGAGTCATTACTGAGAACCCTTTAATATCCTATCTGCATTTTCATTTAGACCTATCCTATACTGCTAACTGGAATTTTTCTTCTGTAGGGGATATTAATCCACCACGTGGAGTAAGAGTAGCCATGGAGATGCAGGCAGAAGCTGAACGTAAAAAGAGGGCCCAAGTTCTTGAGTCTGAAGGTAATACTGTAATAGTGCCTGTTCATTTTGCAGTCCTAAATTACAGATTGGTATATACTCGTTGCTTATCTCGTGAAACCTTCACTTCTCCTCGTTCTTTATTTTTCTCAATCACATTGTAACAGGAGAGAGACAGGCAAACATTAATATTGCTGATGGAAGGAAACTTGCTGCCATATTGTCAGCGGAAGGCAAGTTATACTCTTACACAATTATGTTCAACATGAATAAATTTGAACCTGCTTCGTGAATATCCGTGGACTGTCCTTATATATGGACTCAAGTCTTGGGCAGTTGGCATATAGGTTGAACGTTGTATTCCCTTCTATAGCCTTTCTTTTAAGTGTCCTCAGGGTCAGGGATTCCATTGGTAAAGCGCCCAGTTTTTTTCTTAATCTTAATTTTCCATCTCTGAAAAGCTAGTTACCTGTTTTCTATAGCTTACGGATTTCAGTCTCAGCATTGTTTATATTGATTAAGCAAGGATATAACTTAGCATCCAATGATTATGTTATGTGTCCTAAAAATTTCCATACAATTGCATCCCAGCTAACCTGCAAGTATGTCATTATCAGGTGAAGCACAAGCCATCCTAGCTAAAGCTGACGCTACAGCCAAAGGAATCACCCTCGTGTCGAAAACCCTCAAGGAGAGTGGTGGAGTAGAGGTGAGAATCTGAATCCCTTAAATGCCGTAGCAGAATGTTCCTTTTCCTTAGTAGTTGTAATCAGATTCACTTATCCCTAAGCACAATAGGACAAACGGGTCCATTCTTTATTGACATCATGGTGTGCTTGCAGGCAGCAAGTCTAAAAGTTGCTGAACAATATATCCATGCCTTCGGCAATATTGCCAAGGAGGTAAAGAATCGAGTGAATTTGGGTTTCCTATTGGGTGATTTAGTTTACATTTCTTTTACCATTTTGCAATGCATCCTTACCAGGGGACTACAGTGTTGCTTCCTTCTTCGACCGCTAATCCGGCCAGCATGATTGCCCAAGCGCTGACTGTGTACAAAAGCTTGCTTGGAAAGACTCCTAATGCTGGTGAGGGGAGCTCTCCTTCACTTGAGTTGTCAGGAGGCGTGGATAAAAGATTTTCCATTGAAGATCACCACAATATTGAGGGAAACCATGTGAAGGGCGAGTCTGGCTTTTCGCTGCAGAAGAACAAAGGAGAGTAGCAAACTGGTGGCAAGAGACATATCAGGACAAGTGATAGGCCTCAAATCAAATCTATTGGATTGTTTTTGTAGGGGTTGTAGCTGTAGCATGTTTGACATGAAGTCAACCTTGATTCCCAGTTACCTTCTAGTTTTGGAATGGCCTTTCCGGATTAGACACTTTTCTGAGGCACTCATCAAATGTTAATTGAACACAGGGAGATGTTACTTGACATTGGATATTGGAAATATCAATGCAGAGCAACATCTGAGTAGATTTTGAGGTTTTACTTGGTGCATTAACAATGTAGAATTTGCTAGCAAGTGCTCAGGGACTATGATATTAGCTAATTCTGGGTCATAAACTGTTGTTATTTACAACAAAAGATGAAGCTTCTCAACAGATGCAGAAGCAATGTACATCATAAATTTGAAGCCACCATCCAAGGATGCCCCTTTCCGTTAATATTTTGTACCCTGGATGTCAATCTAACGGTTCAACAGTGAAATGCTCTGGGGATCAACAATAAGAACAATAAATGGTGTCATGAACAAGGATTTGGTCTAGCGGTTAATCCATTAGTCTTCGAGCTGGAGTTTTTCATGTTTGAATCCCTTCAGTAGCACCAAATGTTAATACAAAACCTATATCACCTTTAAAAAGAATACAACAAATGCCGTCCCGTTACTTATTTCCCACATAACAGTAAGCTTTGAGATGCATAAGATACATGAAAGGATCGTGCTAACAATAAGGAGCACCGGAAGCGCCACTTGCTCCCAATTCTTTTCAGCATCACTGAGGTTAATGTTAAATTAGATGATACTGCTGCAACAAGTCTTCAAAACCCGTGAATCTTGCTGCCAAAAGGAGATTTCACAACCATTTCCAATAATTGATGTTGCCAGAGTAACAGAGCACTACTAACCTTGACAATATCCCCTCCTCACAACTCAAAATAGGTACTATCTAAATTCTTGAGGAGCTCCATCTCTTCTATGCTTGCGATCCCTGGATCGATGTAACATATCTGGAAGGGATAGAAAAAAGAAGTGAACAAAAGAAGAAAGGAGAAACCAAATATCAGGAACAGATCAGGGTCTAAGAACCTTGTGTCAGATAGTTGCATCAATGCAACATACCCAAAAACGAAGTATAGGGGCCGAAAGAAAAATCAGTTTTAACCTGATATTGGCTTTTCTTCAATGTGTGTACTCCTCTTTTTATCGACTTCTCCCATTGACCATTCGTTTTGATTGATCTTTCTAGAGCTTCTGTCCTCTGTATGTTAGCAAACAGGATACAAGTACATAAATCTCATGCAGTACTAGTCATTGTCTGCAAGAACATATCTTGGCTCCTTCAAAGCTGACAAGCATTTGCAAAATCATAGCTTGTACTTGGGAGTAACTTTCAGATGACTTTCTACGTTCTGAGCATATGGCTATTTCAGATGCAAAACTTTCCATCCAGGCCTATGCAATCTGTTCAATACCAGGGTAGGCGAAAGTCTGGATCTTTTTGTTCTCCGTATCATTCTAAGACAGTAAGTTCAAGTATTTTATTGAAGTCATATAACCTCACAAAAGAAACATAGAAGAAAGAGTTAGACAGCTTTGTACTCACATGAGCTGGGTCCAATATCAAGAGAGTGTACTCTGGTGATCCATAACTATGTTGCTGTTTACACTGAATCCCAACTATGGTTCTTGAGTGCCCATCATGCTGGAAGTACAACGGCCTGCATACCAAAGGGATAACAAATCTCAACAACATCACAATTGCATATCCACGAAAGCAGTAAATAGCATATCATTAACATACGCTTTCCCAGTCATCACAACTCGTTGCTGTTGGGCAGAGACCTTGGTCCCTTGCTGCGAGAAGTAGTTCCACACCCAATCCACCAGAACCTGGGCATCCGAGGGGTTATTGGGACTGGTTCCACCATTGCAAAATCTATTCTTGCCGCTGCTCTGAGGCTCGCCACATGAATTGGAATCCGTCGGCCCACTATCGTCCTTTCTTGTGTCATTGCGAACCAGATATCTATCCATGGGACCTCGGACAAGAGATGATTTATTTTTCTTGGGAGGAGCAACGCTAGTACCAGGAACTGAGAGGAAAAGGGATTCCAATTTCTTAGGGCCGAAATCCACAATTCTGGCTCGAATGCCAAAAGATCGCAACAATGCAGCGCATTCAGTAGTACCAATCCAGCGTTTGGAGCCACGGATGGAATGGTGGAACTGTTGAGAGCCAAGTGGATCGAAACCCTTCCGCCAAGCGACCTCAAGCCAACCCTGGAGGAAAGGAATATCAGGAACAAAACCAGAACCACCAAATAGAACTTCCCTTGCATCTGGCCTGGAATTGAGCAAGTGAGAGGCCAGCATCTGGATGTTGCGATATCCGCAACCCCATCCGGAATCCTCCCCGCGCCTGCTTTGGTAGTGATCCACGTAACCGGCCAACAAGGTAGTTGTCGGGGCAGCGGCCGCGTACTTGCCCTTGCCCTGGCCATTGAACTTGGCGCCTCCTGATTGTAGCCTCTCGTACATCAAGGTCATCAAACCGCCGTCCGTTGCAACGCGATGGAAGGAGCTTCTGGTCTGCGAAGCAATTAGGAGGGGTTCCGCCTGGTCTAGGGATTGATTTAGCAACGCGCGAGAGAGGGAAAGCTGCTCCGCCAATTCGAGGTCTCTTGCAAGCTGCTCGTCGTTTGAAACGACAAGATTCTCCTCCTGCTCCGAATCGAAGTGGGTGTCGACATGCCTGTTACCATTCACCATCATCGCGCGCGCTCTCAACGAACAGGGGGAAGAGGGGAGGATTTTAAAATTAAAAAACTTACCAGTGGAGCAGCGATGGCGGGAAGCTTTGGTTACAGACCGGGCAACTCGCTGAGGAATCCATGATTGAGTTGAGGTGTCTTCCCTCGCAGTGGGCTTGTCAAACAGAAAGCAGCGAGAGGAAGAAAGGAACCTCCTGCTTTGCTTTACCCAAAATATGTTTGATTTTGAAATCAGCCTCTACTAGTATATCAAGTAGCGGACTTGTTCCAACTTATGTTTAGGGGTTGGTTCGACTAGGTTAAGCGGGAGCTTCAACCTTATCATCCTGAACGGAATTGATAAACAAACTACAAGTAGTAGGTCATTTGATCCAAAGACTATGTGCATACGGCCGCGTCAGAGCGAATCAATCACCCACCGACCTGAAGCACCGTCAGAGTTCATACCGGCCAAAGCAAGTAGAAACGAGAATAAGGAGGCATCCCAATTCCCCGCCAAAGATCAGTTGGGTTCCCTGCGCGCGCCTTAGACTCAAGCAGCTCTTCCTCTCTCTCTCTCTCTCTCTCTCTCTCTCTCTCTCTCTCTCTCTCTCGTTTTGTAAGCACTAAATCCTCAACTATGGACTTCCATATTCCACTTTCATGGTGATCTTACAATTATTACGTCCGTCCAAACACTCTCTGGTTGATAAAAATAAAAACCAATCTTTTCTTTCTGGTCAGTGGAGTTTCCAGATCAAATCAAGTTTCCCTGGACACAAACAGAAAGGCCAGCAGAGCTAAACTGCAGCAAAGCAATACTCTAATTTCTTCCGATCAAATACACACTACTGCTAATGACAAACCCATTCAGAGACCAAAATATTTTGATTAACCAATCAACAAGTGAAGAGATACAGAATCCTAGTCCAATACGCACAAACCATTGCCCACGCACTTGACAAAATTCCCCGTATTTCCCACTGCCACCGCGCCCTTCCATCTACTCTTTCGCCCGATTCTCGCTAAACAAAGATGATTACTTTCAGGCAGTACTCTTTGGCTTCCCGGATTCCGGCGGTGGCACCGTTTTCTTCTTTGCCGCTGCGGCGACGGCCGAGACTTTATCCAGCGCCTCCTTCACCCTCTTCCTACACACGGCCGCTTCTTTAGCCCTCCGGCCGGCCTCCTCCTCCGCCGCCCTGACCGCCTCAGCCATCGACGATGCGGCGATCTTGGCGGCGCAGAGCAGAGCCGTAGCCATCTTGGCGTCGATGGAGACGCGGGGCCCAGGGGGAGGGGAGAAGAAGGAAAAGGTGGGGTCGGAGCAGGGAGGGCAGAGGAAAGGGAACGGCGGGAGAGGGTGGGAAGGAGCGCAGCGGGAGTGGGTGAGAGAGGCGCAGTTGGAGCACCGGAGGAGCTCCCCTGGTTCCCGATCTGGCTGTTTCACTCCGTGGATTGAGAAGCAGATTGGGCAGAAGGAGGAGGGGTGGAGGCGGAGGACGCAGGAGGTGCAGAGACGGCGGAGCATGCGGCGGAGGCGGACATGGTGGAGGAGCCAAGGGCTGCGTGTGGCGCAGTTGTCGCAGTCGCCCGAGGAGGATGATTGAGTGCGGGCTGCGTGTGGCGCAGTTGGGTAGGGTTTCGGATTGGGATTGGAATTGGGACTGGGATTCATTTGGGTGCGGGGAATGATTTCTTGGGAAAGGGGGAAAACCAGAGATTCTGTTCCTTTTGAAATTAGGGTTAGGAGGAGAGACTGACTTGCCGACCTGATGGCTCTCGCTCGGGTGGAGGTGGAGGATTAACTAGGGTTTCTCCAACCTTTTCTTTTTTTTTTTTTTTGTCGCTATTTTGCTTCTGGTGTGCTGGCAAATACTATTTCTTGAAATGGCGTCGTATTTCAGGAAGCTGCCAAAGGAACATTTCGGATATTGGTATTGGCCAATGTTTTCAAAACCTAAAAAAATTAGTAGTTGATGGTCCAATGAATTTATGATTAATTATAAATTAGCGTGGAACCGACCATTTGGTCGGAGGAAGGTGAGATATAAAATTTGATAATATAATGGGGTGTATAGCTTATTGTTGTATAGTTTTTTATTGGAAATACGTGATAAAAATAGTGAATTTTAGTAGGAAAGAGACATGAATAATGCAACGAATCAAAATCAGCCCTATGAACGAAAATCAAGTACCTGTTACCTTATGAAACAATATGATGAGATGGAGTAAGTTTTATAGAAACCGAATTCTAGAAAATCGAATAAAAAATTGCTTATCCCCGCCGGTTTTCGGAAAATGAGCATCTCACAATCGTTGCTAGCTTTTACTCGGCCCGTTGGTCGATTAATTTGCTTTATAAAACTTTCATCTTGTCATCATTGTGCTTTCTGGTTTTTTGCCAAGCCATGATAAAATCTAAAGAAATCAAGAATGAACAACACGATTTGAGATATGAACCACCGTTCCTGTATCCCTAGAAAATGGTGGCAAACACAGACTCACCTGCCAAACTGGTTTGGATTGAGATTTTTATCGGGTATCAAGGAACCATGTGATTATAAATTAAGCTTGATCAAAACGGGCCAAAACTTGAAATTCAGCCCGTTTGACCGACCCATGCCAAACTCTAATTATTCTTTACTTTTAAACTTTCTATTTGAAAATAAAAAATAACGAAAGAAAAGAGATGAGTGCAATTCGCCATTTGCACATCACTGATTCGAGAATAAAACTATAGACTTTCGAAAGGAAACTGAAAATGTTTAGGATCGTTTTAATGTTAAAAATAACCAAATAGATCTTTCTATTTAGTTTTTTACTAACAAATACCAAACGATTTCCTATAATATACACTATAATTTAATCATTATGATATCAAATAATTACCTAATATATATTTGAAATTATAAAAATTGGACTAATTGGGTTGGTCGAGGTTGAACCATTGAATAACTTTAAAATACATTATATTTTAGCCACTAAAATATAAAATAATAGCATAATATATATTATGCTAGAGAAAATAGCTTGTTTTAGAATGACAAACCCATGATGTTCATTTGTTTTACTTGATGGGAAAGTCCCGTGTAGGTCAAACCCATTCAACTCTTTTATTTTATGATTAGCGGTTAGCCCATTAGAATCCATGCATTAGTTTATTGTTTTTTTTTCTTTTTAGCAATAAAAAGGAGTATTGTTTTTGCCTTTTCATATATATATATATTTTACCACCACGGAGAAATAAAAGGACTTAAAGAAAAAAATTGACACTCCTGGACCCGTTTAAATCCGCATGTATACGGTAAGTTGGCCCGTTCATAGGGGAAAAATAAAAATTGACACTTCCTATTCTACTCTTCCTACAAACGCTCTTGAAGTAGGGAATTTGAAATGGGGGAAGAGTTTTTTGCTCTCTGCGATTATATATTTTTAATTTAAAAAGATACAACAAATGTACTTAGTGTGATTGGTTATGATATTTGCTTTTCTTTAAAGTGGTCATGGTTCGAATCCTAGTAAGTCTCTTTTTAATGAATAAAAAAAGTAATTGTGAAGACCAAAATGTCCTTCCTACTTTCACTCTGGATGCAGGAAATTTGAAATGGGGCTTCAAGTTTTCTCATTTGGCTTTTATTTATTTTGTAGACAAATTCAAATTTATATCATCTATCACCAAAAAGTTGTTAAGAATTTCTTAAAAAAAATTCTAAGAAAGTATTTACACTATCTTACAAAAGCAATCCAATTTTTTTGGTAATGTCTATTTTTTATCCAAACCTTTTTAAAATGATTTTATATTATCCAAACCTATTAAAATGCTATTAATTAGCCAAATCTTTCGTAATGCATCAAAATATTAGCCATTTTTACGTTATCGTTAATAATTTTGTAACTCTTTTCTTAGTTAAAATACTAAAATTTTGGAATGTTGACCTTTATGAGTCTCTTCCAAGTGAGTACGTTGTTGCCAAGTCAATATTCCTAAAAAAATTGCTAACAGGAAGTTAACATTTGATTAATTCTTAGTATTTCTATAGGTTTGGCTAATAAAAAATAATCTGAAAGGTTTGAGTAATAAATAGTCATTACCCAATTTTTTTTATTACATTCAAGTTAGTAAGGAGGGAGACAGTCCGTATTGGACCAAATAAAGCTAACAAAGAGGATGAGAAATGAAGAAAGAAACATAAATAGAATTAGTTATTGAGGATCTTAGTTTAAATTAAAGTATTCGTTTCTTAAGTTTTTGTGGATAAAATTGTGAATCGGTGGACAAGTCAAACCGGGATGGTTCATCTGATTTCATGTCAAATCGTTAAAAAACGTTGGGTCTGTCATAAGCGCCCAATTAAATAAACTTAACTGCTATTGTAACTGGTTTAGTGGTTCTACTAGTCTAATTTTTTCGGTTCGTTACAATGGTATTGGCAAAGAATACTCGAGGAAAGGAACCTTTTTGTTTTTTAGGTGGTTGGGAGTATGAGATTACACATTTTTTTCACTATACCGCATCCATGGTTCTAAATAGCACGTCTAGGCGCAAATCAGAAGGAAAACCCCTTGCCTTGGCAAAAAGCAGTGGAGAAGGCCTCACGATCATGTTGTGACCTCAGTGGCTTCTTTGGGTGAAATGGAAGACATATTGTGAGAACTCCGAAGTTAAACATGCTTAGTGTGGATTATAACAAGGATGAGTGACCTTATGCGAAGTCACCTTGAATTGCACCCCAAGTCAAAAAACGTGAGGTTCGAGGCTAAAAGCGGACAATATTTTGCTCGGGAAATTTTTAGGATGTTACAAGTGGTATTATCCCTTTTGAACGATGGTGGGGCAAACCTTAACGAGGACGTTGAGTCTCAAGGGGGGGGGGGGGGGAGTATGTAACACCTTAGGCAAATCCACATCTACAAAGCACGGGAGAGATCAATGGTTCATAAGTAAGAAACCGACCTTAACTGACGAAATGCGTTTTGAGGTGAAATGGAAGAGTTATGTGAGAACTCCAAAGTTAAACGTGCTCAATATAGAGTACATCAAAGATGGTTGACCTTATGGGAAGTCACCTTAAATTGCACCTCAAGTAAAAAACCGTCAGGTTCTGGGCCCAAAGCGGACAATATCTTCGTCAGGAAAAGGTTCAGAATGTTACATAGATCATCTGCTGGTGAGCGAACACTATATTTGTCCTGGAAAAATTTCTTCTATATCAGTTTTCCCCGAACCAGGGGAGTTGAGAGGATGTAATAGTCTATGGTGTGTGCAGCACTAGAGCAAAAAAAAAAGCCAGAAAGGAGGTTTTATCTACTTATCTGGAGTACATGCCTCAGCCATGTGTGGAGGGAACGTTGCTCTCAGATGTATGGAACTAAGAAAATTCATGATCCGGAGGGTTTGAGTGTGACAATCAATGATGCAGTACAATTTCGAGTAATGACAAATCCAACTCTACAAATGCTTAGTTCTATAGATACATAATGTACAGGGGGTTGTTTGAGACTTTGATAAGCATATCAGGTGTTTTTCTGATATTTGTCGATGCTTAATGAGAATTGTTTTAATTTCTCATAAAAAGGGCATGCATGCATGTTAACTTCAAGCAAAGAACTAACAAAATAGCACGAAAATGTTTTTGCTTCTACCCCAGTTCATTATAATTTATAAATACAGAAATTTACATGTAGGAAAAAAATCTCATAAACTAGGATGTGTGACATTCCTACTCCCATCTCCAGGTCGGATAATACCGGGCGAAAGAACCAACGGGGTTCCTCCTGCACAAAGACACATCATAAAGCGACCTCGCAAGTCGCAACTAGATCAGAGAGTGTCTCATAAGCATCCGAATCTGCATGTAGTTGCAATCGCCATCGTTGAAGCATTCCCGATCTAGATGATGAATCTTGGCGAGGGTCCTGTACGCGGCCTTAATCTCTCCAAATGACGCCATTAGCTCGACCTTCAAAATCTCGTACAGGCTCTGCATCGCGTGGTTAGAGGTGTTGGAGTATGCAGGAATTGTCTTGGGGAAGACGGCGACATAGGCTTGAACATACTGTCCCCGGCGGAGGGGAACAAAGAATTTGACCGACTGAGTAGTGAGATACGATGATCCTCGATTGACGGGGAATTGGAGGAGAGGCATCGCGGAGGAGGACGGAAGAGTAAACATTGGTGGGATGGGCTTGGAAAGTTAAAGGAAGCAGGAATGGGATTGTGGGGTTTGTTTTTCACCGATCGTTGGGAGAAAAGATCGGAGAGTAAAAGAAGAACCGTGGGATTTTGGTAATGGTTATAAGAGAAGCGAAAGAAGGCCTGATATTTGGGGTGGAGGAGCAGTGGACAACCTACTATCCTTTCTTTAGAGATTCTATATTTATATGGGTTCTCAATGGTTAATACACAGTAATAACCGTTAATTAAAATCCATTCACTCAAGCCCGACACGTATCTAGTTTGGACTCATTATTAGCAGACTAATCTGCACTAAACAGATCAACACATAAATGAATAAAATGATGCCGCAGTGGAAGTTTCCTCCTCAGTTCCAAATTTTCGTTCTTCTCCACTTTAGTCCATCGTGATGATGCTGGTGAATTGACTCAATCCTTGCTTGATCAAGATTGTAATGCAAGACTGCTATAGCCGATGTTCTTCTAGTATTAGCTCCTTGTTGATCCTCCAATAAGCCCCCACAAGATGGAGAGTATACATCAATTACTCCCATCTTGCCTAGTAGTTCCAACAACATATACTTTATGACTCCCTTAGTGAAAATGTCAGCAAGCTAATTTCAGGTATGTAAGTGACTTAGCCTAATGATGTCAGTCTTAACCCTCTCTCTAGTAACATGCATATCAATCTTGATATGCTTTGTTCTTTGATGAAAAACACGGTTCTCAGCAATATGGATTGCTGACATGTTATCACAATAGACAGTGATTGGAGTCTTGACTTGAACTGCCAACTCTGATAACAGTCCCTTAAGCCATTGAATTTCACAAACTAAATGAGTTAGAGCTCTACATTCTGCTTCAAAAGAAGACCTAGACACAAGTGTCTGTTTCTTACTTTTCCATGTAAGCAATGAACTCCCAAAGTAAATGCAAAAACCTGTAATAGATCTTGTGGTATCTGGACATGCTGCCCAGTCTGAATCACTGTAACTAGTGATGGTGAAGTATGTAGTGCTGCTGAACAAAATCCCTTGCCCTGGGGATTTCTTCAAGTATCTTAATACCCTTTGTGCTGCCTGCATGTGTGTATCAAGAGGATTGCCTCGAAACGGGCTCAACTGCTGTACTGTGAAGCAAATGTCTGGCATGGTTATGGTCAAGTAATGCAACATTCCAATCAGTCTCTTGTAGCATTTAGGATCATCAATGCTGGTTCCTTCTCTTGTACTGAGTCTTACTTTCATGTCAGTAGGAGTTTGTGTCTCTTTTGCATCTTCATAACCAGTGTCTTCTAGTAACTCTGTGCAATATTTTCGTTGATTCACCACTATTCCATCAGCATTCCTCACTATTTCCAGACCCAAGAAGTACTTAAGAACTCCTAGTCCGTAATTTTGAAACTTCTTTTCAAATACAACTTCACAAGTTCAAGATCATCAATCTTCTCTCATGCCAAGATGATGTCATCTACATACACAAGTAGAATGACTATCTTTCCCTGCACCTTCTTTGTGAACATTGAATAATCAGAAGCTGATTGAGAGAATCCATTTTTCAATGATGAAGAGGTCAGTTTGGCAAAACACTTCCTACTGGCCTGTTTCAATCCATACAAAGACTTCCTAAGTCTACAAACATTTCTTTCACTTCCAGTTCAGGAGGTGGAGTCATATACACTTTCTCCTCCAAGTCTTCATGCAAGAAAGCATTGGAGACATCCATTTGGTGTAAACACAGTTCCTGGCTGCTACTACTGCTAATAATGTCTTAAATGTATTTATCTTAGCAACAAGTGAGAAGGTATCCAAAAATTCAATGCCATAGATTTGAGTGAATCCTTTGGAAACTAATCTAGCTTTATACTTTTCAATTGATCCATCAGGTTTGAGTTTGGTCTTGAACACCCATATGCAACCTATGGTCCTGTTTCCAGATGGCAGAGTCACTAGATCCCAAGTGTGATTCTCAGTCAGGGTATTCAATTCCTATTCCATAGCTTTGACCCAATGATGCTCTTTGGATGCTTCCTTATATGACTGAGGATCCACAAAAGCAACAAGACTCGTTGCATACCTCTTCTACCGAGGAGTGAACTGTTGGTAAGAAACATAATTAGTCATACAATACTAACTAATCTGGTTGATAGTAGTAACATAATCCTTATGCCAAACACGTGGTTTTCTGTTCCTAGGGGGCAGTTCATTGTCATCCAATTCATCCACTGGTGGTAATTCATCATCTGACTCCTCCTGATAGTCAGGCTCAACATCAGTAAAGTCTCCATCTGTGGAATGATCATGTTATGAGGATGCAGGTTGAGAACTGGAAGAAGACAAAAAAATGATCATCATCAGCAGGTGTTGCTGAAGATGGAACAGATGGAAATGGAGTAGGTTGGCCCCCATAAGACTGGACATAAGGAAATGTGACAGTAAGCAAATCAGGGAAGACAGGTGTGTCTTCTGCATCATCAACCATACCATGGAAAGGAAAGATGTCTTCATAAAATATTACATCTCTGGACATGAAGACTTCATGAGAAGCCAGATCAAAAGCTTGTACCCTTTGATGCCAAAAGGATATCCTAGAAAAAGGCATTGCCTAGCTCTAGACTGAAACTTAGCTCTGCCACTACTCAATGTAGAAGCATAAGCTAAGCAGCCAAAAACCTTCAAATGATCAAGGGAAGGTGGCTGGTGACACAACAATTTATAGAGACTTTTATTTTGTAGGATAGGGGTAGGTTATCTGTTAATCAAATGAACTGCATGAAGTATGCAATCACTCCAAAACTGCAAAGGGATTCCATTCTGAAACCTTAGTCCTCTTGCCACATTCAGGATATGTTGGTGCTTTCGTTATACCCTTCCATTGTGTTCTAGGGTGGCAACACAAGACACTTGGTGTTATATCCCATGTTCTCGATAAAACTCATTCATTGAAATTCCCTACCTTTATCACTTTGTATGGTTTTAATAGATTTAGAAAACTAATTCTTCACTATAACACAGAAGTTCTGTAAAAAAAGACCTTATTTATGATTTACGCGTCATCATAATAGTCCACATAGCTCGTGAATGATCATCAACCACAGTAAGAAAATACGAGAAACCATCCTAAAATTCATCTGCCAAAGGCCCCCATATGTCAACATGGATTAAATAAAAAACAATGTTTCATTGTCTCATGTCTAACTAAAGGATTACAATGCTCTAGTAAATGTATATTATTTGAACTGGGATGCCCTAAGAGCCAATGCCAAAGGTTAATCTTCTAAGGATGGAAATTGTAGACTGAAGCTATTGAAGGTGTAATTTCACTCTTTGGACTGGACATTAAGTGTTAAAGACCCCTACTTTGCTTTGCCAAGCCAATCATCTGGTTGGTTACTAGGTCTTGGACAACACAAGAATCAGATTGAAAGGTGAGGAAAATTGGTAATTCATGTGTCAATCTACTAACTAACACAAGGTTGAAAGTAAAACTAGGAATTAGCAAAACATTGCTCAATAAGATTCCTGATGGTAGCTTTGTAACACCCTATATGAACATCTGCTTTTAATAAAATATATAAAACTTATAAAAGGTTTTTGGGCCCGATTTAAAACTTTACAAACCAAAGTACAAAAAGTAAACCGTTCGACAGTAAATTTCATGTGGAAACATGTTCAGTCTTCCGCCCACCCATGAATCAAAGCTTGAAGGTTGAAGCCATTGCTTCTACTTCTACCACTTCTTGCAGCTGCTCTGGATCTAGGGGAAAATATTTGACGAAGGGTGAGTCGTCGCTCAGTGAGTAAATTCTAAACCTAAATAAACAACAATACACAAGCGGTATTTAGCATGACACCCTTTAATTACACGTCATTTACTGCTCATTCTCTATGTCTATCCTTCCACTTATAACAATTCGGTATCCAATTATAAATTATATCATCAATGAAAGAACTCTCTCTTTAACTATTCAGTAGCAGTCACTTCACTATCCACTTATTGCTGTGCTAAGGCACCTAATATCACTATTTGGTATCTAAGATAGGATATCGCTACTAAACACCTCTAATGACAGACAATCACATGTTGGTGCTAGGACACCATTTACTCATTCACATATACTCATCAAAATTCACATCATGAACCATAACATGATGCCAAGTATCATAAGCTCACTCATTTCAGTTATGCCAGTAAACAGTTCAGCATATCATTCATATTCCCATGATCAATCATGCACACATACACATCGTATTCACCTTGCTAAGGCATTTCATACATGAAACCATGTATAATCCAGCAATCAATCAAACATTCATACCAGTACACATCAATACACATAATGGGGTTAGCCAGATTAAGTGTGTTTTAGCCTTTAATTTGCCAAGTCATGCACTCCCCTGGGTATATCCAGTAGATGCATATAGCATCGCCAATAGATGAGTTAAGCACCGCCAATAGATACATAAAGCACCGCCCAATAGATGCCTTAGGCACCGCCAATAGATGCATAAAGCACCGCCCAATAGATGCATTAAGCACCACCAATAGATGCATAAAGCATCGCCAATAACCAGGACTAGTATTGCTCTCCCAGAGAGCTAGGCATATAGCCACCATATTCAATCACATAGAGTGCATGACAAGGCGCCGTTAGGTTTGATTTAAATGATCAAGCAATTCTTTAGTTAGTCACATCACAAGTATCAAGAAGTACCATCAATCATTTAACACATATTTATTCACATAATCACAACATTCACATAGTAACATTCACTATATCATATAAGCACATCATCGCCTTATAGGCTTCCCAGTATCACGTTTTCGCCTTACGGGCTTTCTATTATCACATGATAGCCAATTAGGCTATCTCAGTATCATCACATTTCTGCCATACAGGCTTTCCAGTATCACAGTATTGCCAATTAGACTCTTCCAGTATCATCATATTCAGGCTACACATCATCCCCTCATCGCCTCATTGGCTTTCCAGTACAGAACATCGCCTTTTAGGCCATTTCATATCACATACACATTGCATTTCTCATTCAGAAACATCATTTATCACATTCCATACATATTATCACATAGTCATACACAAATCACATTTACTCATTATTCATCACATATCATTTCATTATATCACTAACCTTACGCCCATAGGCGTCATTAATTTAACACGATATTGCCTTTAAGCCCTTAGGCTTACTATTTTACCAGTCAATATCATATTTAACATAAACATGTGATCATGGACATTCGTCATTACATTCATCACATAATCTTCATCACATTCATAACAAAATTAGCACTTAGTAACCATTCAACTCATATCATATCCATTACTCATTCATTCGATATTCATGCTTAGTACTCGGGCCGCTTCATGACCCGAATACCTCTCCATTTATGATACGTACTTGGGTTGCTTCATGACCCAAATACCTCATTTGCATTGATATAAATTTAGGGGGTAGAATCTACTCACAGTTTCCCGTCGTTACTCGACAATGCCGCTGTCACAAAGTGGCACGTGGGGATGAGGTTCCTTGGTTATAAAAAAATATATAAAGAGGCAAATCCTAAGTCCCTGATATTTATTTCTTATCCTCTCCCGCCGCCTCCTTTATGGAGAATAAAAGGGTAAGGATGACAGGATTATAGCTCGATATAGTTTTATTTTGTTCATCCTATCGGAGGTTATGCTATTTTTTTGCTATTTTTGGGCTTCTTTTCATTCTTCTTTGGAACCTATGATTGTGATCAGAGGTCTTTAGTCCTCGAAAGGGATTGAGATTTTAGGTCCTTTGGAAATCCAATAAACATTCATGATCCTCGAGTTTGGACGAACTCTCGACCAATGTTGTAAAGATAAGGACTTTTTAGTGAGAAATTCTTAGTAAAGATACTTCATTATTGGATCAATTTATTCATCCATATTGAAACTTGACACACACCGTAGCCCTCATGATGATTAAATTCTCTAATCTTGACTCATTTCCATTTTGGATGTTAGTTTTTTTATGAAGACACTTAAATTTAGTATATTGTACAATATGTATAAATCGTTAATTCTTGAAGTTTAAACTATACCTCAACCCCGTGGTCATTGTTTATATGTTGACTTAGAATCTCAATCTAATACATTCACACACACTATCGAGGATTTTGGTCTTAACATGGTCGTTGAATGTGTAATTTTCAAAGATTTTATCACATATATTAATAATTGATATAGAGTGTCTACAATACACACATATTTCAAGTGCAATTAAAATGTCTTATCATTTGAACAATATCAGTAGATTTCATTTGATTATTTGCATTAACTTATTATCTTATACAACATATATCAATTCGTGTTTCTCGAGTTTGGACGAACTGGCAACCAATTTTGAGAGTTGAAATTATTGGAAAAAAATACTTGATTGTTGGTTAAATATGTTTATCCCAATTGAACAGTGCAGTCAAAATCGCGCATTAAAACGTAAAAACTTACGTTTTTACGTATCCAGGCCACCAAAACGTTTCAGTTTCTACCTAAAGTCGCTTAGTCACAAAAACTGGTAAAAGCATGGGTAAAATCGATAAAATCGCTTAAAATCGATAAAATCGCTTAAAATCGATAAAATCGCTTAAAATCGATAAAATCGCGATTCTGAAGCATTTTTATACGATTTTGATCATCTCATAAAAATGTGCTAATTGGTCCAAAATGATGTAATTTTGGAGACATATTAGCAAAAAATAAAAAAAGGAAAACATGATTCATCACTCATTCTACAACTAGTGTCGAAATAGGGGCTTCACATTAGGTTGAAAAACACCTAATGGTATTCTCAACAGTCGCTAACCTTCTATCAGTCTTCTCCCTTAATCTTCACCTATGGCTCTTACATGGGTTACGATGAAAGTTTATGGGTAATTGATCGTATGTAATTATGTAAACTCAAACCAGCTTATGAGAATTTGGATTCTCAAGCTCGTTTACGGGTTACGATCTACGTTTATGAGCTTATTATTAAGATGCTATGAGTTTTCTCTGCTTTTGAGTCAACGCAAATTAGTTTATGTGTTAGATATTACATTTTAATTATGAATTTCATGTAGTTATCCACTTATCTAAAATCTACACACTCACATTTATATACTATATGTTGTACTTAACATATTTTAGCTATTTTAGAGGGTGCGTCAAAAACTTACGATTTTACGCTTTGATTCTACGTTTTACGATTTTACCCATTTTCCGCTTCTAGGTAGAATCGCGCTTTTAAATGCATTGCAATTGACTATCTTACTAAAATTGTCAACCTTTATTTGGTAAATGCCTAGATTAGTAGTTGATGGAACATGATGTGTATCGTAGATTCTCAACAAATATTTCTCCAACCTTCACATATGTTATTTTTCAAGAAATCTTGTGTCTCATCCTAGGGTATGAAGTCAAAGTTAGTCAACAATTATACTTAAGTCATTTTGAAAATTTTGATTTATAATTCTCGACGATAACTCCTATATGAAATAAAATTTCGTAGCTTACGACTTAGAACCTCAATAGTGTTTGCTCAATCAACACGATATAGACCAAATATTATTAATGTGAATTTATGACACATTATAAAATTATTGCACTTGTGATTCCTCTTCGTTTGAGGAGTTTAAGGTAGATTATGATCTGAATGAATAAGAAATTTTTTTAAATAAATAACTGTAACTACACGATCAAGATTATACTATGAAATTTTTATAAATAATACTTGAATGTCAAATTTTTATTTTCTCTCTTTTCATATATATTTTGTTTAATTGATAAAAATTTATTGTTTATGTGTATGTTGGTTTAATTTTTTAATCAAAATGTAACTTATCATTCAATTTAGTAAAAATGAGTAGAAAATTTTCTTCATAAGGTTTAATAAGATATTTTTTTATTTAAATGAATGTGATATATATCACTCTCTGTTTTCTTATTTATATTTTTTTTACTTGACAACTAAATATTATTTATGTGTGTTTTGGTTAAGTTTATTAACATGTAACTTATTATTAAAGAATTTTTTTGGATAAATGGAAAATAATAATTGGATAAAAGAAATGAAAATATTAAAGAAGAGAGAGATATCTCCATAAATACATTAATAACTAATTTTTTTTGTTTGTAAAAAAGTTGTCCAACTTGACAAATTGTGGATTCTCCAAGTGCTTATGTGGTAATATATTGCTTTTGAATTGCCAAAAAATATTTTATAGAATAGATAGATAGATATAGATATTCCTAAGATTCAATCATTTTATCTCTTTGATTCCACTCTTAAACATAACCCCATCAACCACTCAAAACCAGGTTTTTGTCAACAACACCACTTTGAGTTCTAAACATCTACCTTTTTCCTTTGATCACTAACATACTTATTATGTGAAGCAATCATAATTTTCCGGAGCCTTAGCTCCTTGATTACACTTACATCAACATTCCTAACTCTAGAATTAGTATATCTTAAACTTGAGGAAGAAGGAGAGAATGATAATTCTTACCCTTGAATGGTCCTTACTCATGTTCCTAGTCTCCCAACCTTGTCTTCACCCTAGCTTTCAGATTTTTGGTAATGGAAGGTGGTGGAGGGAATAAATGATGAATGGTTTGGGGAGAAGAAAGAAGAAGAAGAAAGGAAAAGACAGGAACGAAATGGTGAGAGGGGGCAAATTTTTTGCACCCCTCCCATATTCTAGAACTCTCCCTCCCTCCAATCTTTCTCTAACATGTGCCATCCCAATTGCTACTTAGTCCCTCAACTTCCATACTTCTCACTTAAGTCCAACTACCTTCTTATTTCTAACAATCTAGTTCTCCTACCATATCACTAACACCACCAACCCACATACTTAATTTAGCTAACCACTAGCTCCCCTTATATTGCCATAATTTCCCCATGTTTCGGATAAGGGACGATATTTTTACCCGAGCACCAGTAACGTCATGATGAAATAATTATGCTTAAGAGTGTAAGGATGTTACAAGCTTAACTGATCCAATGTGAGTAACTGACACCTTGCTACTGTTTGGTAAGAAAACTGACAATCCATGAATTGGTTTGCAAGTGGTAAAGAAATTTTTAAAACAAACAATGTAGTCTGAGGCACCTGTGTCTAAAAATTCATGTTTGAACAAGGGAGGCTGAATGGCAATGAATATACGAAGTTAGTACATATTTACCAGCTGAATTTGGGAATTGTTGCATCTGCTATGCTACTGAGAAAGTTGCATGACAAATATTTGGAGAATGTGGTGGTGATGGAGAAGGTAAGAGCTAGTGGTCACTACCTGAAGCAGAAACCTGAGTCGACTCATTTCATCACCAGTGTGTTGAAGATTCACCATATTGCTTGAATTGCTGCCACTTCCTCCAGAACTGCCACTCCCAATCCCACTGCTGGATTGTGTCTCAACAACACCATCCTTTGATTCATTCACTACTTAGCAAAACGAGCTCCAACATTAGTTCCTTGTTCTTCCTCTTCAACTTCCAACAATCTGCAAAGTTGTGATATGTTGTTTTGCAGTATCTGCAAAACAGTCCCGTGTCACCTCCTTTTGCACTACCTTGTTTTGGTACTTGTCTCCCAGCATTGTTACCCTTGCCTTGGTTTGTTTGCCTTCCATATGATGCAAGAGCTACTGACTGTGTGTTTCTTCCTTTATCAGACTTGAGCTTATGCCCATGTTGAAGTAAATCTCCATATGCTACCACAACAGTTGGAAGGGACTTCATCATCAAGAGATGTGTCTTGACTACATCATATGCAAGGTTTACTCCTTTCACAAACCTCACAAGGTAATCTGTCTCTTGTTTTGCCTTAAAGGCTTCCACAGCTAGACAGGGCAGAATTTGTCCTAGAGCACAGATACATGGAACTATTGGGATGAACTTTGAATAATCTTCCCATAACCTCTTCATCAATGTATAATACTGATTTATGGTCATGTTTCCTTGATTAATGTTCTAGGTTAGTCAATTTCACAGCATTAGCTTGACCAAACCTGTCTCTCAAATCTTCCCACAAATTATGTGCTACTTCATGATTTTGAACACTCCGTTTGATATCCTTATAAAGAGAATTGATTATCCAATAGAGAACAATAATATTGCAAGCATCCCATGCTCTATACCCATTTGGATCTGTCCTAGGATCTGAGATTTGAATAGAACCACCAATGAACCCAAGCTTGTACTTGATTTTGAGAGCTATGTGAATAGATCTAGCCCACATTTGATTGTTATTACCATCTAACACTTCAGACACGATAGATTGAGAAAGGTTCTCATTAGGGTTTTGATAGAAAGGGTTACCAAACTGAAATTTGGAGAAGGTTGAGTTGACTTTGTGGCTGATGCACTTGTAGTTGAGTGAACAGCTAACCTATTGTCCTCTCTTTAGGAATTTTATATTTATATATGGGTTCTCAACGGCTAATACACATTAATAACCGTTAATTGAAATCCATTCACTCAAGCCAGACACGTGGCTGGTTTGGATTCGTTATTAGCAGACTAATCTGCATTAAACTGATCAACACCTAAATGAATAAAATGATGCCGCAGTGGAAGTTTCCTTCTCAGTTCCAAACTTTCATTCTTCTCCACTTTAGTCCATCGTGCTGATGCTGGTGAATTGACTCAATCCTTGCCTGATCAAGATTGCAATGCAAGACTGTTGTAGTTGTTGTTCTTCTAGTATGAAGTGTATGGTTGCGACGATGGGAGAGAAATATGAAGTGTATGGTTGAGACGATGGGAGAGACACTGATATCTTGTCGCTTTGTTTTTTCAAAATGCATATCCTTCTTGAAGCACTCTTCATTGATTTACTTCCATTTGTTTGAGTTTATCACGTTTTTATTTAATTTAATGAATGAATGCCCTACCTAATTGCTTCGCTTGGTGCATGCAATTAGAAGCTGATGAATCGTTGTTGATTGTGAAACGAACCATGATCTATGGTGCCTACATTCTTGTATCATTACGATAATGTGGCATATAATTTAGCAGGGACGATTTTGAGGAAGTTATGGTAATTCATGTGCATTGTGTTATTATTCCTGAACCAGCACCATGTTGGGATTACTTAGGCAGTTAGTTAGGAGAACTAACTATCTGGCAGATGATTATCTGGCTTTGGTTTGATTTCCATAATTTTGCTTGCTTTACTATTAAATATTAATAATAATGTATCAGATCAAACTCAGGACAGGACATGATTATCCTTATCCTTATCCGCCCCAATGTGTTTGATACTCACAGCTAGGAAATAAAGAGAAACAGAAATAGATTTATATACCAGTCATTCATCATTATATAATTTCAGTCAAAAGAAACAGTAACCATCCATGACAACAATTAATATAAAATCAACAACGTAACACAGAGAAAGGAGAGATTGAGCAGAAGAGAATCATAACAAGCGCAAAAGCAAAGGATTGTGATTTAAGACGATTAATCAAACATATTACCAGCTGATCTGTCCCTGTTTTTCCTTTTGTTTTGGTCATGTACTTGTTGTCTTAGTACTTGTACTCCTTGACGTACAAGCTCTCGGAGGCCAACCCACCGGCGGAACCACCAGCGTACTTGCCGAGGGTAGCATCAGAATTGGCCTTGCACCTCTCCAGGAAGGCCGCCTGAGCTTTCTCCACGTTCTCCTTCTTCCCTCCCCACGTCTTGAGGGTGCTCTGCTGCAAGGCTCGCCCGAAGGAGAAGGAAAGAGTCCACGGCTTCAGCACTTGCAGTTTGTTCATGGCGTTCAAGTTCTTGGTCGCCTCTTCCTCGCTCTGCCCTCCTGACAAGAACACGATCCCGGGAACCGCCGGAGGTACGGTCCGGCGGAGTGCCGTCACAGTGTACTCTGCTATCTCCTCTGCCGTCACCTACGTACCACAATATCATCATCATCATCATCAATTTAAAGGCAGCCCCATCCATGATCCATCCATATAATGGAAATTTGCAAGTTAGTTAGTTACCTTGGGGCTGTCGGAGCCGGGAGTGACCATGTTAGGCTTAAGCAGAGTTCCCTCGAGAAGCACATGCTGCTCATTCAGCGCCTTGTACACGGCCGCCAGCACCATCTCCGTCGCGGCGGCGCACTTCTTGATATCGTGGGACCCATCGGTTAGTATCTCGGGCTCCACAATTGGCACCAGCCCATTCTCCTGGCAGATAATGGCGTAACGGGCCAGGCCCTGAGCATTCTGCTGGATCGAAAGCTCGGACGGCTCGTTGGGCCCAATCTTGAGCACGGCCCGCCACTTGGCGAACCGCGCCCCGGCCTTGTAGTACTGCTGGCACCGCGCCCCCAGCGAGTCGAACCCCTGGGTGGTGGTCTCTCCGTCGGTTCCGGCCAGCTCCACGGTGCCCTTGTCCACTTTTATCCCGGGGACCACCCCGTTCTGCTGGAGCACGTCCACAAAGGGCTTCCCGTCGGTGGTTTTCTGGTAGAGGGTTTCCTCGAAGAGGATGACGCCGGAGAGGTACGGGAGGGATCCCGGAGAGGTGAAGAGGAGCTCGCGGAGGGCTTGGCGGTTGGACTCGATGTTCTCCACGTTGATGCTGGCTAGCCGCTTTCCGATGGTCCCCGTGCTCTCGTCGGCGGCCAGGATGCCCTTCCCCGGTGTGGCGATATACTTGGCCGTCTTCATTAGCTCATCTATATATATATTTCATTCCACGAAATTAATTTACAGAGAAATTAAATTAATTAAGCGGCCGGTGATTACAAATATCCAACTAATTAAATTTATGCAGCCGTGCGTGGCCATCAAAAGCTGAAACAATATAGTGGGTGGAGTATGGGGGAATTGAAGTAGTAGGTACCTGCATATTTGCCAACAAACGCAGACATCTTCTTGGAGTGATGGGCGAGTAAGCGTTTAGGGACAGGGAGGGTTGGTTACTGGTTAGACACAAGGCCTTCCTGATTATATATCTTCAGGCTTCAGCTACGGGATGAGAATATTCCCACTTGAAAATATCTACAGAATACAGATTTTCTCTCCTGGATCGGTTGAGGTGTTTGTTTGGTCCACTGAAAATTAGGTGGACGTCATCACATTATATATCCATACTAGCGACGGATCCAGAACATAGTAAAGCATTGGGCCGCATTTGAATATAATATTAGATGTCGTAAACAAAAATAGTTAACATTCCCAAATTTTAGTATTTCAAATGAGAAATTAGTTACAAAATTACCAACGGTAACCGACAATGCCAATTATAATAGAAGGTTTTTTAATTTGGCAAATCTCATCAATAATATAATCTCCATCCATATCAATAACATACTCTCTCACAAATAAAATAGCTATGCAATCAATGAAAAATTCATCGCGCATTTTGTTGCGCAAATTAGTTTTCACATATTTCATTGCTTAAAATGTTATATCCATGGTAGCCACTATAAACGGGCAAGGTCAACACTAGGCGAATAAAAAAATCACTTTGTTTAGAGGGTTTTCTTATTTCAACGAAACTTTATACGGTCTTTTACGTTTTAGACATTTAGGTTTTATTGTTTTTTTTTTCAAATGAAATCATTCGGGCTAGAATTCTATGCTAAATTGGGAATGGTTGTTTGCATATATTTATCTATATCGCTTTTCTAGTTACACAAAATTCTATTATCAAATAACACTCGACCGACTTTTAAATAGTATTGGGCCGAATACCTAAAATCGAAAAATTTGTAAGCACTATACTAGCTCTGGATCCGACGGAGAATTGGGCTGTGGCCCGAGTTGGCCCAGCCCTAGATCTGCATCCATACTATATGTATATATATAACAACGACTAGGGGATAACACCATTATGAGTTGTAATAATCTGCGCCGGAGATGTAGTCCTGCTACTACAATAAATGACTACAACTGCAAAAACAATGACTATAATAACTGCTGTTGTACTACTAATTAGTATGATGCTAAGTGCTAACCCGTATGGTTAGCAAGCTAACCAATCATGTCGATTAGACATGTATGGTTATAGAATTTGTTAATATTATGAAACAACTCTCAAGAATCTGTAGATCCGAATAACTCGAGTTATAGAGAACAATGCGGTCAAAATAGTGTTTTAAATCTTTGAAGCTTACATTTTTATGCTTCTAGATCATCAAAACGCTTCTAAGTAGAATCGCACTTTTCCCTAACTAAGATAGTCAAAATTATGCTTCAAAGTTTACTCTTTTACACTTCCGCAATGGGAGTAGTGGAAGGAACAAAAGCGGGAAGGAACTAATGAATGGGTTAATTGAAGAGTGGTATAGTTTGTGGATTGTGGAAGGAACAAAAGCGGGAGGGGGTGCATGCATGGGAACGGGAATGGGTGGTGGCAGAGTGGATAAATCTAGCTAGCTAGAAAAATGCATGAGTGATGGTGAAGCGAGACAAGTGGCGGCCAATCAGCATCGCCTTTATCCTTCCGGCTGGCATAGCTTGCTCATCGACCGGGCCTATGTTATGGATTTTGTGTGGAAAGGAAAGGAAACCATATATTTATTTGTCCGCTAACCGACATATATATGCAGTATGGATTTTGAGATTTGCCTCAGCCACTGCCGTCAACCTCAGTACTCTCGATCGATAGTCTCCTACGTACCTCATTTCATATATATGCTGAAATCTGAAATGTTTCAATAACCACTTCCTTACTCCTAACTCACCGGCCACCACTTTCCATATCTCGATTTAGTTCTTGATATACACAGAGAGCTGAAATGAATTGAGTGATTTGCAGGAAAATCAACTCCAACATGCAAGTATGCAACCAAGAGCAGTAATTAAGGTTTCATTAAGTCGACATCCTGAACATACTATATAGCAGTTACCTGTATCACAAAAAAGTGTACTGAAAGAACGTAGCTGAACCATGGAGACATATATGGTACCTGCCATACTGCCTAGGAACGCCAATGAAAATGTAAGCCTCTGCATACATTTTCATTTAATGTTAGAAGGAAAATGATCAGAATTAGGGTGTCCAACAAGGAAGGATATATGATCATGTATGTATATACACCATTCTTGAGAATATAACTCTTTTAAAGCCAGTTAAAGCATCTCAGAATTAATGGCTTCCTTCAGTTCTGATAGATGACATGTTAACACATGGCATAACTATCTTTGCTGCCTAGGATTAGACAACTCATAGTACATCTGCCTCATTATTTTAATGAATTCATAATGTCCTTAGTGACAGTTCAAAGCCTCTAACTCAGCTAGCAATTCTCAGGCATGATACTCCAATGACTGATTTTCTTCGCATAGACAGAAAATCAGGAAACTATTGACTTGTACATCGTGAAAGGATATTGACTTGTACATCAAGTTTGTAACTTCTGTTTATCTGCTTATTAAAGAATCACAATCCAAGAATGTGGAAAATACCAAAAAGAAAACTTCCGAGTCAGCTGAAGAAAACTGCTAATCATAAAAGCAAATTTGATGTTTTCAATTGCTTCTCACCTTTCAATTAGAACATCACAACCCAAACATTACATGCATTGATTGATGACTCCTATGTTCAGAAAGTAATTAAATTTGCAACCTTTAGGAAACAAATCATGAAGAATCATAAACGTCAATGAATTTCCAGCCAACAAGTTCATCGTTTGTGAGTGTTGCTCAAGACTACTAGAAGGCTCTCAAATATAGACTTAAACAATGTCTACAACTCGATGATCTCTATGGTTCCTCTTGACTCCCAAGCAACTTTCCAACACCATACACCAATCTGCTAATTTCTTTATGCGAGATCGTAGGGTCTGCCAGCAGAGTATGAGAATTATCAAACCTCTCCAAACAAAAGCTTCATTGAGGGAAATGTGGTGCTGCCCTTTCGTATTGGACCATGATGATACAAAAGTATGTTCTCATCAATCCATTCCTAGTCTAACCACCAAAATTGCTCCAACCAACTAAATCTAGCTTTTTCATTAATTCAATCTAAAAGGGCAGCAACGAATTCTAATCTCCAATCACCTTCACCATAGCTCAAACTCTTGCTATCAAAAGCAAATCATGATCCCAAGGGAAACAGAGTCTAGTCAGCTCATTTTACAAGAATTAGGCAATTTGCCAACTCTACTCCCTAAACCCAGACTAATCTACATCCCTAGATCGACGGAAATCTCACCAACACCATGAACGCGGGAAAAATAAAGAAATTTGATCAGAAGATATCGACGGTACAATCAGAAAAGCAGTAGGGGAGGCACTCACACATTGAAGGTTCCCGAAACTGTTTCGTTGGCGGACCGGACGGCGGATTCAAGATCGAACCCGAGACTCATTCCGCTGCCTTCATCGTTGGCGTTTCTGGACGAGGCGTAAGAATTCCAGTCAGCCAAGAGAGACGACGATGTGTTCTGCTGCTGTGGCAGCTGTTGGTCTTCGCTAACGGTACCTGAGAACCAACTATGTGCCATTTTCTGCATTGCGCTATGTGCTCCGAAGTTACAAACAGAGTCTACCGCCCTTAACTCGACCAGGAGACGGACAGTTCTACCAGATTGGGATTTCCCGAATTAGGAATCGTAAATGGTGGTTAAGCTTCTGGTGGAGGGAGGTTTCGGAGGTTGGGGTGATTGGTTGATTGATCTCTCTCTCCCTTCCTTCTGCGAAGAACAAACAGTTCGCCTCGTAGGAGCTTCCAAGCTAAGCATTGATGGGGAAAACAGGGGCGAAGTGACAAAGTCCCAAAACGCTTCTTCTGTATTTAATTAAAGCTCCAAAGAAAAGCAAACGCGGCGCCGTTTTGATGGTAGGTAGGCGCAGGACTGGGGAAAACATGGACTGCAGTTAGACAATGGCTCAAAAGGTTTCCTCTCTATTTAATTGAAGGCCCATAAAACTGAAATCGGACGGCGTTTCGAGTGGGTGGTAGGCGGACTGCTGTCGAAAACGGAAACACCCTCAAAGTGGAAAAACGGGTACTAGAAACGCACGAAACTCGAAACTTTTCGTAAAGCGAAACGCTTCTTCTTTATTTAATTGAAGCCCATAGAAAAGCAAATGCGGGGCCGTTTTAGAATGGAGATGGGCGCTGGACTGGGGAAAACATGGGCTTTAGTTAGACAATGGCCCAAAATACTTCCTCTCTATTTAATCGAAGGCCCAGAAAAACTGAAATCATGAGGCGTTTCGGGTGGGAGGTAGGCGGACAGCCTGCGAAAACGGAAAATCCCCGCAAAGTGAAAAAACGGGCACCAGAAACGGGAGAAACGCGAAACGTTTCGGGTCCTCAAAACCAAAATCGAAACGCGAGAAATTGACGAGAAATTGAAATTGACGAGATATCATGATATATTAATATATCGCGATATTTTGGCGTTTTATTGACTTTTTGCGATATATTGACCTGTGCTGTATTGGCCACTTGATTAGCAAGAAATAAACGAGAAAAAGAACATAAATCCAGACGACGATCGCATAGAACAGCGGGGAAATATCAGAAAACGTATTTCGATCATAACGTGCTCCAAAATACCTGCATCCACTTGCGATTTAGGTTCCATAAGCGGTTAGGCGGCCGAAATTCCAACATCCATTTGTGAACTTGGAAGAATCGACGCTGCAGTATGTCTTCGCGTTTCTGGTTCTTGTGCATTGGACTCTACCGATTACTGCTCTTCGGTCAATCGGGAGCTATGGTGGAAGCAGAATTAATCGTCATGTCAGTTCATAGGAATATCTTCCCGAGTTATTCCTCAAATATCCGAGGCTCCCTTGCTTGAGCGAATAGATACGCCGAGGACCAAACTGCAACAACCATGCCATCTGACAGAAGAACAAGAGCAGAAAATAACAGTTAACCTGACATTTTACATCGTTTTCCACGAAATCAAATGCAACAAGGGTCTAGGAACTAGCTAACCTCATATGGGATCGGTTTCAAGCTTCACTGACATACCCAACAGATGATGGTATCATAGTTCTTCTCTTGCCTACAACAGGTTGCAGGAAAAACTGAGATCATCAGCAACAGACAACAGTTGTTTTGAGTTGAAATCACCCAGAAATGCATGATGTCTTGTTTAAGAGCACAAACGTCCAACTTTCATCCCATATAGAACCTCTTTCAAGCCCTTGATAATCTGCCGATTGTAGAGATGTTATGGTTAGGACGATTTTAACGAAAGAATCACTGTAAACTAGTATGCATGGATATTAAGATGCAAGCTAGTTTAGACTTTAGAAGGGGTTCCCATGAGGTGAGATGAAGTGATCAACGCCTAAAAAATGGAGAAATGATCTCTAATGAGCCATGTACCTTGAGTTTCACGATCTATTGAGAAGATAATCATTGTGAAGCAATCATGCACCCAACTTATGTTCAGACTAGTCGATATTAAATTCAAGCAATTATGCTCCCTGGTTTTCACTAAAGTGCATCCCATCTCGAAATACTATCGACGAAATCATAAGTAGTTCTCTTCCATCGTTTGCCACGAGCATGGCTACTGCCGAAGATCCATACCATATCTCGAAATATATAAAAGCCTAACATTGGAGTTACTATTCTTTAGTGTTTTCTTATTTCTCTTTTTCTTTTGGTTAAGAATGACAATTGAACTCCATCTCATGGGTATCAATCCTAATTCGACCAGATCAAAGCGACTTGAACCCGACTTTAGTAATTTTTAAATTTCTAATTTTTCTTTTCGTTGAGAATGACAATTGAACCCAAGCCCATGGTATTGACGAGTTTTGTATCAAGAGCGAGTTTTATCCGCTTTTGTAATGGCCATGTTGGGTCGAGTGAGAATTTGTTAAAAACTCGATTTGACGCAGCCAAATCGAGCTGTACATGGTGTTGACGAGTTTTGGATCGAGAGCGAGATTTTCTGCTTTAATGTTATTTTATTTTTCGTTTCCTTTTTGTTGAGAATGACGGTTGAAGCAAGACTCGGTGCTGACGAGTTTTGTACCAAGAGCGAATTTTATATGCTTTTACAATTGGCATGTTGGGCCGACTATGAATTGTTAAAAACTCGATTTGAACCAGTGAAGGTGAGCTGAACTTGGTGTTTTGAGTTTTTGGTGGGGAACGAGTCCTATCCACTTTATTGTTTTTTATTTATCTTTTTCCTTTTGGTTGAGATCCCAAACCTATGGGTATCCAACCTAATTTAACTAATAAAAATGACTTAGAACCCGATGTTTACAAGCTTTCGCGAAGGAGTGAGTGTTATTCGCTTTTGTAATTGGCGGGTCAAATTGGTTGTGAATTTGTTACAAACTCGGTTCAACCCGATCAAAGAGAGTCGAACATGATATTGCCGAGTTTTGGGTCATGAGCAAGTTTTATCCGCTTTAGTGTTTGTTAATTTCTCAGTGGGAGTGAGTTTTATTCGCTTTTGTAATTGTCTGGGTGGGTGAGTTGTGAATTTGTTACAAACTATGTTCAACCCGATCAAAGAGAGTTGAACATGATGTTGCCGAGTTCTAGGTCGTGAGCGAGTTTTATCCGCTTTAGTGTTTGTTAATTTCTCTTTTTCTTTTGGGTTGAGAATGAATTTGAAAAAAAAATATAGAAAAAAGAATAAAAACTAACCAATAGTGTTACGGGAGAAGATTTAACATAGAAATCATTGCTCAACGACTCTTCTCGCTTATTAAAGTCAATCGTTGCGTTGACTACATGGAGTTGTAGATAACAAACCATTTACTTTTGAGTATTCTTTAAAATATCATGTTCTCGCTCTCATGCAAAGCGACATTGAACGTGCTTATGCTAGTACTTTAAGTATGCCAACCAAAATGCTGAAATGAGTGAGCCCCTGAACCAAATTCTGGCTGTTAGTGTGTGGTATATGAACCACGATTGAACTTCTCCCAACAACTCGAGTTATTTGGATCAACTGGTTCTTGACATGGTATCAGAGCTGGTTTGGCCAAGTGGTCGTGTGTTCGAATCCCCAAAAGGCCTTATTCTAATTGGGCTAGGTGCGCACTAATATACAAGGATCCCTTCCCTTGTATTACCAATGTGGTACTTGGATTGTACCATAACAGATGTATAATTAATATTCAAACCAATAGAATTACAATCACCTTTATAGTTAAGAGAAGTATTTTTTATACTTTTCATCAAGTTTCAAACCAGAAATCTGTGGGTAAAATGTTTCATATTCATTAAGTTTGATGTTAATGCCATTTAGGGTGGTAAAGAAGTCGAAAGGTATAAGCAAATTAGAAAGAGGGAAGACGCAATCAACAAGGAAATGGGTTAATTGCATGGTTGGTCACTGAAATTACAAAAAAACGTTCATATTTGGTCACGTTTGGTCACTCTCCGCTAGTCGCCGTCATCTCCGTTAATGGAATCCGTTAATTGCTAATGTGGCGTACGGAATAGTCTAATCAACTCTATTTAACCCGAAAATAATGAGATCTGACCCGCCACGTCACTAAAACCCACCATGTCATATGGACTGACCCAACCCTCTAGCCATACCAAACCCGATCTTTGAACCGACCCACACAAATTAAATACCAAAAATCTCAAATAGAACTCCACTTATCCTCTTCTTCGATCGTGCGCCTCCTTCCTCTCCACTTTCTTCCTCCATTCCACTATCCATGGACAAAGGGGAAGAGACTCGAAATCAGTGAGAAACGAGAAAATAAGCAGGGGATCTGGCAAGGATGTTGGCGAACTTCTGGAAACTGAGGACACCATCCCTGTTGGTATCGGCCTGGCACATCATCTCAGATAGCCTTTGTAGGAGAGCGGGTGGCCCATCTTGGCCACGGATTCGGCGAGCTCGGTGGCGGTGATGTAGTTGTTGCCGTCATAGTCGAAGGACTGGAAGATCTCGAGGAGCTGCTCTTGGTAGATGCGGACCTCCTCGTTGATGTCGGGGAGGATGGCGGAGACGAGCTCGTCAAACTCAATATTTTCGTTTCCGTTGGTGTCGATGTTGGAGAGGAGGTAATGGAGCAGGTCACCGGTGGCTTGAGGCCGAGGGAGCGTAGGAGGGGGCAAGCTCCAAGTGGGTGATGTTGTCTTCGGAGTCCATGTCGAATCACATGAAGATGTCCTTCAATTGTTGGATCAGGTCGGATTGTAGTGTCGCCGCTGATTTTATCGGCCTCGTTGGAGAACAAAGGATTCAGCGGTTGGCGAGGTAGGGTAGGGATTGGTACAATGGAGGGAAAGGAGAGATCTGAAATCCATGTTCTCTTATATGAATGAACCCGACCCAAATGATTTACTCCTTTTCCTTGAGTTATTCGACGGCTGCTGTGCTGGTGCTTTGCTTTCTCTTCCCCTTTGTCCATGGACAGTGGAATGGAGGAAGAAAGTTGGTAGGAAGGAGGCACAGAGGATAAGTGGAGATAGGGATTTAATTTGTGTTGGTTGGTTCAAAGGTAGAGTATGATCTGGTTAGACGGTTGAGTTAGTTCAGATAACATGGTGGGTCTTAGTGACATGACGGGTTGGATCTCATTATTTTAGAGTTAAATAGGGTTGATTAAAAGATTCCATCCGCCACGTTAGCACTTAACGGATCCTGTTAACAGAAATGGACGACAACTAACAGAGAGTGACCAAATGTGAACGATTTCACTAAACTAAGTGACCACCAATGGATTTAAATATTTTCAGTGACCAAACATGAACGTTTTTATAATCTTAGTGATCAACCATGCAATTAACCCACAAGGAAATGGTATTAGACAAGAGATATTGGTGGGGATCCAAGAACATAATTCAAAGCAATCTAGAGAGAAAATGAAAGAAAGCAAATGTTATTTATGTGAATGATTGGATATGTGATTGTTATTAGAAGTAAAATGGGGATTAAATACCCAATTGTAAAACAAAAAAGCTACCACTAACTCACGTAGCCTGTAATGTAGGAAGCACCTAACCACTAAGTAAAGTAATTAAATACATAATAAACTAAACTAAAGTAATCCTTAACACGCCCCCCGTAAGATGGTGATGGTTACAACACCGACTTGGACCGAAGAATCTGGAAACATGTAATGGGTAGGGGCTTGGTAAGGGAGTCCGCCAATTGATGAGCAGTGGGTATAGGGCGAATGTGAAGAGCAGATGCCTGAATCAGTTCATGAACAAAGCGATAGTCCAGGGCCAAATGCTTCATGCGAGAGTGATGAATGGGATTACCGGCAAAGTTTACGGCACCAAGATTGTCACAATATAGTAGCGACTGAGCTGGGAAGGGATGATGGAGCTCACGAAGAAGATTTTGAACCCATAGAATCTTGGACGTAGCATGAGCCAAGGCCCGGTACTCGGCCTCAGTACTGGAGCGGGCAACCGATCACTGTTTCTTCGATTTCCAAGAAATAAGATTGCCACCATAATAAACAAGAAAAGCATGGTAGAGGTGAGATCATCGGGGTCGCCAGCTCAATCAAAATCGGCAAACGCAACAAGATCAGAGGAGACAGATGGTGCAAGGCGAAGACCGAGTGAGGAAGTACCGTTGAGATATCGTAGTAGGCGTTTCACATGTTGCCAGTGAAGAGTAGTTGGGGCATGCATTAATTGGGATAACTTATTTACTGCAAACGCAATGTCCAAACGAGTGCAGAGTAAATATTGAAGAGATCCAAGAGCTTGTTTGTAGAGAGTGGGGTCGGCGGAGGAAGAGCCATCGCCAAGTGAGAGTTTGGCAGTGGAGGCGAGAGGGGTCGGCGCCGGGCGAGAGTCAGCCATTCCAAAACGTTGAAGGAGATCACATATATATTTTTGTTGAGAGAGCAAATAACCGGAATCCGTGGGGATTACCTCGATGCCCAAAGAGTAGTTGACAGGACCAACACTCTTGAGGGAGAACCGGGATGCAAGGCGAGATTGAAATTGATCGAGGGCACGACTGTCATTCCCTGTGAGAAGAAGATCATCGAAGTAGACCAAGAAATATAGTGTGACGCCCCCACGATGATATATAAATAAAGATGCATCGGATTTTGACTTGACGAAGCCCTCGACAGCTAGAAAGCCAAATAACGCCAAGTACCAGGAGCGAGGGGCTTGACGAAGTCCATATATTGCATGAGAAAGGCGGCATACATGATGAGGAAGATGCGGATCAATGAAGTCGGGTGGTTGAGCCATATAAACGGTTTCCTGCAGAGAATCCTGTAGAAAAGCATTGTTAACGTCAAACTGCATAATAGGCCACTGATGAGAGAGCGTGATCGTGAACACGGTCCGGATGGTGACTAGTTTGAGCACCGGACTGTAGGTCTCATGAAAATCAACTCACAGTTGCTAGGTGAAGCCCTTGGACACCAAACGGGTCTTAAAACGATCAACAGAACCATCAGGATTTCGTTTAATATGAAAAACCCAGTGAGAGCCCACAATATTAGTGTCGGTGGGTTGGGGCACCAGAGTCTATGTGTTGTTTGATAAAAGGGCTCGGAATTCAGCTGTCATGGCTGCATGCCACCGCGGATCAGCAAGCACCTGTCTGAGCAGGGTGGGCTCAATGTCAACAGTATCCACCTGAGAAAGAAATAGTCATTTCGACCGAAATATATAATGTTGACTCCTTGTCACCGGGCGGCTGAAAGACTTGGCCGGTGGAGGCGGTGGTGACTGGTGATGTTGTTGTGAGGACGAAGGCCTTGGGGACGCAGCCGGAGGTGGTGAAGGGATCAGTCTATGAGCCGAGGTTGAGGAGGAATGGGGTGACGTGTGAGGAGAAGGAGTGGGTAGGTGGAGGACAGTGAGCGGAGGACTAGTGGCAGCTAGCCAATGCGACTGATCAAAGAAAGCAAGAGAGTCGTACATATCACCTGGGAAGATCGATTCGTCGAAAAGGACTTGACGGGAGGTAAACAGGAGTTTGGTAAGAGAATCATAGCAATAATAGGCACTTTGAGTGAGGGAGTAGCCAAGTAACACACATTGGCGCGAACGAGGAGCTAGTTTGTGAGGGGAATATAGGCGGAACCATGAATTACATGCACAACCAAAAACACACAACTTATTATAATTGGGTGATTCATTAAAATGGGAAAAGTATGGTGTGGCGCCATGAAGAGAGGAAGACGGTAGGCAATTAACAAGATAAGTTGCAGTTTGAAAGGCATGAGACCAAAAACGAAGAGGAAGAGAGGCAATATGGAGAAGAGAGAGACCCGTCTCAACAATGTGACAGTGTTTTCTTTCGGCAAGAGCATTATGTTGGGGAGGATGAGGCGGTGTTAAGAGATTAGTGATACCAGTAGTTTGAAAGAAGGAGCATAACTTCTAAAATTCACCACCTCCATCGTTATAAACACGGCGAATAGTAGTGTGGAAATTTTTTTCAATCATAGCTTTATAGGTGACAAAAATATTATGGACATCAGACTTGCGAGATAGAGGATAAAGCCATCGGACATTTGCCAAGAGTTTCTCGGCCGAGTTTCTCGATGAGGTGAATAACATGTTGACGGGATTGACTGGCAAACATGCGCTCCAATGTCGTCCAGGCGTCGCGATAGGAGGTAGCTGTTGATACATAGGGCGCAACAGAAGAAGACATAGAAGCATGATTAGCATGAAGGAGAAGTTGATCTCGTCGATACCAGAGAGTGCGAACAGAAGCCTCGTTGGTGGCAGCGGGAGCATGATGAGAGTCGTCAAGAAACTTGAGGAGATCAAGGCCTCGAAGAAGGGTGAAGAGTTGCACCCTCCATGTTGGGAAATTATCACCAATAAGCTTGGTGGGTAATTGGGAGGCAGGATTAAGGGTAAAAGTGATGATAGTGTTGGTGTCATTGACGTTGAGCACCGATTCACCGAAATTTTGGGACATAGTGGCGACGGGAAGAAAGAAAGGAAGGAAGAACAGGGAAGAAGAAAGGGAATGGTTTTCGCTGGAAAAGAAACAAAAAGGGCGAGAGATCGGGAAAAGAAAGAGGAGAGAAGAGGTTTTAATGGTTAAGGAGATCTGAGCTTAGCTCTGATACAATGTGAATGATTGGATACGTGATTGTTATTAGAAGTTGAGTGGAGATTAAATACCCAATTGTACAACAAAAGAGCTACCACTAACTCACGTAGCCTGTAATGTAGGAAGCACCTAACCTATAAGTAGAGTAATTAAATACATAAAAACTAAACTAAAGTATTATCCTTAACAATTTAAACCTATAGTTATTGGTTGTTGACTTGTAAAATAAGATGAACCAAAAAGGAGAAACTAAACAAACGAGTATAGCAAAATCAAATTAATTTAATTAATATTAATATTAATTAATTAATATATAAAAGCCTAACATGTGAGTTACTATTCATTAGTGGCTCTCACACTCTTCTAAGTGCAAGTGGGAAAGTTCCAAACTCTTCTTTTACCCCACTTTCTATTCTACACCCTTTGTATTTAGTTATTGTTCGCTAGGTTTTCGTCTATGGTTTTTTTGCACAAATCATCGCCTTTGTGTTTTGTTATTGTTCGCTAGATTTTCGTCTATGACTTTTTGCACAAACCATTGCTTTTGTGTTTAGTTACTGTTCGATAGGTTTTGGCCTATTGCTTTTTACACAAATTATCGCCTTTGTGTTTAGTTATTGTTCGATAGGTTTACGTCTATGACTTTTTGCACAAATCATCGCCTTTGCCTACCATTTTGCAGTACATCACGAAATACTGTCGGCGGAATCCTAAGTTGTTCTCCACCACCGTTTCTCAAGGCCGCTACCACGAGTTTTGTATTGGGACTAAGTTTCATCCTCTTTAGTGTTTTTTTCTTTTTGTTGAGCATGATCACAATTGAACACAAACACATGGGTATCATAAATTGAACACGAACCTTTGCCCACCATTCGGCAACACAACTCGAAATACAGTCGACATAAATCCTAAGTTGTTCCCACCATCGTTTTCCAGGCCGCTACGTACCACGAATTTTGTATCGGGACCGAGTTTCATCATCTTTAATATTTTTTCTTTTTCCTTTTTGTTGGACATGATCACAATTGAAATCAATGCCGCTACCGAAAATCAATACCATATCTACTCAATGTTGACGAGTTTTGTATCGAGACCGAGTTCTGTTCACTTTAGTGTTTTTTCTTTCACATTTTTCTTTTTGTTGGGGTCATGAGCGAGTTTTACCCGCTTTTGTAGTTTTTTTATCCTTTTCCTTTTGGTTGAGAATGACAATTGAGTTCAAACACATGGGTATACAACCTAATTCGACCCGACCAAAACGATTTGAACCCAATTTGATAGGTTTTCGACGGGAGCGAGTTTTATCTACTTTTGTAATTAGCATGTTGCGTTAGGAGTGAAAAAGTCCAAAACTCTGTCCAATCAGGTCAAAGCGAGTTGAACCTGGTGTTGACGAGTTTTAAGTCGGTAGTGCGTTTTAGCTTTAGTGTATTTCATTTTGTTTTTTCCTTTTGTTTGAGAAAGACAATTAAACTCAAATCCATGAGTATCCAACCTAATTTGAAAAGATCCAGAGAAGATGTTTCATTCTGCAAAAGTTATAGCAGGATCAACTGCTAGCCATACAAATTGAAACATTGGCGTCATGAAAGAAGTTTAAATATAAATAATCTATTCGACGACTCTTCTACCTTATGCAAGTTCATCGATCATATGCTATTGTAAATAACAAACCTATGAAAAGAATGATTAAGAATGAAATAAGATTACTTTCACTTTTGAATTAACACTAAAACTATTATTTTTTTAAATATTTATTTTTCTCATATGCGAAGCGATGGCTAATGGCTTTTTAAGAAGAAGGTTGTTTTGGGTCTATCTCTCTGTCTCACCACCTTGTTGTCTCTCTTGCTTTTTTCTCCCCCCACTTCCGTTTCAAATGGTCTTTGCACTCTCGTTGAATTCCTTCCCCACTCTCTCTCTCTCTCTCTCTCTCTCTCTCTCTCTCTCTCTACCTACCTCTTGCTGAAGAAAACAAGGCAGCAGATAGCAGTATCAGCAGCAGCATTTAATTAATAAAATCAAGTAAGGCGCCCATGATCTCTCATATTGTGAACTTGATTTCATGACATTCTTTTGACGAGTTCTTTATTGATAGAATGAATGAATGCTCCCCTGACTGCGCAGCTTGTCATCCCTATCTTCTTCCACCATCCTCTTCTTCGATTCCAGCTTTTCCTTAATTAGTTTGTAGCTATTATTACTCATCCACTCTACTCTTTCCTTACTGGGCAATCAGTCATGTGTGCATATGATAATTTTCTGCCTCGCAATCTTGTCTCCTTCTCCTTCCCCTGTATTCTGGGAGCTCTGTTTTCTTCTTTCCTAAAGGTCTACAATGTGTTTAGTATGTGGATCACAGAAGGTGGCGTTCGTTCCATTTCAAAGGACACAAGTCATTTTAGTTGTCATAATATTTGTTTCTTTTGCAAGGGTAGTTGTATCTATCTATCTATCTTCCCAACATCGTCTCGTTTACTGTTTGTTTTCCTAATTAATGAATTACACCAATATAATTCTTACCAACTTTAGCTGATTCACTATAGTATATATTATGCCTTCCCTTCTCCTTTTCCTTATTATTATTGTGTATGTGGGTTGGTTGTTGAGAGTTTGATGGTCATCCTGCACTGCATTAATGGCAAAGTGATGAAATGCAGGAAGGGTGAAGAATCCAATTAATCAGAATAGCTAGCTGTTAGAGAGAAAGTAGAAGGAAAGAAAGGCGGGGGGAGGGCAGATCGAACAATTGATCATGCCACAGGAAGAAGAAAGCAGCAGCTGGTGCAATAGTAATAGTAATATCAATGAGGAGGAGATGAGTAGCAGCGGAGTGAAGAACCTGGTGAGGGGATTCAAATCCTTAGGGTCTTCTTCTTCTTCTTCTAACAAGACGGACGCAGGCGGGGGAGATGAGATGATTAGCGACCGAGAATTGGCTCACCGGAAAGCCGAAGAAGCTGGTAAGTACCTACCTACCAGGTCCTTGTTTGTTTGTAGTAACAACTAGTTAATTAATTGTGTTTACTTTCTCCGGCCGGCCAGTTCATATTTTCCTTAATCACCATCTATAATTAGCTTTATTATATTTAACTATATATATATATATATTCGATGGCAGCTTAGCTAGCACCATTCCACTAACCCTTTCCACTAATCCATATATATGATATACTAATCAGGGAAACCATGCTTAATTAGGTTACAACTTGAAGACCAGCTAAGTAATTCGATCAGTAACTAAGAATAATAAAAATCTAATATGTGCATCACGGCAATGAATAGTAAGTAAGGTAGGGGTGGGTGGCTGGCTGGCTTTATAATATTTTTGGCACCGGCGACGGTTACATGAAGTCAAGTCACCGGCGTTGGGCCTTTCCTTACTCGCTGTTAGTTAGTTGCTGCAAAATGGCACATGAAGTCAACTAAGTCACCGACGAAAGAAGAAAAGGTGAAAGAAATATGAACGTTGAGGATTAATTAGCTAGTGCTTTTGGTGGTCCGAGTCGAGTGTCTCCCTTCTTCTTCTCTTTACGAATTTGGCATTGTTCCTTCATGTCGTGCTCTTTTCTTTTGCTTTTGCTTTGGAATTTCCCATGATGACCATTCATTCCCCCGTCCCCTTGGTCCTAAAGTAATCCCTATGTTTTTACTTTGTTTTTTTCCCCCCTCTTGCTTTCGTCCAAGTGTAATTATTTAGTCTCTCATTTTTGCCCATCCACTATGACCATGAATGATGATGAGGCTGCGGAGAATGCGGAGGGAGCAGCCCCATTGGGCCGCAATGTTCATCACTTTGGGCCCATTCACTTCCAACAAAACTTCTCCCCGGGCCCATCTGCTTCCCCCTTTTCCTTTTCCTTTCTTACTCTCCCTCACGCAGATCTCCCCATGATACCGCCAAGGTAGGATTAGGAAGGAAAGTAAGAGAAAACAATTCCATTCCATCCCCCCTCTCTGTCTGTTGTGGGGGGCCGGCAGTGGTATGCACTGCACGCCATCACTATGAATAATTGAAGAAGAAGAAGAATGCAGGCCATCCGCCGGCCCAGCTGATGATCAGTGATCATGATCCCGGCTTAGTGGGACGGTTCGCTGTCCTCTACTTCATATCTTCTGCTTGTTTCTATAACTTGTGTGTTCTACTTCTACTGCTACTGCTTTGGGAGTTAGCTTTAAGTTAACTCGCCAATCCAATCATCACACCCAAATGTCGACTCCTCCATACATACATTAACATAAAATCAAATGATGATGGGGTCAACTCTACTCTATTTATTAGTTTGTGATGGGTACGCCGGCCTTCATAATCATCCATCACAACCAATGTACCACTAACTGGACTAGTTTAATTCCAGGCTAGTCCCCCCAAAGAAACCCCTTCATATTTAAGGTATAAATCAACACATAATACATGATGATGTCCAAGTCATAAAGGAAAGGAAGGAAGTTAATTAGGGATGAAAAAAATATTCGTAACCGTGGATATCCGTCCGAATCCAACCTATTCGGGTAGGATAAAGCTCGAACCCGAAGGATTTTTAATGGGTACGGGTAAAACCCGAACCCGAATATTGTGGGTAATGGGTGGGCATGGTTTTCTCACTATCCAACCCAAACCCGCCCGATTATACACATGCATATGTATTTTGTCTAGAAATAATCATTATTTTCCTCTAACATCTTTTAAATTTTGCATACAAATATGACATTTTTCATGAAATTGTGTTGTTTTAATTAATTTTATTTATTCTAGTGAATTATTGTCGTACTTTTCGTCTTGTGTAATGTGAGAATATGTGTGAATATTAACATATTGGTTTGAGTTATAAAGAAAAACTACTACTCATGGATAACCGTGGATACCCAAAAACCCGAACGGGTATAGGCATGGTTTTGATTTTTTACCCATTTCTTATGTGGGTATGGGTATGTGTGAGAACCCCGCTTCTAGGGTCTCTCGGGACTGATCTTCGGCACTCGTGACAATTAGGGATCTAGGGTTTGAGAGAAAGAATTAGGGATTTAGATGAGAAAGAACAGAATAGAATTAGGCCTTGGATTAGGAGAGGATAGAAATTAGGAGTTGAGAGGATAAACTAGGGTTTAGGAGATTCTTCTAAATATTCTTCTTGACTGATTATGACGTAAACCCAAAGTACATATTTATAGGGAAATACTGGTATCCCTAATAATAATCCTAATACGACTAAATCTCTACTAACCATAATTATAATTATCCTACCTAATATAATAATAGAAATCCCAGTTAAATGTATTTCTGACAATCCATCCCCCTTGAAAACAATCTTGACCTCAAGGTTGTAGTTGACTTCTACCTCCTTGACCTTCGGCTTTCTCCGTCTCCAGTTGCGCTCCAGTATGCGAAGGACTTCTTCTTGAACAACCCGCACTTTCTTAAACTCTTCTCGAACCATGTGACACATGACATGTTTACCATAGCCGAACAATTCACCCTCTACCTTCTCGAAATCCACAAAATAAGAATCGGGGAATTGTTCATCCTTGAGCCCATTCTCATAAACCACCTCGAAAGCTTCAATGGACCACTCCCTCAATTCCGCAATGGGTTTGGTGGTGACGACGAACCAATCTTTTCTTCCTTCACTTTGAACTCGACCCATAATAGCTTGAAGGGAGGAGTTGCAGCCCAAATTAATATGAGACTCTACTAGACTCCACTCTCCTCTAACTTCGTTTGGGCTTATATCCTCTAAAGGCCCACATGCTAACCCAACTAAGTTATCTTCTGTCTTTTCTTCTAAGTTTCCTCCACACAAAAGAGACTTAATCACATAGCCCAACCTAGGCCCAAGCCTGCTTTGGAAACTCGGCCCACCATTTTCTTGCAACCAGATTCCCTCTTTCTTGTTGAGCCCACACCAAAACTCTTTCTCGACCCACTTCTTTCCCATTTGTGGCCCGCAACTTGGCTTATTCTGCTGAGTCATATGGCTCAAAACAAGCCCCACAAACTTCTTCTTACAAGCCAACATATAACCCAGATCGATAGGCCCATTCGTCGAGTCCACCCAATCCAAGTCGAGCCCGTTGCTCTCTAGTAGTTCCGGCCCGTATCGACTTGCGGCCCGGCCCGCACGGCCTAGGGTTAGCCTACCTCCATCCTTGGCTAAAAGAGGAAGAGAGTGGCCGCTCTCCTTCGTCTCCTTCTCTGGCACTCTTTCTCCCGCCGACGTCGTCTCCGTCCCGGTCACCTTCTTCCTCGGCGACTCCTTCCCCGACTGTGTACTGTCCTTTCGATGGCAAGACGGCCGATCTGACTCCGCCGCCACCTTCTCCTCATTGAACGGCGGTTCCTTCTCTTCCTTTAGAGGCGACGCGCCATCCCGTTGACGACACGGCGGCGCCTCCGACCCCGCTGCCACCTTCTCCTTCGAATCCTTCTTTATCGTTACCTCCCCGCCGATCGACCTCTTCTTCCTCTCATTTTCCCGTGATGGGTTACTCACGCCACGACAGGGTAGACTCGATCTGGCGCTCCTCTTCTCCAGCCTAATCTCGTCGACGGTCGTTAGCTCGCAACGGATAGAGCTGTCGATGTTCCCTTTCTCCTTCCTCTTCGAATTCCTCTCAGGAGGCCTCCCCTGCGACTCCTTCTCCGGCGAGAGATTCATCACGCGGCGAAGAGGCAAACTTGCCGCTGACCTCGCCTCCGGCTTCTCATCATCGCCCGCCTCTCCGGATGCCTACTCTTCTGCTCCGCATCTTCTAACGATGTTGGTTCCCGGACTAGCCTCCCTCGACTGGACCTCCAAGTTCCCGACCGTTTGAACCTCGTCGCTTGTCTCGGATTGGGCGGTCGCGACCATTGCTCTGCATGCGGCTAGAGTTATTGCTGGTGGTTTGTCCGGCGGCCAAGGTGGCGGAACCCTTGGGGTGTCGTTTACCGTGGTTGACTGCTCGGTCAACGACCCTTCCTCATCGTTCTCTGAGACCGCGACGAGTACAGAAGCAACGGTGGTGATTTTCGTTGCCTCCAGCGATGCGGCAGCGGTTACGACAACTGCAAGGGCCGCTGTTGATGCTGGAAACTGGTGAATCTCGCCCTTGGTGAGTTGCGGTGCTGTGATTGACACGACGTTGCTGCCTGGGTTGGCGGCTCGACCGCCATCAAGTCCTCCATCGTTGCCAGCCTCACGTGCGACCCCGGTCTACCTCGCTCGGTCTCGATTGGGAACGCAGGTTGTTCCAACAGTCGTCGAAATCCAATTCTGTGACCAACAATTCTATTGCGGTGCAAGCTGTGCTGGAGGTGTGGTCGGACTCCTCTCCGTTCTTGCCGCTTCCAACTTCATCTTAAGAAGTTTGGTGAGTTCTTCGATTGAGAGCACTTAGAATATCGACATGGCTCCGGTACGAGTGCCTTCAACCGGGCTCTGATACCAATTGTGAGAGCCCCGCTTCTAGGGTCTCTCGGGACTGATCTTCGGCACTCGTGACAATTAGGGATTTAGGGTTTGAGAGAAAGAATTAGTGATTTAGATGAGAAAGAACATAATAGAATTGGGAATCGGCCGAGGCCTTGGATTAGGAGAGGATAGAAATTAGGAGTTGAGAGGATAAACTAGGGTTTAGGATATTCTTCTTAATATTCTTCTTGACTGATTATGATGTAAAGCCAAAATACATATTTATAAGGAAATATTGGTAACCCAAATAATAATCCTAATACGGCTAAATCTTTACTAACCATAATTATAATTATCCTATCTAATATAATAATAGAAATCTCAATTAAATGTGTTTCTGACAATATGGATGAAACCCGAACTACTTTGAATAGAGTAACATATATGCACTATCCGCTCCCGACCCGACTCGACTCATTGCCATCCCTAAAGTTAATTAGGGTACACCTACCACACTCACTTAACCTTGCATATATTATTTATTAGTGCTCATAAACTTAACATAGTTTATTAGAGTACAACTAAACTTAAATATGAACAACAATTTGATCCACACAGAGTTGAATTGGATAGAACCATTTATTAACACTCCAATTGACCTAGTTCATTTCAATTTTGATTCTCCTGTATGATTTTTTTATATCTTATTATAGTTATATTAAGTCTCATAAAACTTTTAAAAAAAATAGATTAACTATATGATTTATTGTTGGAAACTCATCCTTGTCCTCCCTTGTTCAGTTATTATTCATAGGGATCCCGTTATTGGTAATTATTTGATGCTCCAATTATAGTAGCCTTGGGTGGGCTTCGGAGGGACTTATCATTATATGGGCTTATATGGAATTAGAAACCCCAAGGCCCGAAATGAAGCCCAAAAACTGGATTTACTGTTCAGAAGAGCTACTCTCTTCAATTCATTCATCTGCGCCTGCCTGCCTCTTCTTCCATCTCTTTCTGTCTATTTGGCGGGAAGAGAAGGGAAAGATCCTCCTTCTTCGTATGGCAGGCTTGCTTAATAAGTGGCGGTTGGTAATCCAATATTTTGTTTCTGTCGTCTGAAATTGGAGACTTTGTGGGGTTTTTCTTTTTTCCTTTCAGCTGCGAGGAGATACCAAGCAGCAGAATGGCTTCGACAGATGGACGGAGGAGGTTGCTCCCTTCGCCAACACCCTTCCGAGGAAGAGTTCCGCCTTGCTCTCAGAAACGGTCTTATCCTCTGCAACGTCCTCAACAAAGTCAACCCCGGCGCCGTCCACAAGGTTCGATTCCCTTCCCCCAAAATTTTGCAATTATTATTTCATTCTGCTTCATCCCATTACTATTTTCTTGAAGGTGGTGGAGAGCCCAGTAATGGCGGTGCAGTCCACGGAAGGACCCGCGCAATCTGCAATTCAGTACTTCGAGAATATGAGGAACTTCCTCGTTGCTGTTAAAAAGATGGAGCTCCTGACTTTCGAAGCTTCTGATTTGGAGAAGGTTTGATTCCATCGCTCTCTCTTTTCTGAATGGGGGGTTCATTGGAAATCGGCGTGTGTATCTCAGAATTGGTTTGGTGGACATTCTGAATTCCAACATTTCTTTGATGGGACAGGGAGGCTCCTCAAGTAAGGTGGTAGATTGCATCCTTTGTCTGAAGGGATACTATGAATGGAAGCTGGCTGGCGGAATTGGGGTGTGGAGGTATGGTGGGCTGGTCAAGATCACTTCCTTCCCCAAGGAATCACCAGCTTCATTGATGGGCAGTGAAAGTGCCGATGAGTCATTTGATGAATCTGAATCTTCTCAGTTTGATCAGTTGTTAGAATTTCTCCATTTTTCTAATGAAGTCCCAGTTGAAGAATCTACAACTGCCAATGTTTTGGCATTCCTTTTTGATCATTTTGGACTAGGGTTGCTGCAAGCTTACCTTAGGGACAGTAATGGGATTGATGACTTCCCTTTGAATGCAACGGTAGGTAAGACGTATTCAAATGTGAGTTTTTTCAATAACTTCTGTGTTTCTCGAATGCTAATTAAGACTTGTTCCAATGTGGATGAAAAACGTGCAGGTCATAGATACATTGCTGAGCAAGGTGGTTAAGGATTTCTCAGCATTGCTTGTTTCTCAAGGCATACAGGTAAGTAAACACAGTCCACTGACTATTCTAGGATTTATCTCTTTGGTGAGCTGAGTTCAATGTTTCTTTTTGCCATTATCCACAGCTTGGACTCTTCTTGAAAAAGATAGTGAAGGGAGACATTGGTTACATGTCAAAGGAGGAATTCGTTGAAGCCATTTCACAGTATATAAGCCATAGAAAGAATTTGGTGTCTAGTGATTTCTCCAAGTTTTGTACCTGCAAAGGCCAAAAACAGTTTCTTGGGCACACACGAACCTCTAGTGAATCGTCTTATCTCTCAGAGACAACCGATCTTCACCAGAAAGAGCTTCACGAGTTGAGATTGCATTTCAAGCTGACAAGGCAAGAAGTTGTGCAAATGCAAGCAGATTGGAGGGAAGAACTAAGTCAGCTTGGTAAGAATATCATCATCCTTCGTTTGGAGGGAAAATGACTTCTACTTAGAAGTTGTATGTGCGTGGTTGTGACTTGAATTTAATTCTCTCAGTGCTTCATATTAAGAGACTTGAAGTTGCATCCTCTACATACCACACTGTTCTGGAGGAAAACCGTGAGCTCTATAATCAAGTCCAGGATCTAAAAGGTGATCTTTTTTCAAGAGGGCTTCATATCAACATATATAGGCTGTTTTAACTTTAATCGATCCCAATTTTTGAGCAGGCTCAATACGAGTGTACTGTCGGGTCAGGCCATTCCTACCGGGACAAACAAATGTACAGTCCACAGTTGATTACATTGGAGAAAATGGAAATCTTATGATCGTTCATCCTCACAAACCAGGAAAGGATGCAAGGAAGGTGTTCAACTTTAACAAAGTGTTTGCTACAAGTTGCACACAAGGTATGATCTAATACTCACAACAATATCCAATTCAACTGGAAATGCTTGCTCTTTTTTTGCATTTTCATGGCCTTTACGGATTCAAAAACTCCAAATTTTGGTTTCACAGAGCAAATATATGGTGACACACAACCATTGATCAGGTCGGTACTAGATGGCTATAATGTTTGCATATTTGCATATGGGCAAACTGGATCAGGGAAGACTTATACAATGGTACGGTTTTTCTTTTGAGACTTCTGCTCAAGCATTACTTGCATCGAAAACTATGAACTGTGTCACAAATGTACTAAATAATATTTTGGTTTTGGTTTTGTGACAGAGTGGTCCTGATTTGAACACTGAAGAAACATGGGGTGTAAACTATCGTGCTCTTCGTGACCTATTTCAAATCACAAAGAAGAGGGCAGATATTATTAAATATCAAGTTGGAGTTCAGATGATTGAAATATACAATGAGCAAGTAAGAGATCTACTGGTTTCCGATGGCTCCAATAGAAGATATCCTTTCAAAAGTCAGGTTTTATATGTTTCAGTTGTGTGGAAGCCATTCAACACTTATGATCAAGAATTTACTTTCCATAACTTCCTCAAACATTAGACATCCGTAATAACTCTCAACTGAATGGACTAAATGTACCTGATGCAAGCTTAATACGGGTATCAAGCACTCAGGATGTTCTCGATCTAATGAGAATTGGTCATAGAAATCGTGCAGTTGGTGCCACTGCTCTAAATGAAAGAAGCAGCCGTTCTCATAGGTTTAATTTTTGTGCCTCTAAAGAACTCCTAATTATTCCATGTATTCCATGGCTTTGAAGGAACTACTAATAATGTTTGTTGGGGTTATATGCAGTATTTTGACAGTTCATGTCTATGGAAAAGAGTTGATATCTGGTTCCATACTTAAAGGCTGCCTGCATCTAGTAGATTTGGCTGGCAGTGAGCGTGTGGATAAATCTGAAGCTGTTGGTGAAAGGTTAAAAGAAGCTCAACACATCAATCGATCTCTCTCAGCCCTTGGAGATGTCATCTATGCTTTGGCACAGAAGAGTCAGCATGTTCCCTATAGAAACAGCAAGCTAACACAAGTTCTACAAGATTCTTTAGGTAATGATCTTGTTATCATCGAATTCCCACTTGTTAAGTCATATTCTAATCATCCTTAATTCTCTCTTTGTTCTTTAGGTGGGCACGCAAAAACATTAATGTTTGTCCATATAAATCCTGACGTCAATGCTATTGGGGAGACAATCAGCACTCTAAAGTTTGCAGAAAGAGTTGCTTCTATAGAATTGGGAGCAGCTAAAGCAAACAAAGAAACTGGTGAAATCCGGGATCTCAAAGAAGAGGTTAGTTAAAGTCTCTTGAATTCAATGGAACAGGTTCATTTCTGTAACCAACTTCGTCGAAATCTCATTCATTCCTTTTAATTTTTGTATATCCAGATATCAAGCTTGAAACATAATTTGGAGAAAAAGGAAGCTGAACTTGAACAGCTGAAAAGTGGAACTTCTGGTAGAAACACAACAGAGGTACAAAGAGAAAGGGCTGTTTCTCCTTACTATTTGCCAAAGCATGGTACAAACTCCAACTTGAAATCTGAAATCGTTCAACGGGGAAATGCAAATGATGAAGCAATTCAGAGTCGAAGTTGCTCTTCTGGAAAACAAAGGAGGTCTAGATTTCCATTAGCTTTCACAGATAAGGAAACTCTGCCAAAGCGTCCATTGGACCAGAGGTCAGGAAGTTTCACAAAGCAAAGGTCACCTTCTCCTCCTGTTAGGAGATCAATCTCGACAGACAGAGGAGCCATGATCAGGAACATGACCAAACCCGAGACAGTTGATATTAATACCTCAGTTGGAAGAGCCCCTTTTCCCGGTAGAGCTGGTGCTGTCAAATGTGTTGCACCAATGGAGAACAAGTCAAATGCAACCAGCATAGGGTTCCAGGAAGCAGTGAAGCAGGATAGTATAGCTAGTGCATTCTATAACTTCCAGAGGAATAATATCACTGCAAGGAAGCAATTCCCAGAACAAGAGGAAGAACAATTCAAACAGGCTCTTAACATAAGACAAGGTGGTATTCGAAAATCCAAGAACGAGGTTAAGGTTAAATCGAAACAGATTATTCCTGCAAGGCCGCCAAAATTTGAAATGGGTATGAATATGATGATGCTGCCTGAAATGGGTGCCGGCGATAAGCAAGACGAGCCACGCAGAAGTGACTTCTCAGAGCCTGAAAATGAGCTGATAATGGCTGGCTCTCCATTGCTTGGCTCTTTGAATGTAAAGAAGCTGCAAAGGAACTTGTCCAGGAACTCTCACAATCTTGAAGCAAGGTAATTCACTAGTTCTCTTATGACTTAAAGCATACATTAGAGTCTTATGCTTGGAAATTTTTTATAACATATGATGTATGGAAACTTGCAGAGGATCTCGGAATGCAAAAGAAGGTGCGAATGCTGCAAGTTCACCAGCTGTAATGCCAGAGTTGAGGAGGAGTCATTCTACTCCTCGCGGAAAGTTCATTTTGTCTTGAGGGTCCATCAACAAAACACTGGTATTTGTATGAATACGAATATGATACAAAGAGCAACATTTGAACAAAGTGCTATAGAAATATTATGTATAGGATACTGCTGTTGTTTTGAGTTGTGGTTTGGACTTTGAGTGAGACCAATTCATTTTGACATTGTAATACTAGTACTCTCACATGTCATGCATATGAAGAGTGGATTTAATGATGAAACATGAGAAGCGTTTCATGGTTTTGTTTGATGGTTTGGAAGAGTTGCAGTAAATAATTTAATTACAGCAAGCATGGAACACTATCAGTTAGGAGGAATTTAATCACAGCAAGCATCATCAATCAATCAAACAATAACAATAACTATATGGAGGTTCTCCTCCATCACCCCCTCAATCCATTTTTTGCTGACTTTTGCACAAGTCACGGAAGGACTGTTTGGTCTTTCCAATAATTCAGATGGGCCTCTTAGCCCACTACCGAGTTCCAACTTCCAACCAGGCGGCACTGCGGTAGATCAAGAGTGTAATTACTCTATCTCTATGTGTTCTCACCGGAATTAATCATGGGAACCTCTCTTGCATAGTTTTTTTTTTTTAAAGAGAAACCTCTCTTGCATAGTTGTCGTTAAGTATAACCAAAACCGTGCACCTGACTTGATCTCTGAATGACATCCATGGCGTTTAAATTTTGGGTTTTTCTATTACAAGTTATAATGCCTGTGTTTGGCCCGACTTTTAGAAGTGTTTTTCGGCTTCGAAAGATGAAGCAGAGTCAAACACCTCTAAAATCTCGGCTTTTGAAAAGCCGAAAAGCGCTTTTGTATAACATAAAAGTAGAAGCTCCGATTTTGAGCTTCTGCGAAAAGCTGTTTTGAAAATACAAGATCATCCTTACCATATTTTAATTTTATTTCAGAAAATATAATTTCCCTTCATTTATATCATTTTAAAAATAAAATAAATTATAAAATCATATTATTTAATATAAAAAAAATCTAACAAGATCCATTTTTACTACTTTTTATTGTTTAGAATTTTTATTCATATTTTATGTTATAAGTCCTTTATAGCCATTTTACACAAACTCTCATATTAATTCTCATAAAAAAAACTCTCATATTAAAAAGTACTTCTAATAGTTTTACAGTCAAACACTCAACAGCTTTTTTTTTTGAAAAGTACTAATCTAAAAGCACTAGGCAATAGCTCTAACATCAAAACTCAAGCGGTGGAAGATTAACTATATCAGTGTTAGTGTTATGTTTTATTATCAATGGTTATACCATTGAGTAATAAAGCCGCACTTTCCAGGTCCATTAGGAAACTCGATCTTAGGTATGGGAAACCATCATCAGCTATTTATTTTATATTGTTTAGACCAAATTTTATTGCCTACTACATTTTTTTAGTTCTCTACTCCGAATAAATATTTTCTGAGAATCATCTAAACAACTAAATAGTGGTTCAATTCCATTGTTAAAAATTGAATGTAAGCCTAAATAATTCATATAGCAAAATTATATATATCATACAATTTAATGTGTGATCATGTCACATGTGATTTAGAAAATAGAGAGACGGTTTTATATCACAAGAAGTTGTGGTTGATTATGATTATCTCTTTCTGAAGCGCAAAATAAGTTTTCTAATGATAGAACATCGATGAAGTATCAATTGTTTATAATCTATCTAACTATTGCAAAATGCTTGATCTTACAACCATTTTACATTTTCATAAATTGATGCACCTAAGCCAGATTTGACAAGAATTGATCAACCATTTGACTAAATTAGCAAGAAGAAAACATGCTCTTTATATAAGGCAAAAACGCATATTTGGGAAAAAATCAACATTTCAACCGGTAATACTGTAATAGGGATGGCAATTTTGCCTATACCCATGTGTATTTTATTGTCCAACCCAATTAGGTTGCGTAAGAAATTCAAATAGATGATAAATTAGTAGAATGTGATAGGTTTATTATCATATTCATTTATTTGGGTTGAGTTGGATTTTTAATCCATGGATTTGGGTTTGTGCCCATACCCATTTGTAAATTACAAATTGGTACCTAACTTAATAGATCTTAAGATGTAGCACCTAATTGTTTTTTTGCATGTAAATCCTCAAAATATCAACAAAAAATTACATTTTAACTTGCTCTTTATATAAGGCAAAAGTGTATATATCGGGGGAAAATACAACATTTCAACCGGTAATAGGGATGACAATTATGCCCATACCCATGGGTATTTTATTGTCCAACCCAATTGCGGTGGGTATGAAATCCAAATATATGGTAAATTGGTAGATTTTGATGGGTTTTTACCCATATGGCCATATCTATATATTTGGGTTGGGTTGGGTTTTTAATCCATGGATTTGAGTTTGTACCCGTACCTTTGCAAATTTCAGCTTGGTACCTAACTTAATAGATCTTTAGATGTAGCACCTAAATTTAATTTTTTTGCATATAAGTCCCCAAACTATCAACAAAAAATTTACATTTTAGTACCTAAATTTTTTTGTGTATTGTATTTTGGTACCTAAAGTTTTTAAAGTTTTACAAATAGATCCAATAGATTCAATTTTTGTATGTGTAGTTAAAACATACTCAAGTAAATGAGTATCCATACCCAATCCATATCCATTTAAATTATGGAAGCAATATCAATGCCCTATCCAAAATCATCTACAAACCCCAAACCCGTATATACTTCACCCATACCCTACCCCTAATCCATGGGTCTATTTTGGTTGGACTAAAATTGCCCATGGGTGAGTAATTGCCATCCCTAACTAATCGGTAATCCATTGATTTGCGGTTTGTTTTTTATTTATATGTTATAAAATTATGTGTTTCTTGCTAAGATTGTTATCATTTCTATACATGTCTTATGAATAACTTACAAGCTAAGAGAAATAGATTGTTTAGGCCAATTACAAACAAATTGGTCATCAAGTTTGAATCAAATACTGAGGCTCAAGCATGCGACGATATCCTAGCCATTCCAACTTACAAGTTTAATTTCATCAAACAATATGAGATTGACAAGCAGTGCAACCAAATGACATTTCTTTTAGGCTTGAATTACTATTCTCAATTCCAAGTTCCAACTTACTTTAATTGATGCATTTAGAACCAAAACATTCACTTTTGAATTTTTCATTCCACATATGTTGTTGGCCAACTTATTCAGTATTCGAGTTAATGGACATCTACTTGACTCACTGAAAAAGTTATTCATAAAGAGTTCCAGCTAAAACTTCCCCAGTATGTAATTCTTTTAGATTATCGTTTAAAATAGCATGCATTTCTTTAACTCTAATGGCAAATTTAATGTATAATTTGGGTACATGGAATTTTATTTCAATGTAGCTCTCTTTTGTAGGATAGTTACCCGATTAAATATCTTCCCTGCAAATGCGAACGATCATCTCTCATCCTGGCCATTACATCATTACATGTTGCTCCTTAGAATGGTAAGAAAACATCTAAATTACTTAAGTATTAATCCAAAAATTTGAAATCAAATTAATGACCATAATTAAATGATCATCAAATTTGCAAGTGAGAACACTTTCTCCTCAACTGGAGTGATCTTGCTGCTGGTGAATTCAAGTATTACACAAGTCATTAAATTTGCAAGTGAGAACACCTTCTCCTCAACTGGAGTGATCTTGCTGTTGGGCTTCCCTCTTTATTTTCATTTTGAATCATTAAGCTTCTGTGATGGTTTGCCTATTTATATTTTAGAGCGATGATCGTTCGGATCCTTTGGATATTGTTAAAAAAAATATGGTATTTCCACCTATCTTACCTTACGTGACTATTTTCCTATTATTAATTGAAATAATTTAAATTGTTTGCCTATACCAACTAAAAACTTATGTACTTCAACAATTTTATTATTGTTTATGTCATTACCATCATTACTAATTCAGATCCACCTTCGAGTTGTGGACAAAATAACAGATGTTGATTTTGTTGTTATGTGTGGAGTGAGAGCTTGATTTTTTGGAATTCCTGCTGAAAGGCTATCTAAGACAAAGATAGAATTAGAGGACCGCCACCTACTCATCTCCTTGAAATCAAGGGAATTATGTTGATTTTCGACATCAAACTCTCATATTACAACATCGCCACCAACAAGTGAGTGCCCAATTGTCAGGATAGGGAAGGATGAAGAAGAGCATAACATAGACAATCTTCATGTTTTGATCGAGGTAAATTCTAATTGCATCAAAATGATAATCAATATTACAAATTTGTGCTATTCTCTATTGGAATTGTATTTTTATACCATGCACAAGTCATACTTGGTTATATTCTTTAATCTGATTGATATATTGCAACTGTCGGATGAAGGGAGCCGAGCTATTAATTTACAGAATTGGCCTGAATGAATTTAGTTGAAACAAATCGGGCCCCAGTTAAAAGGTGGAGAACACCCTTCTATTTCTTTCACTGCCTTTAGTATTTTCAATCTTAGTATTCAGTGTGGAACTTTGCTACCTTTCCCACTAACGTGCAATCAATAGTATCCGACTACAATTTTACCTCCAATATATATTAACCATTTATGATTCGATGAAAGCACGCCATATGTTGTATTTTTGAATGCCAATGATTTAAATTCACAATTCTGATGTAGGAAAACAAAAAAGACACTGCCAATGGTAGAGGTACCAGATCCGGTGCTAGAGATGATGATGATGATATTGAGAAGAAAAAATAAATTATTCAATGTTCGTAAGGAAGATATAAATATTATTGATGGTGAGGCAGAACAAATCATGTATATTATTCATAATTTGGATGAGGTAATTCTACTTCAATGGAAAAGATTATATGTATTCGTAAATATTTTACCATTAAGATTTATTGCTCAATGAAATGCATAAAGAAAAAGAAGAGATTTTCGAAATGCAAAAGAAAGAAGGTAGAAATAATTGATAATGCAGACAAATGTGTTATTACTGGAGGTGAAGACATTATTATTGGTGGAGATGATGTTGTTCATAGAGGAGGAAATGCAAACAAGTCAAAAAGAAAACATGTAGTAATCTTTAACGGTGAGGAATGATTAGAAATTGTTTGTAGGAGTTGTTCCCTTACAAGGGGGTTGTCTTTCATTTTCGTAAAAAGATTTTAGTCAATGATACACTAAAATGTCAAAAAACAGTATGATATTGATATTTTGAATTATCGAACTATTTTAATAATTTTGATTCTCTTATTCTACCAATGAATTAAGATGTTTAGAGTATTAGAATAATTTATACTTTCTTATATATACTAACAAAAAAATGCGTACCTCGGATACAATTGTCATTGTTATTTACGTGATTGGCTATTGAATCCGGCCAACTGGACGGGTACATGACTAGTTGAACTTTATGAAGGTAAAGTTATCTCCGGTTCGCAGACATGAAACCCATGACGGCCAATTAAATTATTGAAATTTTTCATATACCCAAAATTAGCAGAGCTAATGTCAAATTTGTGGAGATTATTGTTCACAAGACTAGAGCCAAGATTAGCTTTTTTTTTCCTTCTTTTTCAAATTGGTTTCTTGGCCAGTTGGATCCTTTTTGGGGTTTGCTTTTGATTATTGTCAACTCTTGTTGTTTTGTTCATCCTTTAGTTTTAAGATTGTCTTTTTGCCTTCCTCCCTGTTTCTATATGTATAGAATTATGAATTGGTAGACTCCTCGCTCGAGGCAAAACATTCTCAATGCAAACCTTAACCTCTTTGGAATAATTATTGGAGGATCAGATTCTACAGATCGGGCTATGTTTGATCCTTAATTAGTCTCCAAGAAAGTCTCATTCCAAAGGTAAAGACACGACAAATCAATTTGTTCGAGAGAAGATAAACGGGGATTTATGCATATTCTTGTGTTCTTTCAGGTTCGATTTTGATCAACATGGATGTTGATCTTTCTGAAAACAGAAAAAAGTTGTTGCCCAACCACCTCATCTTACAACAAGACAAGTAGAAGGTTGATTGTTGAGTAAGATCAGCACCAAAATGGCTAATCTTCTTCCGAGATTAGAATCTATACAAAATGCGCAGAACTCAAAGTTATCCACAAATGCAGAGGATGACCAATCAACAAACAAGGCTCCCCAGAGCTCTGTCACCTTCATCTACGAAGCCAAAATAGCCGATTTGATTCGAAACGTGACGGTGACGTGGAGCAAGAACGTGGGGAACTATTCCCTGGTCATAAGCGTCGAAAACCCGAGCAGCGAGAACCCCTACACCTTCAAGCTGGACATAAAAGCTTGGCAATTCTGGGGCAAAAAAGGTCTGAAATCATTCGACGTGGACACAAAACGAGTGGACGTGTACTGGGACTTGAGGCAGGCGAAATTCTCGAGTAGCCCCGTGCCGTCGTCAGACTATTACGTGGCTGTGGTGGACGGAGATGAGGTGAGCGTGGTGTTGGGAGACATGAAGATGGATGCGTACAAGAGAACCAAGAAGCAGCCTCCCGCCGACGAGCCCGTCCTGCTGTGCAAGAAAGAAAACGTGCATGGCAAGAAACTCTTCTGCACCAAAACCATGTGGCAGCACAACGAGAAGGAGCATGATCTCACCATCGAGACGTCGCTGTCCGGCCTGGGTGACCCGGAAATGTGGATTAGCATAGACGGCTTCGAGGTGGTTCACATCATGAATCTGCAGTGGAGATTTCGAGGGAACGAGAACTTGACTGTGAACGACGTTCCCGTCCAAATATTTTGGGACGTCCATGATTGGTTGTTCAATGGGACCGGGACGGGGCAAGGGCTGTTTGTTTTCAGTCCCGGGAATAAGCCATCCAAAGCTGATGATAATAACTCATCACCAGATCAGAGGCAATCGCCTGCAGAGTTTTTCCATGTTATTTATGCTTGGAAATTTGAGTGAGGCTTTCCTTCCTTCCATAAGCTTTGTATATTATCATATGCTAGTGTCCGTCTTCTTCTTCGTCATCTATTGATGCATACTCTTGATGTATATACCGGAAGTCCAATCTCTTTACTGGGAATATATAGTTCAGAGTTCCAAGATATATGAAGCTAATACATGTTTTATGGAGCTAGCTACCTGATTTTGAATGGTGTAATGGAAGTTGTGTAGAAGCAATTAAAGGCAAACTGACCATTTATTCATGATTGAAACAAGAGTTTAAATACACAGACTTAAACCCTTGCAACTGGTACCTGCAACCTCCAATAAGCTGCCTATATTCAGAGACATCTACTGCAATTCCATATCCTCCCTTTGACAGCCTGGTACCTGCAACCATTGGGTTGTGCACAAAATTGCATTCACTCAACTTGAACTTCTTGAGCAGCTCCTTAATGAACTTCTTCTGGTTGATGAATATGCCTGATTCAGTTTGTGAAACTTCCACCCCCAAAAAATATTTCATTCTCCCAAGGCCGGTCATCTCAAATTCTGACTCCATGGATGCCTTAAACTCTGCTAGCATGGCATAGCTACTTCTAGCATACATCAAGTCATCAACATATAGGCTCACAAGTAAGAAATCACCTCCATACTTCTTAATGAACAGGGTAGGTTCATATTCACATCTCTCAAAACCTGTCTGTAGAAAATGAGATTCAATTCTAGCATACCAGACTCTTGGAGCATGTTTCAAACCATATAGTGCCTTTTTCAGTTTGTAGACCTTGCTTTCCTCCCCAGCAACCTCAAACCCCTTAGGTTGCTCACATACACATCTTCAATCAATTCACCATGCAAAAAGGCACTTTTAACATCAAGTTGGAAAATTGTCAAACCTTGAGATGTAGCTAAAGCCAGAAAAGTTCTAATGGTATCCCACCTAGCCACTGGATCAAATACTTCAGTATAATCGATTCCATACCTTTGTGCATAGCCTTTTACCACTAACCTTGCTTTAACTTTGTCCACAACCCCGTCTTCCTTGAGTTTTGTCCTGAAAATCCACTTGACTCCTATTGGAGTGACTCCTGCAGGTCTGTCTACCAGCTCCCAAGTATGATTTTGTATAATTGCATCCGTCTCCTTCTTCATAGCTTCTCTCCAATTTTCTTTCTAAGACTCCATCTTCAAAATTTTGGGGATCATCAGAAACAGCTACATTAAGCCAGCAGTCAGTATCCACGAAATGACCTGTGCAATCATAGTCTTTAAGGTGACTTGGGAACATCCTTTTTCGTTTTCCTAGAGTTTCTGCTCGAGGATCTTCATATTCACCAGTTTGTTCTTCATAAGAGGAATCTGAACTGTGAGGTGCAAGTGGAGTAGCAGCAGGTGGTGTTGGAGCAGTAGTAGTATCTGGGGTGCGCTCTTCATCATCTGAAGAGGACTGCTCATTTCCTGATCCTTGATTGATAGCATCAGTGAACTCTTCTTCCTCATCAGAGTCACACCAGGGGTCTTCACTACCTTCCCAGAAAATCTGAGTGAGGACAGGTTGTATATCAGACTTCCAGCTCCATCCCTTTTCTTCATCAAAGACTACATCCCTACTGATCATTACCTTTTTGGTGGTAGGATTGTAGAGTTTGTAGGCCTTTGATTCCTTGGAAATCCCAATAAAATGACATTTAGCACTCTTGTCATCAAGTTTCTTTCTCTGCAAGTCACGAACATGTGCATATGCTACACATCCGAATACTCTGAAGTGATCAACTGATGGAGTCTTACCAGTCCATATCTCCTGTGGTGTCTTCCCTTTGTTAGCCGAGGTTGGACTCCTGTTGAGGACATGTCCAGTCCATTCAACAGCTTCTGGCCAAAAGTTTGAGGGGACTTTGGTGTCCTTCAGGGAACAACGAACCATGTTCATGATGGCACGATTCTTTCTTTCAGCAACCCCATTTTGTTGGGGTGTTAAAGCTATTGTGAGTTGTATGTTGATCCCTGCTTCATCACATAGTTGTTTGAACTCATTCAACATAAACTCCCCTCCCCTGTCAGTTCTAAGACAGACTATTGTTTACCAGTTTCATTCTCGAGTTGTGCTTTGATTTTGGTAAACCATGTAAGTGCTTCAGACTTGGCAGCTAGAAAGAACACCCAAAGTTTTCTATTGTAGTCATCGATGATGGTGAGAATGTACCTCTTTCCACCATTTGAAATTGGGGTAATGGGGCCACAGAGATCAGCATGTAGAAGTTGGAGAGGCTGGCTTGCTCTCCAGGTACTTTTCTTTGGGAAATTTGCTCCGTGTTGCTTCCCTAGAATACATGTTTCACATACTCCAAGTTCTCCAGTTAGTCTAGGTAGACCACTAAACAGTTCTTACTTCTGCAACCTTAACAGTCCTCGAGTGTTAATATGCCCAAACCGCTTGTGCCATAACAACTGTGGAGCATATTAGCCAGAATGAACCTGCAAACACTGGAAGTTTCTCAACATAGCTTCACTTGGATGATTGACCTGCAGAATGAACATTTTGTTTGCCTTCATGGTTGTCTGCAGAATAAGTGTTCCTTGCTCTCTAAATATCTTGCAGGTGCCATTTTTTATAGAAAATTCCAGGTTCTTCTCTTGCAATTGTCCTATGCTGAGAAGATTTGTCTTGAGGCTTGGTACATAAAACACATTCTGAATCACCAGGGCAACTCGATCAACCATCATCTTGATGGTTCCTTTTCCTTCCACATCCATCCTGTTACCATTTCCAAGTCTGACATCTCCTTTAAAACTCTAATTGAGCTTGATGAACCATGACTTGTCTCCAGTCATGTGATTGCTACACCCCGAATCCAAGAACCACCACGTCTCCATCTTCTTCTGTTGTTCAGCTTTGCAGTCATTGGTGTATGCCATGAGCAGAACATCATCCCTGAACCCCTGACCGGAGGACTCAATGTAGCGTGCTCCTGTATTCCACTCAGGGCATTCACGAATATAATGCCCCATCTTGTGGCATTTAAAGCACTCCACCATATCACGATTCCATGCTCTTCCTCGCCCTCTACCTCTTCCTCCACCTTGGTATCCACCTCAACCATACCCTCTGCCTCGTCCTCGTCCAAAAACTTGAAGGGCTTGTTCCTCTCCAGATGAGTTCCTTGTGAACTTTTGCTCATGAACTAGCAGTGAGTTTTGCAAAGCATCAACTGACAGCTCCCCAATATCCTTAGATTCTTCAATTGAGCATACAATATAATTATACCTCTCGGTAAGAGTTCTTAGTACCTTTTCCACAATCTTCGTATTAGTCATATCTTCTCCACAATTCCTCATAGAATTGGCAATCACCATGACTCTTCCAAAGTAGTCTGTAACACACTCTCCTTCCTTCATTTGTAGCAGCTCTAAATCCCTTCGAAGTCCCTGCAGATTGGACTTCTGAACCCTCTCAGTGCCTTGATAACGAGTCTTAATAGCATCCCAAAGCTGCTTTGCAGTACCCTTTTAAGTGATCGTCTTGAGAATGCTCTTGTCGATTGAGCAGAACAGGTAATTTTTGGCGTTAAGATCTTTGAGTCGGTTTGCCTCTAGGGTTTTGGATTGAGTAGCAGTCTGCTCTTCCCCAGCGGCAGGCTCATTGAATCCCGGATTGACCACACTCCAGATTTCCTTCGATCGAAGCATATTCTCTATCACCAAGCTCCAGTGATCGTAATCACCGTCGAATTTGGGAATGACCACCTGGGCAAAGCTTTGATCACTCATAATCTGTTCCTTACAGATCTCTCACCCGAAAAAAAAAAACAAAGCATTCTCACTGAACCTCTCGTGTTTCCCTAACCCCAGATCAAAATCAATTTCGCACACCTCACTCGCTCTTGGTTACAACCTGCGATTGCTCTGATACCACTATGTAGAAGCAATTAAAGGCAAACTGACCATTTATTCATGATTGAAACCAGAGTTTAAATAAACATGCTCAAACCCTTGCAACTGAACTCTCCTAACTACTGGGACCAATGAATCCTAACAACTATCCATCGCTGCAACTATTGATTTCCAGCTAACAGACTCAACTGACAAACATAAGACTTGGACTGGACTTAACAGACACAAAACAGAATTAAGGGACTAAACTGGAAATTAACTTCAACAGCTAGTAACAGCTACTTTGGACAACTTCAGCCTTGCTTCAACAAGTTGTACTAGAGCTGACAAATCAACCTTCCTTGGAAGAGGGAAGATATCTTTGTTTCCAGGAAATGCCTCGCGAGATAAGTCTGCACGCACCTTGAAGCTGCACTGCTCCTGGATCAATATTTTTTATACTAGCAACTTTCCTGTTCATTTGGATGTTCTCCTAGCTTCTCAAGTCCATGGATGAAGTTACCATAATTAACCTGCAGATCACAGTGTAGAGAATCAGGCATCCCTCATTAGCATACTTGTGTTGACAATCCATCATCCACTTCACATTTCTAAATCAAATTTCTTCCTTAAGGTGGCATTTACAAAGCCATGCATATGTATCTACTTAGTCAAGTGATACATATCAATGCAGAAAAGAAGAGCAAAGAGAATGTTCAATCCAATTGAATGCGAACTGACATAAGTCTTATTGAATGATGCAAATAGCTTAAATACATTGCCAAGTACGGCTCCCAATCTCCCACTTCTAACCACTAACCCATATCCCTGAAAAAGGCAGTACTACTTTGACTACTGCTCCTAACTAATTTCTACTTAGTTGCTAAGTCATCTAATGACTCTAACCCCAAAACGACTACAAACTAAACACTCAATAACAAATTAAATAAGCAACAACTTAAATGACTCACGTGTACAACCCATGTGGCTAATTATTCCAACATATCCTCCCCTGAACTGAAGCCTACCAAGCAATCTTCAGTTCATTCCACAGCAGAGCAGCAGCTGCTTCTTTATTGCACTTTTAGTTTCCTCATTCACAGGTTATAACGTTGTAAACCATCAAATTTGTTGTATAAACTCATATCAGAAGAGAACTTGAACAAGCAAAGCCTTTCTCCCCATCTTTTCTGTCAATTAGCTAGTGATGAACTGCTTCTCCAAGCATTTGAATCATCTATCAAGCCAAAAACCATATAACCACACTACAAAGAACAGCTGAATCACCACCGGTTCATATCACACAAATCACATATGCATATATGTTACGTAGATTTTTCGCGAAGCTTGAAAAATAGAACGTAACTTGAACGAAATCGACAATTGCTTGAAAGAATAGAATAAACGCGCAAAGAAACTAGGTAACTCGCAATAAACGAAAGACAATAAGAAAGCTATTTGGGTTCCAATCTTCTCATGACATTAAATGAAAGACACAATGCATATGTATAGGCATAAGAAGCATCTACCTTTTCCTATCTAGAACATGAAACCTTTACCACAAGGAAAAGATAATCAAATCCTTAACATACTAGAAAACAATCTCAAATCCTACTAAGACAAGTAAACAATATTAATATCCAAATAATACGAAATACTAACTAATTAATAATTCTACTAAAAATAGACGAGCCCAGAAATCCGTAGACTATTACGAATGGCTCGTATCATAACAATCCTCCCCCCTTAAGCGAAACCTTGCCCTCAAGGTTGGTCGTCTTCGTAGATGAATCGACCATCCTCGCCTTCCTTGCACGGCCCCACCATGAGAAGGACATTGAGATTTTCACAACGATGCCCAATGGTAAAGCGCTCGTCACAATGGAAGCACAAGCCTTGTGCCCTTCTTCGCTACTTCCTCGCTTGACATTCTCCTCGCCGTTGGAACTTGAGGTAATGGCATTGCTCGAGGTGGTGTAGGCGCGATCTCCGTCGTTGCTTCCACTTGGGCCTTTGGTGGGTTCTTTTGGACTTCGCAATGTTTAGATAATTCTTCATTCTTCACCTTAGCGAGCCGAATTTCCTCGCGTATAGTATCCGGTTTAAACATGCGGATTGCATCAGATATTTCATATTTGAGCCCACCAATAAAAGAGCCCACTAATGCATCATCAGTCCACCCATAGCATCGATTACCCAATTTCTCGAAGGCCAATAGATAATCGCTCAAAGATCCAGTTTGCTTGATCTTAGCAAGGGCCTCATGGCTTGAGGCACTTTTTGTCGGCCCAAGCGCGCCCACAATTCTTCCTTGAAGTGTGGCCAAGTTATTGGTAACCCCGATGTAATGTGAGTGCGGTCCATCCACTGCCACCATTGATTGGCATTTCCCTCCAAGTGATAAGAAGCGAGTAGCACTTTGTGTTCTTCCGGAGTCTCTTGAATTTTAAAAAATTGCTCCACTCTTGCAACCCATCCGGATGGATCTTCTAGCCCATTATACTTAGGGAATTCAAGTTGGGTATATTTGGGCTTGAAAGGCCCCTTCCTTTCCTCTCCTCCATTAAAGCCTCCCAAGGCCCAGCCGGCCTTGGAGCCCACCCATAATCCATCCCAGCTTGTTGGGTCATCAATTGTTCCATTGGGCTCGCCATCCATCCCAGCCCACTGCCCATGTTGAGTCCACTTCCCACCATTGGACCTCGCGGCCCAAACCCTGGTGGCCCAGATGCGCCAGACCCAACCCAGTTCGGAACCCACCCGTTCGGCCCGGCTCTGCTTGCCCCTGCTCCCAACGACCCGGCCCACCCGGTTAGAAACCCTCCAGGACTTCCCTTCCTCGCAACTGCAACCACCGTCCCTCCTGGGATAGTCGACGAAATTCCATCCGCCCGCGGCGTCGTTGATATCCTCTCCGGTGGCCCTCCCGTGCTACTACTCGCCCCATCAACGGCGAGATTCCCCATGCCGCACCTGTAGCCGTCGTTCCGCGCGTGCCATCACTGCTCCCCTTTGTTGCATTTGTAACGGTCGTCAGCGACGTCTCTACTGCCTCGCTCATTGGTTGTTTTAGCTGTCGTTCATTCGCGAGGCGTGCCGCCTATGTTGGGGAGCCGTGGACGGTGGTAACCGCCATGGGAGGGGCTTCCCCGCCGGCAATCGGAGGCTTAACCATCTCCCGGATGAAGTTCTTTAGTTTGGCGAACCTTGCATCAATCGAGGCTTCCATGGTCGCCCTTGTCTCCGTTGCGATATCAACCGTCGATTTGATGGATTCGTCAATCTTTCGATCAAGAGCTCCTACCCGTTCCACCATCTGGTCGAATCCTTCCTCTAGTCCATTGACCTTTTCCTCCAAAGCTTGCAACCGTGTACTGGCGGAATCAGGATCATCCTCTTCCAAAGTGCTCGTGGCCCTTGTTTTGCCCATCTCTCACACCCGTTGTCGTAACCAGGGTCTGATACCAATTGTTACGTAGATTTTTCCCAAAGCTTGAAAAATTGAACGTAACTTGAATGAAATCGACAATTGCTTGAAAGAATAGAATAAACGCTCAAAGAAACTAGGTAACTCGCAATAAACGAAAGACAATAAGAAAGCTATTTGAGTTCCAATCTTCTCATGACATTAAACGAAAGACACAATACATATTTATAGGCATAAGAAGCCTCTACCTTTTCCTATTTAGAACATGAAACCTTTACCACAAGGAAAAGATAACCAAATCCTTAACATACTAGAAAACAATCCCAAATTCTACTAAGACAAGTAAACAATATTAATATCCAAATAATACGAAATACTAACTAATTAATAATTCTACTAAAAATAGATGAGCCCAGAAATCCCTAGACTATTACGAATGGCTCGTATCGTAACAATATATGTGAAATACTCAAGTTCCCAACTAATGGGTAAGAATGCCACAAGGACTAGCAATCACAATGCCACCAATCACATTACTTCAAGGACTCTAATGATGTTGATGGGTGCCAGCAGTGCTTCGTTGGTTCCAGAGGGATCGCCTGCAATGGCTTCTGCACACCTCTCAAGATCTAATAGATTGGTGGTTGAATGGAGATTAAAAAGGAGAACCCCCATTGTCATTGTAATCGAAAAATTAGCAACCAACTTCTACAGAAAGGGACATTGGGATACAGAGAGCAAAGAATGAAACCAAAAAGTCCATTACGTTGTTGCAAAAAGCTTTACCCCACATCCAATATCAAGAGCATTTCGGTCTTATAGCAATCATTCTTCAACTCCGACAAAAGCCGCCTGATGTCCTCCGGATAACCCTTTCACGCCTTTGGCCGGGAAGGAGAAATCCGCTGGCATATTGAGACTTGAGAGGGAGGTAGACGTACTGACTGGTAACATTGGGCTTCCGTTTGACAAAGGCCCAGAAAGCTTCTTCACTCATTAACAGAAGGCCCAAAGATATTATAAAACCGACAACGTTTCGAGAGAGAGGGCAGGTCAACGGCCGGCAAAAACTGGAAATCCGAACCAATTAGAGAAACGGGAACGAGCGAAACGCCAAACGGTCGAGAAAGGTTTCTTCGTTATTTAACCCAGGCCCAAAGGAACGAAAAATCGGTCAGCGTTTTGGAAGGGGAGGTAGGCGCATGACCTGGGAAAACTGGGCTCTTGTTAGATGAAGGGCCCAAATTACTTTTTTCTCTACATAACCGACGACCCAAAGGAACTAAAAATCCGACAACATTTTGGAAGGGGAGGTAAGCACGCAAAGCGAAAACACTGGGCTCCCGTTAAACAAAGGGACCAAATAGCTTCTTACTTTACTTATCTGAAGGCCCAAAAGAACTGAAAGCTACACCGTTTCGGTAGCGAGGTAGTCGTACGACCGGGGAAAACAGAGAACCACCGCAGAACGAAAAAATGGGCACCAGAAACGTCCTAAACGTGAAACGTTTCGCATACTAGAAACCAAAAACGAACACGATAAATTTCCGAAAAAGAGAAATTGACGAGATATCGTGATATAAAAAGATATCGCGATATTTGTGCAATTTATTGACTTTTGTACGATATATTGACCTGCTATGAACTGGCGACTAGAATACCCGGAAAAATTGGGGGGAAAATGAAAAAATCCCGAACCTTGAAGTTGCAGGCACCACTACACTTCTCCAGAGTCCAGACATACTTGCCTGAAGTAGAGAGCATGTCAAACAGTTGTACCACCTTCGCTCTGATATTTTCCATCCTAGGTTCCTTCACCGCGAGCAAATTGATAACCCAAATTGCAATGCGACTCGGAGAAGTAGGAGAAAGTATATTCTTAGATGTCTAAGCTAATTCAATGAAACGCTCATACATACAGATTGCAGAAGAATTCGGCTTAATCTTACCTTGTACCAAAGCACGCAGCAGTAGGAGAAAGTTCGCCGGAATAAGCCGCGGTAGAAGGAGAAGCTCACGGTGGCAAGTCATGATAAAGTACAGAGTAAAACGACGTCGCTGTAGCTTATGAAGGTTCGTTTTGTCTCGTATTAATTGTTTTTTTTTTCCCCTTCTTTTCAATGAAGGGAAACAGAAGCGCCATCCAATCCCCCACCAAAATTAATGCGGGAACGATTTCATTACACTCTATTTTTTTAGGGAGGAAATGGAGAGGAAGGAAAAAGGTGGGAGGAAAGCACATGTCCCAAGAAGCTTTCCTTTGTTCTTGAAGGTTGCTACAGGAGGAAGAGGAAGGAATTGGGCGGAAAGTTTTACTGTTACACTCATCCCTCCAATTTGGAGAGAAAGCAGGGAAAGAGTCAATGAGTTGGCGTTGGGTGTTTCTAACAATAATAATAATATAATATTATTATTATATTAATATGGTTAAAATAATAATTAGTAAAATATGATATGGGTAAATTACGTAAAAAATATGTACGAGTATTTTACTTTTTTTCTTAACTAATGATACGTCTAATAGTATGCCAATAATTATGAAATTATATAAAATAAAATAATTTGACAATGATACGAATATAAAAATTTTAAACAAATAAAATTTAATTTAACGAATTAATAAGATTGTACATGACTAAACCGACGTTTGGACCAGATGACACTAAATCGAGTATAATATGTTCCGGTACTTGGTGACATAAATTTTATAGAATGATTGTCATATTGTACAACAGAGGTAATCCAAATTTTATGAGAAATTTTTTAGTTAATTTAAAAATGAATGACATTTTTAATTGAAGTTTTTTTAACAATGAACCAAATTAGCAAGAAAAAATATATTAGATCCACCATTCATAAATAATGAAAATGATATTAACACATAATTAAATTATTTTACTATTACATAACCAATAAAATAACATATATATCACACTTCCTAATATACTTTTTCTCTCTAACCTTTTTCTTCATTTTCCTTCGTAAAACAACATTTTCCCTCCTCTCCATTTTTCCTTTCTCTCCATTTCTCTCCGTTCAAATTTTCCTTCACCTCCATTTTCCTCCCTTCCTTTGAAAACAGAGTGTTAGGGTTTCTCTAAACCTCGTCCACATCCCCAACAATGGTTAACGCAGTGGGAAATTCCGCACTGGGAATGTCTCTGGTCATTCGGTTTCGCCTCGTCTCTTACTTGATTCCGCAGTAAGCTGCCTTCCTTCGTTCTGCTCTCTTTACTTCATCCCGAGCACTCATCTTGCTTAGGTTTTCGCTGGTTGTAATATGAATTGAATTGAAATTCTCCTTGTAAGTTGTAGAGCTTATGGTCTTTGCTTTCCAGGTCAGCGGTCAAGAATGAGTTGGGAGTTTCTTGTCAGAAGGTCCGGTGTTATACAGGTGGCTCTTCAGGTCCTGTTAGATACATTCCCAAGAAGAAATCCTCCCCCAAGAGAAATGAAGAGGTGAAGAAGAATGATGATTCGAAGAATGCATTTGACGGGAAGTTCGAAGGTGTGGAGAGCAACTTTTACTCGGATGAGAAGAATTGTAGCCGAAAGCAAACGCAGAGAAGATTGCCCACTGCACATCAATGCAAGGTAAATAATAGACCGCATTCTGCTTACTCGTGGCTCTTGCTGCAAGCATTAGTTAAAATACCATTTCTAACTACTTTAAATGATGTTCGTGTCATGCACCTCAACCTTTGTGTTTTTCTCTCTTTCAATGAAAAGGTCGATCGCAGTTCAGCATTCATGGACCATGAACCAATGGAAGAGCATGTGGCTTTCGGTGTGGGAAGACAAACAGAAATAAGTGGTTTTGCACAAGACAATCAACTGGTGCAAAATGCAAACAAATTGGCGATTGGCTTGCTTGCTAAAAGGTTACCCTCAATTCTCCATCACCCAGTTGCTTGTTCTGTTACTTACTTCTGCTGGATTTTTTTTTTTTGGTTGAACTTGTGCTGGAATTTGCATTGAAAGCTGAGAGTATTTCCAGTGCTGTAATGCCTTTCGAGCTACAAAATCTCATGTTTCACCAGAACTAAGTGTATGTATCATCACAAATTCAGTTATTTTCCTGCAGATCACTGACAGCATTGGAACTGAAAAAGAAGCTGGAAGCAAAAAAAATTCCTGCGGTTATTGTCAATCCAGTGGTAGCAAGTCTCCAGCAGAGGTGCGTAATTTCGTATAGCTTTTCTATGCTTTCTTTTCTGAACCACATTCTATTTTGAAACCCATCATTTTGTTATTATTGAAATACTAGTTTTCTTATGAATCTTTTGTGCATAATCTAAAGTGTAATCTAGTGTTAGTATTTTTTTTTTTTTTTTTTTGCCTTTGTAGAGGATATGTCAATGATGGCTTGTATGCGGAATCATTTGCACGCTCTAGATGGTCTTCCTTAAGTTGGGGACCCATGCGGATTAAGCAAGTAAGCTTTTGTGTACCTCTGAGTCATGGTTTTCATAATTGGATGATTTTGGGTACTTGGCCTCCATCTGCAATCTCTCTATGTGTTTATGTTCTTAGGTAATGGGCTTGATTTTGATCATATTGAGAAATATGGCCCACTTCTTTCCATCTTTCTCTTTGTGGAAGTATGCTATTCTAAATTGAGGAGTTCTAAAACATGTTAGATGATTTGATAGCTTGATCACAGTGATATTTTCATGATGAAAATAATTGGGGTTTGAACTTAGTCATAACATCCTGATATGTCAACTAATATTTTCCACTGGTATATCTGTGATGTCTGATTAGAGCAGCACTGGTATATCTGTGATGTCTGATTAGAGCAGCATCAGCAAAATGATAGACCATATTCTTTTACAAATAGATAGGCCATTCATAGTGACTGCTGACCAAGACTCCAGGTGGAGAGGTGGGAAGCCAGGAGTAAGTCACTGCACTAATCATTCTTTCCTAGAACTGCTCTAGCTGTTCAGTTTCTACGATCTGCCATAGACAACTCATCATATGAGCTAAAATTTGGTGCCGGTTTTATTAGTATCACATTAACACAATTTCAGGAATAGAAGAGTTTGCTGAAGGTAGAACATTACAAGAAATTGCATAGATCCAATGGTATCTTGATTTTGTGGTGGCTGGTTGAAGAACAAGAAAGATGTGGATATTAATTTCATTGAACTAAGTGGCTCTTTGGTAGTTGGTTGGCTGGTTGATATTTGTAGACCCAAAAGTTATAGCGAGCTACAATGACTAAATCTGCTTTGGCACAACTGTTGCAGGCATTGCTAAAGAAGGGAGTGAGTGAAGCTGATGCACAGAAAGCCTTAAAAACTGTTTTCCAGGATACTGAACCTGAATTTAAGGATTCAAGAGTCGATATGTCGAAGCCTTCTCTCGATCACCTATTTGCTCAAGCTTTAAAGCAATGGCTGCGAAGCCAGGATGCCCCAATACAGAAACGCAAATCGAGGATCATTCGGTGGCTCCAGTACCGTGGTTTTGACTGGGGCGTGATTTCCCATCTGCTGGCAAAGTTAGAATCTAAGAAACAACCTCCATAGACAACAACAAACAAACAGATCAAAGGTGGCATCTACGTTGAAGGCCATAGATATAGAGGATGTCATGTCGGTCATGTAGTCCCTACTCAAGATAATGGTCCAAAGCAAAAATCCATGTATGTATTGCCTGATGTGGATAGGGTCTGGCTGTCTCTCTCCGTTCGTAGAAAGGCAGTATTTATGGCTAAAAGGTTGGCCACTTTTATCCCTCCAACTGTTTCAAGTTTGGGCTTGCATCAGCTCGTACTTAGTGCCATCTAATCCATCCGTGTAATGCAGGAATGAAGTCAAAGCGTTTGGAACATGTGGGCGCAGCAAGAGAAGCAAGTGGGATTGGTGGGTTCACTTCTGTGATACAAGTGAAGTAAGTGTTTTTGTATGGCTTTTACTGACAATGGGATGGGTGCAATGCATCATATCGAAGTGCAAATAATAACATATATCAGCCGTTGGGTGTTGGTTTGCCTGTCAGTTTCTTTTGTTTGTTTGATTTGTGGTGGGGAGCAGCAGCAGCAGCAGCAGCAAAAATTCGTACTGCTGCACTTTCTTTCTTTTGAGCTGCCTCATACCAGCAGTTGTAGAGTCTAGACTCCCCACTTGGGCCTTCGATCAAATGAAAACCATTTGAGGGCTGAGGTGACTTGCTGGATTGGAAAGGAAATTGCTAATTGGAAGGGATTTTGCATCTCCTTTTTCATCTTTTGGGGGATTTTGTTATGGTGTTGGATGGTGAGATTGACAAGACGACGTTTTTTGTCCTTTTGTTTTTGGCGTTTTCACTTGGGGGAGGAAAGTTAGTGTGAGCATGGTCCTGGGCTTGCACGTGGATTTTGTTTGGAACTAACAAGGCATTTACTTTTTTTTTTTTATGGGTTTGCATGTATTTGAAATGATATTATTCTCAGTCATCTGATTCAAGAATTACATGCATCCTGGAAGTTACATGTTTCAAAATCTCAGTTTCCTTGGGAATGATAATGGGATGATGCGAGGGCAAGTACCTCTAGCCAGTAGCCAGCCAATCCATACTCCCAAGTGATTTGCAAAACTTTTGACAACAATGGCATGGGTGATCCGTATTTGAAATATTTTTGTTAATGTTTTTGCTTTCTGGTTTCTTTTACTTGTGGGCATCTGGCTGGAAAGTCCTCCTCAGGACAGCACATGGACATGTGGTGTGCAGAACGTGGGACCATGTGATCCGAATTGTGGTCACTGCTGGAAAACTCGACCCAATCTCATAAATAAAACATACGCTCGCTGTTGTTCCATTCTCTGGCTGTGCTCTGTTTTTCCTTGGTTTTTTAATTTCACCCATGTAGATGTAGATTTCTATAACACTAAGCAAGCTTCTAGTCTACAAGTACAACAGGGAAGCCTGTTGGTGAAGTCTCACAAGTCTTGGGAATTGGAACCAATCATTGGTCCAGTGAGTCGAGTCTCTTCTACTTCTGCTAACCCTCTTCCTCGCCATCCTTGCCATTTGCCATATGTGATTCTGCTCATTGCTTACAACCAAAGGGATCCAAACTTCAAAGGAGATGTTGGACTAATAATCCACGTGTAATTCCCATTTTCATACAAACAACTACATTTTACATTCTTCTTAATCTCTCCACACTTGAACAAATTAATTAGCTTTATTACAACCCCTAAATGTCTACTTAGAATCCTAAGTACAAAGGTAGGTCACATGTACCTTTTCTCTAGACGGAATCGTCAGAGAAAGCAAAAGAGCAATTAGAGGAAGTCTGCGAGCCTACAATATTCCTACGCGGCGCTGTTGGCGACGATCGTGTTGTCGCATTTGTCCTTGATGAATGACTGCCCTTTAACTCCGACGGTCTTGCTTCGACGTTGTGAATCTCTTTAAGCATGGCCACCACATCTTTCATTGTGGGGCGATCGTCTGGCCGAGTACTGATGCACAGAAACGACACAGCTAGTGTCTGTAGCATCTCGTGCATCGTGGGGTCTGATCTCCCCCTTAGTTTGGGATCCAGAATCTCAGCAGGGTTCTTCTTGTTCACTAGCTGCTCCTTTGCCCATTCCACTAGATGTGCACCTTCGGGCAATGTTGGGTCCAATGGGTGTCTACCCGTTAGCACCTCTAGAACTACCACTCCAAAACTGTACACGTCGCTTTTCTCCGTGATCTTTTGTATCGTTGCATGCTCTATAGACAAACAATCAATAAGGGGGGAAAGTTGCATTAACACCAAATCAATCTTACCAACATATAATTTTGAACTCGATCGTACGTCATAATTTGAACACGAAAAAAACCCGTCAAAAGTACCTGGAGCCATATATCCATATGAACCGGCGAGAACCGGCCTCGGACTAGACTTTGACTTGGAGCAAACACCATCTTCCCCTCCCTCGGCCAGAAGAACCCTCGCTAGCCCGAAATCGGCCAAGTAAGCTTCATAGTCGTTACCCAGCAAAACATTCATCGCCTTGACATCTCCATGGAGTATCGCCGGGACACAGTCATGGTGCAAGTAAGCAAGCGCCTGAGCAACACCGACCACCACATCGTACCTCATCTCCCACTCCATCCCGACGAATTTGGCTGTAGCTCCCCCGGCGCCATGCAGGAGTGAACTCAAGCTCCCATTCGGAAGGTAATCGTAGAACAACAGCTTCAGATTTCGATTCGATCCAAAACCCAGCAATCGAACGATGTTTCTATGCCGAATCGAACCCAGCGTCTTTATTTCGGAGCTGAAAGCTCCCGATTCGTCGCCCGACCACATCTTCTTTACCGCCATGGTTTCCCCTTTCGGAGTAATCACTCTGTATACGACCCCTGAACTCCCGTTTCCGATCACGTTCGCAGAGTGCAGATTCTTGACTACGTCCTCGATTGAGAATTCCGCCTTCTGGTACAGAGTCATTTCCCAAGCACCGTCTCCTTCCTTCATCATCTCATCGCTGGAAGAATTCATCCGGCCCCGGACTATAGCGTAAACTGCGAGAAGAATGAGGACGGCGCTTGCACTGAGAAGAACAGACGTCAGCAGCTTCATCGCCGAACCACGGCGATGGTCTTCAGCCGGGGCTGCCACTCCGCTGCCGGCGATGTATAGTCCTTTGTTCGAAGCCAAATCGTTAACAGGGAGCTTCCGGAAGAACGGGGTGTTTGGGAGTTCGCCGGAAAATTCATTGAACGAGATGTTCAGGGAAACGAGATTTTGAAACTCTGCTAAAACTTTGAGGTTTCCTCTCAGAGTGTTGTGGGAGAGGTCGAGGATTGCTAGCTTGTCCAGTCCCGAGAACTCCGACGGGATCTCACCGGAGAATTGGTTGCAGCTGAGGTTGAGCGAGATTTCCAGCGCGGGGATTTGGCCGATTTCCTTGGGGATTTCGCCTGTGAGCATGTTGTCACCGAGGTGCAGCAGCTGTAGCTTGCTGCAGGAAAGAATCGCCGGCGGGATCTTCCCGGAGATCTGATTCTTCCCCAGATTGAGCTTCGTCAACTCCGTCAACTCCCCGATTCCGCGAGGCAATATCCCGGTAAGCCGATTTTCGGAGAAGTCGACGAATTGCAAGCTTTTGGGAAGAGTCTCCGGAACAGGGCCGGTGATCCCATTGGAATGGATGTCGAGAAATTCGAGACTTTCACACCCGGAGATTGCCGGCGGTATTGCTCCGACAAGACGGTTCCCGCTAAGGTCGAGGAAATTCAAGCTCTTCAAGTTTCCAATCTCCGAAGGAATAGTTCCGCCTAATCTGTTCCCATTCAGCCTCAGCCGGTACAGGCTGGAACAATTCCCGATATCCGGAGCAATAAAGCCGGAGAACTCATTCCCAAGAAGGAGAAGCTTGGTCAGATTCCGAAGCCCAAAAATCCGGTTGGGAATCGACCCGAAAAGACTATTGTACGAAAGATCAAGTGCCTGGAGATTCCCACACTCGGAAATTGACTCTGGAACCGTCCCTGTCAGATTATTCTGCCAGGCGAAAAACAGAGTCAAGCTCCCCAAGTTACCGATCGCCGCCGGGATCTCACCGGTAATTTTATTGTTATCCACTTCAAGATGGGTCAAAGCTTTGCATTCGCAGATTTCGGCTGGGATCGTACCAGACAACTGATTAACACTCAATTGGAGCTCCTTAAGATTGGAAAGCTTCCCGAAACTTCTGGGTACAGCTCCGGTGAGAAGATTCTCCGACAAGTCCACCACCGTGAGCTCCGTACAGCTCCCAAGCTCATCTGGTATCGAGCCCACCAAACTATTCTGCCATAGAAGCAAGCTCTGGAGCTTCTGGAGCTCCCCAATTCGCCTAGGGATCGACCCAGATATTGAATTCTGGTAAAGATACAGATTTTCAAGGTCGCTGCAGTTCCCAATTTCTGAAGGGATTGGACCTGAAAGTAAACAAGTGTAAACGGCTAAAGTTTGAAGCTTTTTCAGCTTCCCAACGGAAGAAGGAACTCCCCCGGAAATGCTCGTCTCGGCAAGACCTAGCATGACCAGATCAGAGCAGTTCCCAATTTCTGATGGAATCTCCCCTTTCAAATTCTTATTCCCGCCGGCTCTGAAAATCTGAAGCTTACTCAATTGCCCAACACTCGCCGGAATCTCACCACTCAGCTGGTTATCGTAGATGGTCAGGGAGACCAAGCTACTCAAATTTCCAATCTCATTAGGAATCCCACCTTCCAAGAAATTGGTGTTGACCGCCAGAGTCTGTAATTTAGTCAACCGACAAATCTCGACGGGGATTTCGCCGGAGAGGGAATTGTCGCTGAGGTCGATCAGAGTTAGCTCCTTGTAGTCTCCGAACTCCTTGGGGATAGAGCCGGTGAGGTTGGTAGATGAAAGGACTAGTGATCTCAAGTCTGGTAAGGACTGCAAGTTCCATGGCAATGGACCTTGTAAATCAATGCTTCTGAGAGTGATTTCTACCACACTGTGACTGGGATTGCATCGAATTCCAAACCAATTGCAAGGATTTGGGTGAGAAGGGTCCCATGAGCTCAAAGCGGCCGCTGAGGCGGTGGAGGAAGCGGAGGAGTTGAGAAAAGAGTTCTTCCATGTTAAGAGAGCTTGGCCTTGTGTGTCAATGGAGTGGGTAGTTTGGAATAGAATGAGAAGAGTTATGGAGAGGAAGAGGTTTCTTGTAGATGGAGGCATCGGTGGGAAGAAGCAGAAAGGGCAGGAGGAGGAAGAAGAAGAAGAAGGAAGGAAAGAGTAAAGTAATGGTGTGTTGGGATTGTTGAAGGGAAGAGCTGCCATGGTTTTGTTTATAGAGACAGAGTGATTCTTTTTTAACAGAAAAATTATTAGCAGAAGATCTGGATCCAAACACTTTTCTTTTTCTTTTTCTTTTTTGGCTCTCTATCCTTTCTCAGTTGTTCATATAGTTGTTAATTCTCATTTGGTGTTATTGGGGGAGAGGGTGATGGGGAGAGGGTTATTTATTTACTTATTTTGGTTTATTTGCGAAAGTGGGATTTTTAGTTTTAGAGGATATTTCAAGAATAAGAAGAGGCAAATACAATGAAAGTTTAAGTATGTCCCTTATACCACTCACTAACAGTAAGAACACAAGTTTTTTGGGCATGAGAAGATGATTTTTTTTAATAAGAGTGATATAGGTTTAGTTTTTAATATAATGTGTTATTGAAGGGATTCGAATATGATATATCCAAGTTGACGACAAACGGTTTAACCACTAGACCAAGACCTTGTTCGTATGAGAATGTGTGTTTTCATTGAACATGTTTAAAAACTTGCTTACTTTGATAGAGTTTTTTTATCAGTGTTCAAAAAATTACTTTTTCCTTCTCATTCTTACTCTCCATCTATAAGACTCAACAATTCCAACTCAATCACCCTGGAAATTGGTTTAGCATCATTATCACCTTTGATTTTATTTTATTTTTCCTGAAAAGTGACATGAAATTTTGTGGGGTTAATTGCATGATTGGTCACTGTGATTACAAAAAACATTCATGTTTGGTCACTAAAAATATTTAATTCCATTCATGGTCACTAAAATTAGTTAAATGTTTCAACTTTGGTCACTCTCTGTTACCTTCCGTTAGCCTCTATTAACACCGTCAGTTCTTTGCTGATGTGTCTAACATAAATGCTGAATCACTTAATTTTAATCCTAAAAAAATAAAAATCTACCTGCCACATCAAAATAATCTCCACGCCAAACCCACAACTGACCCAGCCAAACCCCTGACCCGACCTCGTTATTGACCCTTCCTCTCCCCGAGTTCCCCTTTGCGTCAAGAACACATCCTTCTCCGGCTTCGTATATGATATCCAACCCGCCGACATTACAATGATCTTGAACCTTGAAACCGGCCCCGGCGTTCCCCGAGTTCCCTTTCACGTCAACAACCCAAACTTCATTTCATATTTTCCCGACCCCTTCGTGTCAACAACCCAAACTCCTCTGAGTCGACTCCCCTAATCGGCCTACTACCTTCCAGATCTGTGTCGGATCTACGTATCTTAGGCTCCACTGCTTCGTTGGTAGAGAACTACTTGTTAGCGAGCTCGGCGCTGGATCGCCCCTCAACACCGAAGCGATTCGCCGATGCGTTGCTTCCTTCTAGATCAAAGTCCAGATCTGAATGAAATGTCGAGCTCAGTGGTGGCAGGAACTCCCGGAGTAGGCGAATCTAACCTCCCTCTTCCTTAGAGAGAAGGGAAACATCAAGCGTGCTGACGGATTGAACTGATTCGACGAGCTCTGCTCCGTTGGCAGCCTCCCGGAAGGCGAAACTGGCGACGCAGTGGGTTCGGCGGGTGGGATCCCGTGGGCGTGGAGAAAGATTCCTCATCCAACAATATTTGAGATTCGTTTATAGCTGAAAGCTCCAGCAACAGCAAAACATCATTTTCTTCCTCACGCCGACGGAGGGATAAATGATCCCCGCCCCTTGTCCTCGCCGGAGCTCTTGATTTCCAGGTCTCCAGATTCGAGACGAGAGTGGTTCCAGCTCTCACGAACCTAGAGCCGCCAGAAGAAATGAAGAACCCGAGCCCCGCCTCCTCCAGTCCTCGGTTGCTGGGAACGACTTGTGAAGCAACATATCTGTAACCGCGATTGTCGCCAAGATTGGGTCGGCGATATTGTCAACAGGATTGGGTTTGATGAAATCAAGTGGCCGAGATTTTCGGCGGGATTGGGTTTGGGAAGAACGGGATCTGAAAATTAGGGTTTTTGTTTTTGTTTTCTGGGTATCATGTTCGGGGAAGAAAGATGAACAAAGGGAGAAGATAGATTTCTGATCTGGAAAGACAAATTAGATAAACCTTACTTTGTTTGAGTGGGTTGGTTGGTTCATAGGTCAGGCTGGTTCAAGGGTTGGGTTGAACAAGGTGACATGGTAGGTTTTAATGACATGGCGGGTCGGGTTTCATCATTTTTTAGTTTAATTAGGCTGAATAGACGATTCTGTTAGCCACGTCAACAATTAACGGACTTAATTAACGGAGACGGACGAAGACTAACGGAGAGTGACTAAATTTGCATTGTTTATCTAATTCTAGTGACCACGAATGGAATTATATATTTTTAGTGACCAAACTTAAACCTTTTTAGTAATCATAGTGACTAACCTTGCAATTTACCCAAACTTTGTGCTTGGGGGAAAAAGTTGAGTGAGTTGTTTGTGAAAAAACCAAAGTTGCATTTTCCTCCCCTCAACTTTTAATTTTCCCGAGGAAATGGAGGCTATTTTGAAAATCCATCTACACATACTATAATACGCTGAAGGGGAAAACTGAATCCCCATTTCAAATTTGCTGCCTCCGGAGCGTTTCTCGGAGGGGTATTTTCGGACACGGGAAAAATACATCGGCTCATATTGCGACGGTGAACGGGCCTGGCGATTTTTTTTGGTGAGTCAGAGCAGCGCTGTCCCCGTTCAGTGTCTTCACCGCTGCCTCGCCGCCTGCGCAGCCTTCGACTTTCACGGCCACTTTCGATCCCACCAATCTGCTAGGGATCGTGGAGAAACTCTTCGACTTCCTGGCCGCGGAGAGCGACTACCTCTTGAAGGACGTGGCGGAGAAAGAGATTGCGGCGGTGGTGAAGGCTGTCAAGGATAAGCGAAAAAGGAAGGAGGAGGCGGCGGAAAGAGAGAAGGTCGCCGCTGCTAAGGCTGCCGAGAGCAACAAGAGATTGAAGGAGGAAGAGAAAGAGAAGAAGAAGCCCGAGAAGGAGGAAGAGAAGGGCGCCAGAGGTAAAATCGTTGTTTTCTTTACGCGGAATTTTGATTCAGGGTTATGACAATGTGTCTGTTGTGTCTGTATATGCATCATTGATATTGGATTGATGCTTTTGTTAATATGCTAAGGATATTGGTATGGTGCTGCAATTACAAGCCTCTCATTCAAGTTGCGCCTCTTTGGTTTGAGTTTTTGGGTCCTCTACAGATTTGTTTCATCTCTTCCTCTGGCCAATTTGGTTCTTTGTGCTTATAGTGGTTGTTGACTATATAGATGATGTGCTTTGGTTTTGTGTGTAAGCAGGGATTTGGGGTTTGTTTTTGGCGTAATCTTTGTGGCTTCACGCTTCATGTGTCCAAATATAAGCTTGCACAAGGAATAGAAAGAAAGGCAAAGGTGGAAGATGTTAGGTACAAATGGAAAGTGGCACATGATTGAGAATTAGTGTTTATTCAGGTTTAACCTGATGAGTACTCCAAATGATTTAGTGGACCTGATTGAGAATTACTGTCTTTATTATGTGTTTCTGCTTTTCTGAACTTACTTCAGTTTCACAGCAGGGAGATAGCAAGATTGGTGCATCACATGGTGGCAGGCTGACGATGAGATCTCTGTTATGCTCTTCACAAGAAGGCCATAAGTGTTGGGGAGAAGAATGTGTTGATCTTTCACCCTGGTGGTGGTACTTTCGATGTTTTTCTGCTAACAATTGAAGGGTATCTAAGTGAAGGAAACTGCCGGAGACACTCACTTTGGTGGTGAGGAGTTCAAGATAACAAGATAGCAAGGAGAGTATTTATTTAATTTATTTGTTTTTTCTCCTAGACAGATATGATCCAATTCCGGTTTTACTTTCTTAAAATTTATATAGCTTCTTACTCATTGTTTTTGTTAGATTCTACAGGCAAAGACTTTTGCCTTGGACACTCAGTTGAAGCTTAAGGATCTAGATCAGAGCAGCAGGTATGGCTACATGATGAGTAGTGGAACAGTTTTAAGGTTGAGTATCTTTGGCCAAATTATGATCAGGTAGCCTAAACTAGCTACTATTGCTAATCCTTGCTTTGTCTCTCTGGCTTATCAATGTTGAAAACTTACTGCTAATCACTTCCTACAAAGCTTATGCAACTAAAATAATTAAAACTAATAAATCATGCTTTGTTGTATTTTCTTGGTCGAAATCATGAACTTTTCTTGCTTAATAGGATCCTGTCGGTGCTTGATACAATGCATTTATAGTTTTACTTAAACTGCTTCATTGGCTTGCAAGAACAAACACTTTTAGGCGGCCGAGTTTGAAGCTCAACTGAAATTCAAAGTTCAATTGAATTTCAGCGGTTTTGAATTATAGCATCTGCAGACTTTCTGAAGTTTTTAATACACTGACATATATACTAGAAGCTGTAGGAGTTATTGTATGCAGCCCTCAGAAGGAACTTAAAAGATCTGTAAGAAGGCAAAAAACATGTCTGAGAGATATTTCCAGGATCAAGAGACTTGATGTGGGACTGAATATCATATGATTCCTTTATTCTCTCTCAATAAGTTGTTGCTACCATTATGCAGTTCGTGGTAAAAATGGAGTGACGTGTAGAGTAATCTATGAAGATCTACTGTGTGCATCTTCTAAGTGTGAAGAAGGTATGAATTTGAATGAATAGGCAGTTCTAGAGCAGGGGTAGGAGGCTTATTATAGTTGCTACCTCTACATCACCATTATAAAGAGGACGAATATTCACTTCTGTAGGACTATATTGTATAGGTTTCCTATTGGGTGTTTAGTAGTAGCAAACAACTTTTCCAGTCACTTGCTTGAGTGTACTTTCTGTCTACATGATTAAGGTTTGATTGGTAATCAGTCGCTTCACTGCAAGTGATGCCCTTCAATCGTGTCCTGAAAGAGTGGGTTTTTGCTCATCGTTGAGGAATCAAACAATTATGTTGTTAACTGCAACCGAAATTTGTCGTTTATAACTTGCCTTATCGGGGTAATTAATGAAGCCTTTCTAAATTGTATGACAAGGCAACATATAAGTTTGAACCCTCTCGGTGAATTGAAACCAATGCATTCTCTTATAATGTGGGAAGAGCTTTTAGTTGAGCATATATAGCTACAACGCCTGTTTTGTATGTCTATACTTAAATGTTTGCGGTGGGTTATGAGTTCTGACACAAATACTTGACTGGTGTGTGCATGATAATTATGTCGTTAGTAGTATGGTGGTCAGAATTTTGCCTTCTAATCAAAATACCATTGCTACTAAATATGATATGTTATTTCTGATAGTTGCAGTTGTTTCTGTTTTCGAGGAGGCTAAAAGGCCATTGAGCATTTAAACCCTTGATTTTTAGCCTTCGGATTGTGATTAGCCTTTATGAAAATAATTGAGAATGTTTGAACATTAGAGATAAACTAGCTCTTTTCTTCAATTTAATATGTTTACATTTTAGCTTAATGTTTGAATCAAAGAGCGACTTTTGTTTTGTTTTGTTAAGTAAGTTATTTGGAATGACCATTTTAGTGCTGATAATTTTATGTTGCTCTACTATTGCAATGGTTCAACGATTCCTCTTCAAATTACTATTGTGTTCTTGGCCTACTTCTGAAGAACGAGGCACACATGTTAATGGGTTGATGTCGGTAAGAGTTTCGCTATCAATTTTTTCGGCCTACCTCCGGCCAAGGGGCCGGGTCATAGGCTAGTTGGGAAAATAGACCCAAAAGATTCTGGGCTTGGAAATTGAATGGGAACGGAAACTTCATTGTTAAGACGACATAGGATGCGGTACATTTATCTTCAATGGTTAAGTGTCACATATTTAAGAACTTGCTTACTTTGATAGGAGCAGCCTGGATGAGATCAATGATTTCAATCCTGAGAGCAAATCCTCAAATTAAGGTCAAAGTGATTTCACGTAAACTTAATGTTAGAGCTGATTGAGTTGCACGATCACTTGCTAGATCTTCTCTCCCAGTTAACTAGATTAGTATTCTTGATCTAATTTCATATTTCCTTTGAAAATGTCTTCTTATTTGTGGTGGAATAAAAGATGATTCATATTGTAAAAAAAAAACTTTTAGGGCTCGTTTGCTTCATGGATTTGAAAAATGAAGATTTTGGTTAAAACCTGGGTTTTACAAAACCATGGATATATTATGAAATTGCCCCATTTGGTTTTTGGTACAAACCATTGTTTGCTTGTTGGATTTCATGATGGATTTGACTTTGTTATATTTGTGGTTGTATTAGGAATTTACGTTATTGAGTATTATTTATTTTTACATTATAATTTTTGTTACAAAACAATTTTCATCCAATAGCTTCGTCTTACTACCACAATCGGAACAAATGAACATGATTAATTAATAACAGCTTCATATTATACACATAATTAGACAATTCCTTAAGATTTTCAATGTTGCAAAGTATGCTTTGAGATTAATCATGTAGTGTTTGCGTGCAATGAATACTAACGAATATTGAATGCAAAATTAGTATGCACTACAAGTTGATCATTAGTAAATGAAAGGGGATAAGTTGGTGATTAGTTTAATAAGTAGGGTTAAAATTGTAAAAAGTCATCATGGACTTTGTC